GCAATGCTTTGAGGGAAAACGTGTTCCAACATGTACCGGTACTGTCACTGTTCTTTGTGCATGTCAGATGAAAAACGTTGCATTGTATTTCATATAGGGCAGCTTGACAAGTTTCTCAATCAGCATAATTACAGTACCAATTTGTTTATAAACATTGGAGGAATGAAGTACAAAGATTGTGGAAAGTTATCTCTTCTTGGGAGAAGTGTGGTTCTGAAAAGAACCGGTTGGTTGAGTCCGTGTAGAACTGGACGTTTCAAACAGTGTGCTCTGTCCGTCAGGAAGGTAAGACTGAGAGAACACTGTCAGAGCACACTATCTGAAACGTCTCGTTCTACACTCAACCACCCGGTTCTTTTCAGAACCACACTTCTTCCAAGAAGACATTACTTTCCCCATGGTGTTACCCGCAATCTTTCTACTTGATCTTATCCGCCATGCAAAGCTTCAAGTCATATATATTGGATGAATGGGATAAATATTATAAAAATATAAGTAAAACTACTTTGTTGTCTAACTAATTTTTGAAATAAAAAAATAATGACGGCCAAACGACAGTGGTAGGAGAAACAAACATGAGGGGGACACACAAGCACCCAGGGTTGGAAGAAGAAACACAAAAGAGAGATGAAATAGGGGACAGACAGATGTGGGGGAAGATGAAGATCAAGGGGAATGGTGTAGAAGAACAAAGACAGGGGACAGACCAGGAGGGATTTTAATAGTTCTTGAAATGAGAAATTGATTTTCAGACAGTTTTGACTTAGTTAAGATTGTTTCTTGAAATGAATCTTGAAATTTCAGAAAAGTTCTTGCTTTACCCAAAAGGCCTGGTTCAAAATGTATTCGTTACAATTTTGTGGAAGGCAATCCTTAAGTGGATCCTTAAGTTTGATTTCAGTTTGAAAAAATATTGTCGCACCATATGTGACCCGCTCTGCAAAAATGAGTCTGATGTCGCATAGCTTGAATTCCAGCTTTTACCACTTTTAAATGGAAACAGTGAAAATTTGCTCAAAATTTGGATTTTTTGTTTTTGTTTTATTTTGGTTGTTTGATAGTTTTAGTTCAGATATCTTACACAGACATTTGAATATTGTAAGAAAAAGACTAACAAATTTATGATTTTTGGTGCTTTTCTTGGTTAGTTACAGTGTATTTGTAATTTTTAAACCCTTTTTTCTTCATTGAGACATTTCTTGCTTTGCAAAAACTTGACAGAATTAAAAAAGGCACAACAGTGCAACCAAATGTCCTAGAGAGGCCCATGATATACCAAATGAAAGCTTATTTCATTCCCATTTTATTAATGTAGTTAACTCAAAATTTCTGTTTTGCCACAACAGACTCATTTTTGTGGAGCGGGTCACATATATACAGGCATGCAACTTTTCCTCGGATCCGCTGATTTTCTCATTTTTTATTTCTCATGAATGCCACATGCCATTACACATTGAAGAACACTGTATAGAGTCTTACAAGTGTGATTCGGAATTTTCTCCATTTTCCCCCAAATTCCAAGTTGCATGCCTGTATATCGGTACATGTAGAACGACCAATTGTGATTTCAGTTAAAAAAAAATGGGGAAACACCACCCCCGCCCCTTTCAAGAAAAAAAAATTAAATTAAAAATCCTGGTGAAACAGTAAACAGTGACTATTTCAGTGTAATAAGCAACCTCAAAAGTGAGACATTGCAAAGCTGATAGAAAATTAGAAAGTATGTTTACGTAAAAAATACGTGGATCACAAATCCACCTTTATTGATTTTTTTAAAAACTTTTATTGGGGGATTGGGCTTAGGGAGATGTGTTTTCTGTGTCACTTCCTTTTTGTTTTCAATAACCGTTTAAAGATAAATTTCTTATTTCAAAAACTACATGAATGTATTTAGACCAAAAAAAAAGTGTTTTTATTTAAAAAAAAAAAAAATTATCCCATTCATCCAACATTTATAAACAAATGTGGAAATTGTGCACTTTCATTTTTGTGAGTATTAATTGGCATACAATGTACCCTCATAATTCTGCTTCCAGGGTAATAAAACATATCTAAGCATAAATAACAAATTGTGTTGTTTCTTTATATTACCACTTGCAACACTGAATGCATGGTTGTACATGTAGTGCAATGCAGTTATTTTGACTGGTCAGTGTACCATCTACAATAAAAAAAAAAATAATAAAACTAAAAAAATTATAATAATGTTCGCTAACTTGACCTTTTTGAGCATTCAGATCCCACAGGCCCACCCACCAGTAAAAATAAAATAAAATAAACCATAAAGGTGAATTTATGATCAAAAAATTTTTTTTTAGTATACATGTATAGTACATACGTGCGTCCTCTCTGTGAGTACATGTATAAATGACTACACATGTATGTATTAAAATAAAAATTAGCTATTTAAAGGGAATGTACATCATAGGTTTTTGCTGCAATTTTCAGAAATGAAATATTTGAGGGGTTATAATAGATCAAATATTAATTGTTGCACTGATATGTTTGAAGTTTTGTGTTTGAAAATGGTGGAAAAACCAAGAAAAACATAAATGTTTAAGTAGTCTGGTTCCCTGACTCCACTAAAGATGAAATTGATCAATTTATAGATGCTGGAAAATTGTAAGGTAAGGAAACCAGTCAAGCGGGCTTGCACCCATTCCTGAACATGTTACCAATAGCAACCAAATTTGGACTGAAAAATATGGTGAATTTGAAGTAGTAGTTGAAAAATAGTTAGGTTTTTCCAACGGTGGTCGGCCGACCACCGTTGGAAATTTATACAAAAATTCAACTTTTCTTGAAAATGACTTAACACCAGGTGCCATAATTTTACAGAATGCGTTAGACTGCCAGTAACCAACATCCTAGTAAGGTATTTCTTAAAAATTTGGTAGTTTTGTTTGTCGATGTTTGCAAATGTTGTATATTCCCTTTAATTTACACTTGTTTCCAATAAGCCAAATCTGAAGACAGTACCGACTATTGTTCCCTGACTTTGGTTTACAGCCAGTCCAAAGTCCAAACCTCTCATTTTATGACTCATTTTAACTTGGCAGCTCAATCACCACACAATGACCTTTCATTCCTGATCCTCAAGGTATTTTTCCAGTTGGTGGTAAAAAGATGGATGGTTATTATTTTGGTCTGGCACAGTTTCTTGCTGTAACCCCCCCCCCCCCCCCCCCAAGGCCCTTTCACACTAACTCCTTGTTAGTCTGTGTCCAACATGGCAATTTCAGGATCTCCTATACAAGCGAGAATCCAGCCTGGCTTCTACTTGCATCTAGTGCTCTACTTGGGTAAAATCAACCCTGGTCCCGACCAGGGTTGAGAAGCCCAAGCCAGGAAGAAAATCCAACAATCTATGGCAGCCTGTGTAAAAACCAATGCAAAGGCCGGTTCGTAATTCATGCGAATGTGAATGTGGTGCGAATTTGACGTCACGAAGCATTCGCTGCAAAATTCGCCAGAGTTGAAACGTGGTCAACTTTTGTGAGTTCGCAGCGCAAAAACTTGCCCTGACGTCACAAATGCGCATTCACTTATGTGCCGAGTATGAACCGGCCTTTAAGGGAATGTACAACATTTGCTCTTGCTGCAATTTTCAGTAGTAAGTGGATTTGGGGGATCAGAATGTTATAGCAAATATTGTTAAACTGACTTGTTTCACGTTTTGGGCTTGAAGATGCTGGAAAAACCAAGAAAAACATGTTCTTCTAGTCTGGTTCCCTGACCCCCTTATGATTAAACGGAGCAGTTTGTCGACTTTGGGGAATCAAGGTCAGAGAATCAGTCTGGCAGGCTTGTACCCCTTCACAGGTGTGTAATCAATTGCAAAGAAAATGCGGAAAAAAATAAATATCAAAAATTAAGAGCACTTTTTGAGAAAAAAACAACAGTTTTCTTGAAAATGTCAGCACACCAGGAGCCAAGATTTTACAGGGTGCTTTCGAATGCCATTCCTTAACAATCCAATTGTAATAATTTGATCGTTTCGTTTTTTGATGTTTGCAAATGTTGTATCTTCCCTTTAAGTGTGAATGGTAAGCCTTGCCTACCTGCACTCATTTGGACCACGTTTTGCTTACAGCGGATGTGCGTTGATTTTGAATTTTCAACATGTGTAGGCAAGAGGATGGTTTTAAAAAGCCTTTAATCCAGTATCTCAAGGCATTTGTCAAATTGGTGGCAAAAGGATGGATGGCATTTTGGTCTTGCATACTTCCTTCCTGTAACCCCTCCCTTGGGTCAGTAGAAAGACAAAGCCTTGGGGTTTGGTTTGGCGGGGTTTGGTTTGGAAAAGTCAGACACAACATTGATGGAGCGGTTTCAAGATAACCTCCCCTGACCTCCGTGCTACTGGAATGTGTCTCCAGATTGGGAGAGAAGCCTTTGCAGTCCATGCCCACACCAAACCTGAAGACCATACATTTTTGTGGAAGTATTTTAAAATGTTTCCCAAAATGCTCCTAACTGCTGAAAAAAAGAAAGAAATTATATGCCACCACACCCACCTGACATTTGAATCATCATTTCAGTGATCTAAAGTGCGAGTCAGACTCAATATAAAGATACATACATTTATAAAAAAAACACATTCCAATTTGCCTTTCTGGGCAAACATGTCTTTAAAGACTAGTCTTTACATACAGAATATTAGTGAATTATCAAATCCATAACGGTCTTGAACTCTTGATGGGCAATTCCACAGCAATTCCACAGTTTCTGTTGTTTTCTGTTCAACTAATTTTCATTTGAAAGGCTGGTCTGTTAACTAGTAGTGAAAGTAAATGCGAATGTAGTGCCAAAGCAACCTTTCGTGTTTCGAATTTTGAAAAGTTGAACACAATTCAACTCCACCAACTTTTGCTGCATCATGTTTTTTTTGACACAGATTCATTGTGTAATTGCATTGGCATGAAGATTTAATTGGAATCTTTACCTTGAGTAAGTCAGGGAACTTAAAATATTTTCATCCTTTTTTACTTCTTCAACAGTTGGGCGTTGATGATTTTAAGCCCTATGCGGGTATTTCCCAAGTTCTCCTGGAATCAGACAAGCAAACCGGTCTTAACATCCTCGGCAGTCGGGCTCTCTTCATCGTGCTGATCGTCCTGGGCTGCATCAGCTTGGTCATCATCATCGCGGGCTTCCTTTACCTCGTCTGCGATCGCAAACGCACCCGCAGCGGGGAGTACATCACCAATAACACCAACCCGGATCTGGAGGTTGGATTCGACAACCCTGCCATGGTGAACGAGACCGACAAGGCGGCCTTGAACGGCAATGGGGCTCACCTGCTCAGCTTTAAGCCAGACGCAGGAGACGGGGATATTGTGCCTTACGATAGCTTCAGTCCGGAGGACTTTATGAATTGCGAGGTGGAGGACACGCATCTTTAAGATTGAACCCGTGGGGAAAGACAGTAGCAGGTTTGTCTAAACTGTACAGTCCACATTGTAGATATTTCATATATAAGTCTCTGTTCCTCAAGGCTTTGTGTTGTGCACTTGCACCGTCTGCTAATTTGGCGTGGCAAAAAATTTGCCAAAAGTTTTTCTCCTAGCCACTGACCACACTTTTTGCCTTGCTTCAAAAGTGTTGTCTCAAAAGTGTTGTCTCAAGGACAGTTTAAACATACAGTACTGTCCCAATAATGGATGTTTCTTTCATAAACCTTTGTCAGAATCAAGGAACTGTAAGGTGGCAGGCTTGATCTGCACTTGTTTGTTGTTTTATTGTTGTTACAGCGACTTTTTAGTACTATAATTCAAAATCCCAATTGAAGTGGGCTTAATTGAAGGTTTATAGCAGGGTCAAATACTGGCCGATGGGCCGAGGGCTTCTTGCACAAGTACCCCCTCAATGGTTACAAAGGTAGAGTTGGGGGAGACCACTGGGAGAGACATTTGAACGCATTGCCGACAGGGCCTGACATTCATGCAAAGACGCTATGGCTTTGTGTACTTCAGAATAGATTTAGTCATGTGTACTTCTAGTGGTGTGTATGCATTTATGGGTTGTACAGGAAACCCTATTGTAAAATACGGGTACCCAGGTATGCGTAAAAGAAACTCAACCCCAAATTTCAAATCCCGGAAGTTGTCTGAAGGTTTTTTTTTAGCTGAACAGTGTAAACTGCAATTTTTGCGAGCATTATCTGTCCCGCTTTAAAACGTGAAATCTGTTTTGGTCTACGATGTACAATGTAGCCCTACGTTTTCTTCTTTGAAAATTTTCTACAGATGTCATTCAAAAGCTTTCTTTTCATTGTAAGAGAAGTTGCTAAGTAATTCGTAAAGATGGTTATGAGTACCTGATCCGGTAATCTGGAACTGGTTCCTGACATCAGTGGTCGGATACCCGGGTTCCCGGTTCCGATGCACACCCTAGGCATTCAGTTCTTGCAAGAACTCACAAAGCACAAACCACAGTGCACGCATGATTCCTGGATTCCGTAGGAATAACTAAAAGTGTCTTGTTTGTATCAGTGGACTAAGAAGAGTTGTGATGCCTGCCAAATTTTATTTAACTTTACTCCTTAGAAAGTTAGGCGAAACAACCAAGCTGAAAGCCATTCTTTGAAAGTTTGCATTTTTAGATCTATACTTTTGTGGCTTGTTGATTGTCACATGTCCTTAAACACACTGTCATGTTCTCCGAAAAAATTACAAAGAAATTGTCATGTTGAATAGTTGAAACTTCAATTTGTCTTGATTATAAACTAGGAAATCCAGCACTTCAAGAAGACAGAAATGTAATTTTGTGCTATTGTTTGAATGTTTTGTTAGTGTTTTGGAAATCTTGCCATTTCTTTTTACTGAAAGTTTGCTGTGTTTCAAAAGAAATGTTGCAATTTTTTGAATTTGCAATTAATTATGCAGTGTGTGCGTGTGTATCGATCAAGTTAAAGAGAGATCAAGCATTTTTTTCTGTAAGTAATTAAGCTAATCTTAACCAAAAAAAAGTCACTTGGTTGTCATGTATCAAGTATATTACTGTAGTGAATGAGTACAATAATATATGTATTTTGATTTTTAAGTGTTCAGTACCATGTTACAAAATCTTATGCACCATTCCAAAGTTAAGATGCACAATATGTTTTTTTAATATACGCAGTACTGTAAGATTTCTGAGTTCAATCACCAAAAAAAAAAGTTGTTAAAAACTCTGTATTTAGTGGCTGCCTGTTTTACTAGAGCGTAGAGCCAATATTTTTTTCTGCATGTATTTCATTGTGTTGGTTATTCCTTTCCGATAATTCTAAGGAGTTTAAAATCAATATTCCGTCCATCTTCATTGGCCATAAAAAAAACTTGAAAATTTTGTGATTTATAAATTAATCAAACATGAAGCCAGGCATGCAACTTTTCCTCGGATCTGCTGATTTCCTCGTTTTTTACTTCTCATGAATGCCATTACAAATTGAAAAACACTGTACAAGTCTTGTGTGGTTTGGAATTTCCTCCGTTTCTTTTTCTTCTAAATTTCCAGTTGCATGCCTGTGTAGCTGGAACATTCCGAAAATCATTGGTCAAATTAGGTTTGTTTGAAATATAAACATTATAACTTTATATGACAGAAAGTTATCTAGCCTTTGTTTATCATGTAGTCGTTTGCCTTTTTTTGCCATTATCTTTGTAAACAAGTTATTCAAAAAGGACCAAGTACAGGGTCTCTTCTATTGTAATTTATTGATGAATGTATCAGATAGTTTACATTTTTTTTTAAAGGCAATTTCTTAGTTTGGAGAATTATCCCCCTTTTAAAAAAATTCTTAAGTAAACTTAACAATTATTGGTTTATTGTATCCTTGTCTTGCCAAGCCATGCAGCTTGAAATTGATATTTTCTTTTTTACGATGACCTCAAACATTCAATTGCTGTCTCGCCATTTGTCACTGTCGGATTTGATTCTAGACCAAATAGTTGTTTTCAAAAGGAGAGGTGCTTTAACCTTCATGTTGTAGTTCAATTTTGAGAAAAGGATTTTCAGGGGAAAAAAATGTGATCCCCTTGCCCCCAACTGAAGTTAAATAGTTGTCGGTGTTGTGTTGCACTTGATATCATCCAGCCCTGACTCATCCTCGCCAGTTGTAATCAGAGAAAGTCTTTCCACAGACGTCGCAATATATTCTCGAATGGCATTTTATCTTTCTGGGGATATAACTCTCATTTAAAGCCTTTCTCCCTCAAGCTTTGCAAACTCTATTTAAGTGCAGTCTTTCATTGGATCTATTTTTGGTCCAGATAAAAAGAACATATTTCATAGTGACAACTGTCACGATAGCAAAAAATGAGCAGCCAACAAAAATCGTTTAATGGAGTCAGATGATATCAGCGCATGTCAAAGAAAACTTGTTGAGTGTTCAGTTTCAAAAGTAATCACTTAATGCACAGACGTAATGTAACATCTTTTAATTGACTGTTATCCAGACCTACGCGTACAGTATAACTATAACGTGGGGAAAAATATTTTTTTCAGCGAACTTATTTTCCTGCCTCCATGTTTAACCCTACTGATATACGGAAATCTAAACAATTTTGTCTCTCAATTTTGTGTGTCTTTTTGTTAATGAAGGGATTACTGCTAACGTTAGTTACTTTGTTCTGTGAGTGTTTTATTAATGTTTCTACTTTAACTTTCCTATAGTGCTTAAACGAGAACTTAAGTGCACATATGTTCATGTCTATGGCTAGAAAATTGTATGATTTTTGAAAAAAGGGCCAAGAAAAATGGCTGTTAAACATTCATATGAAGATACCTGTTATTTACTTATTCATTTATTTTTCGATTTATTTATTTTTTACTCGAGTCAGGTTATAATTTCTTATGTGATCCACCATTGAATATCACCTCAAGTTGACTGCAACAGCCCAAAAGGAAGACTATCTGTAGGGCGTAATGGACATTCCAGGGTGCTTGTGTAAACCTTTCTCAAGGCATAAATTTCCCTGATTTAATGACCTGAGGTCAGTCAAAGGTCACTATGCCAATCCCAAACTTGGAAATCTTAAGGTGTTTTTCTACTCCTCCATGGTCTGTTTTTGGCATAGTTTCCCAGGTCAAGGACTGAAGTCGATGTTTTATCTAAATATATATGACCTGATGGATCCTAGGCTACATCTTCCCCGAAGTTGAAATGGAATAGTCCACCTTTTATTGTCCTATTGGGATCAAGAATTGGCCTTCCATGAATGATTTTTAAGGGCAAAACCTTAGAAACAGTTTTAAAAATGTTATTATATGAAGTTTTTTTCATATTGACCAAGGATATTGACCAAGGAAATTTGACCAAAATGGGGTTTGCAGGTCAAAAAATATAGTTCATTTCCCCAAAACTGATCCCTTGTCTTTTCCCATTGTGGTACAGTTGATGAAAAAAGATTCAAAGAATATTTAAATTGTAAATGTATAAATAATGTATGCTTTGTTTAGTAGTTTTTGGTTTACTTTTTAGTGAGTCTGTTTCCTTTTTGGCCTATTATGCATTGTCTTAATTATTATTCATAATCAAAAAGAGTGTATTACAACTATCACGACATGGTCTTTTAGTTTTGTTTATCAAAGTAATTAATTGGTTACAGTTACTTATCTCATACTCAGTTGCCAGAGATTTTGTTTTCAACTAAAACTTCTCTCAAATGACTGTCGGTTGTTCCAAGTTAATTTGAACCAGTACTGTCTTTATTCCAAAGAAGGTTTCGTTTAGAACAGTCTTGGTACCGGTAGCTCCATTTTCAGGTGGAAATATGACCTGTAGAGCTTCAAACGAAATGCCCACTTCACCTGAAATTTACTCTGAGGGGAGACAGTTGGTCAGTGAGTGACTCAGTAAGTCAGTGACTCAGTCAGTGACGCGTAGTCTTTGACGCAGTCAGTGACTAGAGACTCGTCAGTCAATGAGTCAGTCACTCAGTCAGTCACTCGTCAGTGACTCAGTCAGTCAGTGACTCATCAGTGACTCCTCACTCATAAATCACTTGTCAGTTACTCAGTCAGTGACTCAGTCAGTGACTCATCAGTGACTCCTCACTCATCAATCACTTGTCAGTTACTCAGTCAGTGACTCAGTCAGTGACTCATCAGTGACTCCTCACTCATCAATCACTTGTCAGTTACTCAGTCAGTGACTCAGTCAGTGACTCATCAGTGACTCCTCACTCATAAATCACTTGTCAGTTACTCAGTCAGTGACTCAGTCAGTGACTCATCAGTGACTCCTCACTCATAAATCACTTGTCAGTTACTCAGTCAGTGACTCAGTCAGTGACTCATCAGTGACTCCTCACTCATCAATCACTTGTCAGTTACTCGGGGAGTGACTCAGTCAGTGACTCAGTCAGTGACTCCTCACTCATCAATCACTTGTCAGTTACTCAGTCAGTGACTCAGTCAGTGACTCATCAGTGACTCCTCACTCATCAATCACTTGTCAGTGACTCAGTCAGTGACTCAGTCAGTGACTCCTCACTCATCAATCACTTGTCAGTTACTCAGTCAGTGACTCAGTCAGTGACTCATCAGTGACTCCTCACTCATCAATCACTTGTCAGTGACTCAGTCAGTGACTCAGTCAGTGACTCAGTCAGTGACTCCTCACTCATCAATCACTTGTCTGACTCAGTCAGTGACTCAGTCAGTCACTCGGTCAGTCACTCGGTCAGTCACTCGTCAGTGACTCCCCCAGTGACTCAGTGACTTAGTGACTCTGGGACTCAGTCAGTCAGAGGGCAAAGGCTAGCCCATCAGGTCCAGCCAAAAAAAAATAAAAAATTAGTGCCAGCTTAAATGTTGAAAGAAGACTGAAAATTACATTTTACTAAGTAACAGGTGTAGATCTTCATACTGGGACAGCAGGGCTGTGTACTCCCTGTGGGGATGTAAGGAGCCATGTCAAGACCATGCTTTGATGATAGAGGTGGTGACCTTAATGCTGATTATACACACCTATAGGGGACTGGGTCAAAGGTCACAAACCCCTGGGCCATATAACCCAGCAGTGTTATCCACTGTATGGATTCTGTAGTTATCTCTGGAGATCATCTTTGGGGAAGTCTCATTTTTCTGTCTTTGCCCGAGGGTCAGTTGCTTATTATTTTTGGAGAGATCAAATCAACTGCACCTGTTAGTTTGGGTAAAAGTTTAATTTTTATAATTGGATGTTTTGGGTGATCGTGGTCTTGAAATGGTAAATTTAAGTGGATTTTTGTGTGTGATACTTGCCTTAAACCTGGAAGTAAAGATCATAGTTGAAATGTATAGAGAGACTACAGCATGCAAATGTCTGTGAACCATTATACATACTGAAAAATGTTTTGGAAAACTTGGATTTTTGGGGGGAAAATTTGCTTTGAGTTGGGGAGGATTTAGTCAATATTACATTGGTATGTAATTGTATATAAGTTTTTGTACAGGATAGAATTTCATCTTTTCGGTGGCTTTCTTGTCTTTTATTTTTTGGGGAAGGGGCGATATTTTTAATTGTTTTAGGAAGGCCTCATAGCATAAAACTTAAAAAGGAAGTAGATGCCAGAATGTGCCAGAACGGAGGCTGATTTTTGTCCCCCTGCAATCTTGTAGTTTTATTAAAGACATAATCCTGAATTTTGTGTTTAATGTTGACTCTTTTGTAGTTGCCAAATTCTTGCTTGGACAAAAGTTAGTAAGAGTTGGCGGGATGAAATTCCCCAAGTTGGCCTTGTTTGGCGGAAAAAGTGATTTCCGTCTACTGGAGTAAAAAATCACCAGTTTTTTGAAAATGGGGATGAACATGCATATATTGTATTTCTCTTTTTTTTTGCATGAAAAATCAGAAAAATTTGATAATGCAAAAATCATTGGAAATGCTAAAAACCAATTGTTGACATCTATAAAAAGTGAAAATCTAGTTAAAGTTTTCAGGCAAGCACAATGTTTTAAATGTATTGTTGATAAAGGTTTTTATTTTATTTAAAATGTGTTCAGACTTTAATTGCATAGTAAGTTTCACCGCCGCATGTGTTTTTGTTAAATTGGCACACATTGTGTTTAAAAAAAATTGTTCTGCTTTGTATTTTATATTGTCAGTTTTACGCTTTCTAATTCTGTTATGTAGAAATTTCAGTGCAACACAAAGTTCAAGTTAAGTACATGTACTACTTTTAGAACAAAAATTGTGTATTCATTGAACTACTTTGTCAAAGTGTGGCTACCCATAAACATAAGTGAACAGATATTGGATAACATACAGCCTGTAGGTCAAATATACAATTTAACTTTTAAGAATGCCTGTACGTTGTTTAATTGTGTTACGTTCTAATCCCTTAAATAGGATCAAGACAAAGAATGTTAACAATAAAAGTTGTGAAAATAATTAATGAGAAAATGTGTTTGAGCCCCAGGCTTGCATACAGCTTCTTGAATTAATATGACTCCTTAATCACAAAAATATATAAAACAGTATTATATTAATAACAAAAAAAAATCAGTTTAATAAGGGAATAGCTTAGAAGATATTGTTCTGCCACAATTTCTCCTCTCTGTTTGGTATGTGTTGCAACCGATATTAACACTTTCAGTGGTAAAATATGGAAACTTTGTGAGGCTGTTTATTCTTCAACTCTTATTCTGCTGATTTCTTCCATTTGTATGCACTGATGTGTAGATTGTAGTTTTCATCGCCTTGTCTGCAAGTTGTCTTTTCAGTTTTTAGTTGACAAACTGAAAAAGTCCGCTCAAAACCGGGAAATTTTAAGGTAAATTTGAAACTCTAAAAGTTAACTTAGAGCATGAAACTCAAAAGAAAAGGGAAAAACCTCATGTTCCAGTTTTGGATGGTGACAATGTGAAATATTACTTAGGACGCTTCAAGTACACATTCAAGTACTCATTCAGTACTATTTGTATCATATGCTCACACTTCAGGGTGGTGCAAAAAGAAGGACACTTTTGACATCAATTTTCACCTAAAAATTTCACGTGCCAAAACTGTTTGTCCACGGACGGCTTTATTCCATCCGCTTGACCGAGCTCCAGAGCTTGAATTGAAGAAAAAAACAAAAACACTACACTAGACTTACACATGGACAACAGTGATTTTGGTGACTTGTATTCAAATCAGCAAAATAACACTATTCTTGCAATTTTGTTAAAGATTTTTTTCACCATCTATGGTTGAAGAGCCATACTTAACTACATTTTTAAAAAATCAGTTCAAATAAGTTAAGTATGTTAAAATTCCTGTCAAAAGTGGGTTTCCTTCTTTTTGCACCACCCTGTAGTTAGTTCCTTACCACAGCCGATGGCGACACTTGATGGAAAAGATAAGGAATGTTCCCAGCCTATACCCCACAGTCTTCAGACCCAAAACAGGGCTTGAGACAATCTTTGTTGATACCTCCCCATAAAAACAATGTTAAGGGTCACTAACAGGAGCCTTGACACAAACTTGGTACATATGCCATTCAACTGGATTAAACTTGTCGTTAAGTGGAGTCATTAGTTGAAGGCTGTCTGTTCTCAACAGGTGCCACACCCATTCCACAAATGGCAGCTACATTGAACTTTTGTCCGTGCAACAATTTCTGGAACTTGGCAACCGTTGTCTTAATTTTGTCACAACTAGATTTCAGATTTTTCTTTTTAGTTTTTAGAAAGTTCATTGCATTAAAGGGAATGTACAACATTTGCTTTTGCTGCAATTTTCAGAAATAAATGGATTTGGAGGATTAGTGTGTTATATAAAATATTGTTAAACTGACTTGTTTCATGTTTTGGGCTTGTGGATGCTTGAAAAACCAAGAAAACCTATCATGTTCTTGTAGTCTGGTTCCCTGACCCCACTTAAGATGAAACGAAGCAATTAATATACTTTGGGGAATTGTAAGGTCAGAGAATCAGTCTAGCAGGCTTGTACCCCTTCACAGGTGTGTGATCAATTGCAAAGAAATCTGGTCGGCCGACCAGCGTTGGAAATTAATACAAAATACCACTTTCCTTGAAAATGTCAGCACACCAGGTGCCATAATTTTACTGGATGCTTTAGACTGTCATTCACTAACAGTCAAGTAAGGTATTTCATAATAATTTGGTAGTTTTGTTTTTGATGTTTGGAAAAGAGGACATGAGAATGAAAAAAAGGACTCGATTAAAAATACGGGTGTGGGTATGAGTACTAAGCATTGCAAATACTTGTATGCAAAATAGGTGAACAATGTTGCGAGCACAAATGCATATTTTTTGGCACAGTGCCTGGCCTGGCAGTGGGTGCCACAGCTTACCAGATGCCCTGATTTTTGAGGGACACGCCCCGTGTCCCTTTGCCCTCCCCAGGGGGGTGAACTCAAGTAAGTTCAATATTCAGGATCTGCAGGATCCCTTGAGACACTCGGGTGTAGTGTGGAGAGATTTGTACCAGGAATCGCCATGGCAATGTGGTGCTGGTAGTTTCGCTGGTCACAAATGGAAACATTCGAATGGAACATTCAGCAGATACCAGGGGGAAAAAAACAACACTTGGTGACAAGATGTTAAGTTTTGATTGAAATGCAAGATTTTATATTGCAGATATTTTTTTTTACTGCGTACAACGTTTAAGGGGTGGTTTTTACTTAGGCCAACATTGGAAACACATCTCCCCTTGAAACACAGGGTTTGCTCTTAATTCAAGACCCTTTGAGGTCTGGTGAGCAATTACTTGAAATAATGATTTGTGTTCACAAATCAAAGCAGCATATGACCTTAAAATTGGGATAAATGAATCATGAAAGTTGGAGAGCCATTTTAGTTGATGTTGTCAATGAAGTCATTCAGTAGTTTTGTAGAAGTTTCTGGTTTCTCAGAAAATTCTCAGACAAAATCCTTTCAAAGATTTTAAGTCTCTAGACACTCGTGTTTTGTGGAGTCTGCGCCGGCAATATGTACTAGCAGGGGGCAGCTTGTGTTAGTTATCAATCATTTGCTGGCTTCAACATGTCAACATTGGAATGACCAAGTACGTCGACAACACTCTAGGTGTTTGTAATGTGGAACAGAAATAGAAACACAGACCTACAAGCATATGAGGCCGAGGATGGCGATGCACGAACCATCCCCGCATAGTGTCACACCGCACGAACTAAACCCCACTAATTACCGACTTGATTTCAAGTCTTCAGTATGCTCTTGAATTAGAGGAGGAAAAGTAAGGGAAACCCCCGGCGGTCACTTCTACATTTTTACAACAGCCCCAACCCACCCTCATATCTCATTTCCTTAATTGATTGATTACTTCCACAGATTGCAGCCCGACTGCCACCTGTAGATGTCATACCTATCCATCATGATACCAGATTCTGAAAAAATTTGGTTCAATTTAATTATGTACATGTTGTACTGCCCTGGTAGTGGTACTGCCACTGTGAACCCCCCCCCTCGAATTCTGTTTCTCTTGCTATCTTTCACAATTCAAAAGAAAGGTGAACAGACATGTTTAAATTGTCACTTGGATTTTTTGTTTTTGTTTTCAATTTCTTTAATTTGTAGCTCATCTTGAGTGGCTCATGGCATTGTGTTTGGGTGACCTTAAATAAAAATAATAAACAAGAACATGGAAAGGGGGGGGGGGGCTGTAAAAATGGGAATTCTAGTTAATAGAAATTTCATCTTTCATCAGATCATCTTAAGAGGTTTGTTTTAAATGTCATGCATTTAAAGTAACATAATGCGAGTACATGACCATGGGTCCTTGCTTTATCCATGGAGCTATAAACACGGCTCCATGCTTTATCCAACAGATTCTTGCATTCCTCCATGCTTCTTGAAAGGACCTTTCCAGTTATCAACTCCTCAAGTGGTCTTGTGCGTGACTACGCCCCAAGGCACTACATCATGTCTGGGCTGGTCCACCAGTGACCCTGCCTTGATGATATATCAGATGATTGGAATGCCCACTTGTTGGTATGCCCAGAGTGATTACCTGCTGGTGGGGCACATATAGGGATCACCTCCAAAATTTAATTTTAGAGCTTGTCAAGGCTGGCTTTTGTTTTACTCCTCTAAAAAAATTAAAATACTGAAAAAAACGTAACCATTTACTCATTTTGTGTGTGTGTACAACTTCCCAGTTGCATGCCTGTTTGCTTCTGACAAGACTAGTATTAAAACTATGCTTAATTACACCGGCAAATCCTTTTCAAGACTTAATTTTTTAGGTTTCAAAAGGCCTAAAATTTTGAATGGTGTGAAGACATGACATTTTGGGCACAGACATTTTGGGAAACTTTTCTTGGAATTTTGGATAAATATAGGGAAATTTTTCCTAAAATCTCTTTTTAATAGTGACTTTTGCTCTTTGTTTCAAAAGGCCTGACAGACATTTTGAATTGTGTGAAGCCATATCATTTTGGGCAAGTTTTAATTTTCGGAGTTCTTGGATAAAAATTGGGAAAGTGTTCCCTAAAAGCTTTTTAACAATGACTTTTGCCCTTTTCTGACATAATTACATTATGACAATTTTCCCACTTGAGTTTATTATCCCAATTATACAATCCTACTTTTTGATGTCGGGCTTGAAATACCATAATTGAATACATGTATTTTTTTTCAGATCAGTTAAAAAAATATATAAATATTTTACTTCCTCAGGCAAAAGGGAAGGAATGCCTTTGACGAATGACTTACGATGTCAACACACCTCATGAAATATGTCCTGGTAGCCCCTCACAATTAATGTGCAAATATACATAGGAACAAAAATAAGAATTTCAACATACCTACTTGAGAAATGCATGCCAACATTCAACCAAGAAAAGTATCAAAAGATATTAAGCACAAAGTAAGATATTTATAGTAAATTGACATTTTTCCAATTGTTACTTCAAGTACAGGTAACCAAAGAAGTCTCTGTAATATAACCCGCAAATCTATTTTCGAATGTTGATATGATGATGATGATGAAATATGTTGGCTTGAAAAAAAAAAGATAGCATTCCATTGCTGAATATGAAAATGATTTTTCAACAACACTGCATATTTCAGCAATGACTTGTCATTGACCTACAATCAATGTAATTTTATCTGGACTCCAATTAATTAGGCATCCTGAGTTGAACATGGTTCTCATGCAAACAGACGGGCCCACCAAAAAAAAATTGACTGAATTTTGTATATTTTGTACTAATATCAGTTATTAAAATCTCTTACAAATTTTCATTAAAAAAAATTCATAACACATCAATTAAAAGATCAACTGTCTGTCTATTTAAAACGTGAAGCAATGAAGTTGATGGTTGAACAAGAAGTCAAAAACTTCAAATATACATTTGCTTTTGCTGTAATTTTCAGAAATGGATGGATTTGGGGGGGGGGGGTAGTATTTTGTAAAAAAAATATTTTTACACCGACTTGTTTGAAGTTTTGTGTTCCTAGATGATGGAAAAACCAAGAAAAACGATCATGTTCTTTATAGACGTCTGGGAATTGTTAAGTCAGGGAACCAGTCTAGCTGGCTTGTACCCGTTCATGGGTGTGTTATCAAATGCAAACAAAATGCAGATTAACTAAATATGGTAAATTGGGGGCAGTATTTGAAAAAGCCCGTTTTTTTTCTCCAATGCTGGTCAGCCAACCAGCGTTGGAAATTGATACAAAAACAACTTTTCTTGAAAATGACAGCACACCAGGTGCCATGATTTCACAGGATACGTTAGACTGGCATTCACTAACAGTCGAGTAAGGTATTTCATAATAATTTGGTAATTTTGTTTTTTGATGTTTGCAAATGTTGTATATTCCCTTTAAATGTGCAGTTTTGTGCCTAGGTGGTGATTAGTGGTAAAGGGCGACTCCCAACGTTTTTAACTTGCACATCTTTGGAAACGTAATTTTCGGCCTTCGATAAATAAAAAGTTGGTCCAAATTAAGATATCGCCATGCACCAACCTGGTTCTCAGACTTGAATCAAGCCTACTCAGGCTCCTCCAGTATGACCTAGCGAGGGATGCTTTACTGTGTCAGTGCAAGGGAAGTAACAAGTTTTTGAAACCTTTTTTTGTTCTCTCCAGGATTGGGCTTGGCCAGGTATTAACATTCCAAGATTAATGATGACAAGGTCAGATTTCTAGGGTTGTCCACATTCATGTGTTGATAGGAGGACGTCTGGAATGGTCTGTTGTTGTCTGGGCGGTGGTTGGACTTGTGGTTTGTGGATTGCTTGTTACTATGGTAAAAAAAACAATACTGGGCATGATCACAGACATTGGTACATTTGTTTTGATAGTTTGTGGCTGCATTCGATCCATCACATGGAAAAAAACGGCGACCAACAACTTATATTCAAGGCCTCCTTGGGGATCGGAACAATGTGCTTCATTCAACCAAGACAAGTTGTGTTACAACATTAATGCAGGCACCACAGCTGGAAGAAATTTGCAGTCACCTCTGAAGCATCATAATTGCATCATAATGATGATGATGATGGGCCTTAAACACAAATTTGTTGAGTCAGTACAGACTTTTACATTTCTTAAGTAAATGTACTCTCTTGGCCACTGTGACGGTGCAGAAACTGCACCACAAACACATCAATTATTTGAGTTGATATACATGTATCTTCAAAAATCTGTTTTTGCAACTTTGAATTAAAAACAAAGACAAACTGAACGGACAAGGCACAATTTTCTTGGAACTCAATTTAATGCTTCAGAATACCTTTGCTGACTGTAAAAAGTATCAAAAGATATAAAAGATACATGTTTTTGTTTATAAGATAAAGTTAACTTTTTAAACAAATCAAAATTGACGAAAACATCATGCAATAACGTTCATGCATGCAAAATTTATACATTGTACCCATGGAACTGCTAAATAAAATAAGAAAATGACATGACAATGGAACATTTGGCACTTAAAAATGTTATTCATAAATATCTAAGACAGTTTACTTATTCATTATGGTCGACAACCCGTCACGTGGCCGGTCATAAACGGTTGATAAAACACCGGCTGGCTGATCTTCAACACTTCCAGTGTCACATGAAATTTGGACTCCTATGAAATCCGGTCCCTTTTACCCTTTTATTGGTCGAACAATCCTCGGTAAGGCATGCGCACTACTACCAGTGAGTGTTTATTTCATAGTACTAAATTCACACTGCACCGGCACAGCTGCATTCTGCGCCACTTGCACAGTACGTGCAACATGCATGCCAATCTCCATATAAGGAGTTGTTTATGACTACTCGCAAGAGGCACACACCATAACACAGCTAGAGGGTGTTTAAAAAAACATGAAGAAAACTTGTTGAACAAAATTGTTGGAAATTTATATTTTTCGACCTGTTTTGAAAAGTTTGACTGAAAAGGTATTTACGAATGGGAATAAATATGTGCTTGGCCGGTATTAAAACATCATGTTTAGGACCGGTTTAGAGTCTGGATGCTGATAATGACCCCCGCCTTTGGTTCGGGTCATTATCAGCGTCCAGACTCCAAACCGGTCTTAAACATAGTGTTTTAATACCGGCCAAGCACACATTTATACCCTTAATAAAAAACAAACAAGCACACTTTTGGCAACAATCTTTGGTACAGTTACAATAATAAGGAAACAAATGGGTTTAAAACTTCTTCTAAAATCATCTAAAACTTAAAAACTGATGTAATAATAAACAAAAGCACCGTTCGTTTCTGGTTAAAATAATTATGAAAAACAAAGAAATTAACATATCTACAATGATAAAACAAACTATTTCAAGAATTTTTGGGAAACTGATATCTCCCAGTCAGAACTACTGTCATCGAATTCCGACAAGTACTTGTACCACTTGTAGTTCTGTATTGCAAGACAAAAGTTTTTTAAAACCTAAAAGTACAGTAACGTTTTCTTCTAATAGGAGCCAACATCTTGTGGAACAATTTGCCACGGTAATGCTAAACAATTTACGGAGAAAAAACCCTAAAAACTGGAAACAAATTCCGAGTTAAAATGAGGTCTTTTTCTCTGAACATTGTCACAATACGTGTATTAGCCTCTATGAAGTATTGCGGACACCACATGAGGGCGCTATTCAGAGTGGATAAACTCTTTTGTATTTACTCAAATATACCGGCTTTAAGTAGCCACCTCCTATTGTGTCCGCCATGCTTCAAAAGGACCAATGTCTTTATCTTTTTTTTTTCAACTTTATAGTTTTGCTGTTTCTCCCAACCAACAGTGAGGTTTAAAGAAACAACTTTTTGTCCTTGATTTTATCAGGCGAAATTTTTAGGAAAAAAAGCCAAAAAGGAAATACAATTAAAGGTTAGAAACTGCTTTCTGCAATGCCCAACCCGAAATAATACAGTTTCTCTGACTGGCTGAAGATCTCAAAAATTGAACATTGAATTCTTTTCATAGAAAACAACTTTTTTTTTGAAAGGGCATCTGGTTTCTCTGGTCAGGGTCCCTGTCCTGGTTTATGCACCTTCCAAACACAAGTGATTAGGAATCCAGACGGGATTGCACCAACAAATAAATAAATGAGACATGATGCACAATTCGGTTAAAATTGAAATGAAACGTTACTGAGACGGTCGATTTCTGACTGACATTACAGAGTCGTGCCGAGCCATACATTTCTCAATATCTGTAGTAAAGCTAGGTTTGATGAGAGGAGCCACGTCATCAAAAGATCGACTAATGCTGTCACTGAGAATGGCTCCAGAGTCTAGTTAATGGAAAGTTAATACAGGGCGAGTACAAAAACAAAACCCAAATGTCGGTACCATTGTTTTAGTGAAGTTCTGCATGTAGCACATTCAAAACCTAGGATATGAAAGCCCAAATAAAAAGCTTTCTTTTAGTAAAAGAATCATTTAAATCACTCATATACTTTTCAAGTTACGGAATTTTAAACACAACCACCGTTTTAAAGTTCTGTCCACGGATCACAAAAAGGGAATTGTTCTTTCAGCAAAACAAAAACAAATCACATAGGGATGTGTGAATTGTTTTCGTTTTGCTGAAAAAAAACGCACACCTTTTTTTGTGATCAGTGGACAGAACTTTAAAACGGTAGTTGTGTTTAAAATTCCGTTGCTTGAATATTACGTGAGTTATTTGAATGATTCCTGTACTAAAAGAAAGCTTATGAATTGGGCTTTCATATCCTAGATTTTGAAAGTGCTGCAGAACTTTACTAAAACAATAGGCCTGACATTAAGGTTTCGTTTTTTTTTACTCACCCTGTACATAAAGATCTCTTGTCTGAAAGCAAATTCTCTTTGGGTCCACCTGAGCTGATCCTAATACTATTTGGTTCGGCACGATTCTGGAACGCAAGTATGAAGCAAGGGTAAAACGCAGAAGGAAAACAAACAACTACCGGCTTTCTTAACCCGGTGTAGTAGTGTAAGGTTCAGAAGTGGCTTCTGAGTCGCTGGTCGTATCCCCTTCACTTAGCTTGAGGGAACCCCTCCCTTCAGCAGACTTGACCTGATTGGTCGTTGGTCCCTCCCGTACAGCCAGTCCATTCTCAATCAGAGCCTCACTGATACAGACATCCGATTTCCCGTTAGTGTCGTACAGCTCAACATCCAGGGTGCCATTATTTGCTCTAGGGAACACAAGGACAAACATATGGTTAGTATCACTGAATTAAAAAATTTTTTTTTTTGAGTGGTATGGGCTCCGTGCGCCAATTAGGGGGGCGCCCTTTTACCTAGCAACGACGTCCCATGGGCGGGACATTTCGCTGGTTGACACCGCGCACCGTTCCTTGTGTGTGACGCACGTACACCAGGGGATTTGTATTATGCACACGCAGTGGCCGCGCTTGGCGGCAAATGAATTGCAGTCAGGCAAGATAGCGTCAGTCGGTCACCCCCAACTGTAATTTCTTTGCCGGTGAGGGGGGTACTTGTGAACGGAGCGGATACAATTGAAAGTTGTGTTGCCCATCGCCATTTTCGAAACCTTGACTCTGTCCCCAGATTCGGCTTTGTCCCCAGCTTCAGATTTAAGGCCCCTGACTAGGGGAGTCAAGTTCAATATGTTCTGCGTCTTAAATATCAAATCTGGTTGTTTGAGGCCGACGTTTACGGTATTTCTGTCTGGAATGTGTGTGTTAAAGGCTTCTAAATGATTCCGAGATTGAATAGACAGGGATTAAGGGGGATTACAAGGATTAAGTCGAGGGATCAACTTACACGTAAATGATGATGGCTACCAGCGTCTTGTCGGAAACCATATCCTCAAAACATTTCCTGAAACCAAGAAAATCACAGTCAGTAGAAAAGAACAAGGACAACGTTTTTCTTCATCATTATTCATGTGCCGAGAGGTTTTCTCTAAAAACGGAAAAACAAATCTTCAATGGCGACAAGAAATAAGCAGGCAAGGCAACTCTTGATCAGAAGGTCAGGGGTCTGAATCTTACCCTGGGCTAAATGTTGTGTCCTTGGGCAAGTCACTTTACCCATGCCTACCGATCTCAAATCTGCGTTTACAAATGGGTACAGGCATTAGCTCAGGAGTAACATGCGAAGAACAGGCATGGATGTGAAAAAGAAATTGTCCTAGTCGTTTTAATGCCAAGGAAACAGGAGATATAATGGCTCGGGACGGACTTGGTCTCTGAATTGAAACAATAAATCATCAGTCTGGTCCCGGACCAGCTTATCCCACCTAGCCTCTTCGTCCAGTCTAGCCCCAGCCTCTGCGTTGCATTCCAATGGCTTAGCCCCGACTAGATAACACTCGACAGCTTGAAGAGGAAGGTGTAAGAATTGTTGCTCAATGTCGTAAACATCGGATGCTGGCACCCATTCCGAATTGCCGTAGTCAACGTAGAAAACCTACCACACAACATGAAATAGTAATTCATCACTAAAGTATGTTATTCACAAGGTAAGCACATATTAAGAACCAACAGGACATTGTCAGTTGACACAGCTCATGCATATTCAAATCTGACTATTTGTACATCTAATGTTGGTAGTTCTTTTATTGAATTCTTAATTATCACGATATGTATCGTATTCCAGGCGTTCAAGCAGACCCAGATGAAAAAGGACTTGGAGAATGGAGTATCAAAATGTTCACCTAAAATAACAGGACAAAAATAGGATTTTGGAGGACAAAACCAGGATAAAAGTAGGATTTTTGCGGGCTTTCAGGAGTAGTTTTCATTGATACTCACCCATGTCCACAGCATCATAAGCCTCATTTGGCATGTTCTGTACTCACAACACTTGTGCTCCATCCTCAACAAAGCTCTTGGAAGTACAGTTGCAGTACTCCTGCGCCCAAACCCTTCATTGTGTGATTTACATATGACAGTGTCTTACACTTATGAAAAATATTCAACGAGATTTCATTTTTTGGATTTGCTGGACAAAAAAGTAGAAAAAAAATTAGGAATTTCAAGAACTCCTCAACGTTTACAAAGAGAGAGTTCAGAGGGACCACTGATATCACAATAAGAGAGAGGCGTACAAATTGGCACTGTACGCCTACCACATGCATGACGACGCTCCTGGTTTGTGCACAATTGATTAAGACATTTTGTATGCATATTTCATGCCACATGTACTTGAATCAATGCTCCAACCTTGCATACTCTTTGTGGACCTGTGAACAAAAGAGGTCCACAGCATGCAGGAAGTGTGAACGCTTTGTGGACTTGCACACGTCCACACTAGGTTTTCCCCTCTCTGGAAAACAGGTTAAGAGGCATTTTTGGGTTAGGTTTATCGGTCGCAAAATGAGGAGGAACACTCATGAATATATCATGATAAAAAAATTGGATTGAAAGAGTGTTCACGGTGCGAGTAAAATTAGATTTTCTCGGTTTATCTAACTACACAAACACAAAGGGATGTCCACAGTAGGTATGTACGGTAAGGCTGTGTGGTCTTACATGCGCGTGCGGCGTGCTTCTCCCAAGAAGTGCTCCTAAGTGGTCAAATAGTGCCATCCATGTTTCATGAATGAAGTTCATAGACCTAATTTCGTAAAGTCACATATTGAGCACCAAATGTATATTTTTCTGCTAACTACACTGCTGCACAAATTACATCCCAAATTGAGACACATTATTATGATCATGTACAGATCTCACTTATAGCCATCTGCTTTGTTTACCTGTATGGCGTCTTGGTCAGGGTTAACGTCGATGACTTTTGCTCGGCAGTAGCGTTGATCCCTGGGGCAGTGGCAACAGACCATCTCCCCTGGCGCCCTCAGGGGTAGACTGGTGGCTAGGTGGGGCTTCAAGGCTGAGTACAGTTGGCTGAGAACAGCAGAGAAACAAAACCGTGTCAACAGGATGGCATGGGTGGCTAGTGTGTAAAGCGCTCACCTCTCACCACTGTGGCCGTGGTTCGAATCCCAGCCATGGACCATACATGTCATATGTGAGTAGAGTTGTACGTTGCTTCTCTCCTGTGCCGCGAGGGTTTTTCTCCAGGCCCTCTGGATTTCCTCACTCCAAAAAAAATCAAACACTTTTAAACTCAGGCTGTGATTTGATCTCAGGCTGTGGACATGGGTCACATGGCTGGCTGCCAAAGGCGCCTTTACATGCCTACGGCTCGACCACATTTTTATTATTATTATAAACAATCAAACCAACAAAACAGAGAGAGAAACCAAAACCAAACAAAAAACTTAAGAAACTTTATAAGATTTACGTTTACGGTTGCACCATGCAACGAATGAACGAATCTCTTTTGTAAGTTTGCAACCATGTAACAAATAATAAAATTAATCTTATTGCTATCCCCACCATACAAACCTTCAAACCTTATTTAAGAAAGTTTGGCAATTTAGAACATTGCAAACTAATAATAGGAAAAGTTGTAATCAAGTCCCTCACAGGTCTTCACAAGTTATCACTAGAAATCACAAGTCATCACCAGAAATCACAAGTCAATCACAAGTTACCCAGTTTCACATTAAGCCACAAGCTATCTAAATGAACAAACAAAAGCAATTTGTTTGTCCATGCTGTCATTGTCCATACCTTTGTGATTCACTTGTGGCTTAACTTGTGATTGACTTGTGATTGACTTGTGACTGACTTGTGATCGTCTTGTGATTTGACTTGTGATTGACTTGTGATTGACTTCTGATTGACTTGTGACTGACTTGTGATTGACTTGTGATTGACTTGTGACTGACTTGTGATTGACTTGTGATTGACTTGTGATTGACTTGTGATTGACTTGTGATTTGACTTGTGATTGACTTGTGACTGACTTGTGATTTGACTTGTGATTTGACTTGTGATTTGACTTGTGATTGACTTGTGATTGACTTGTGATTTGACTTGTGATTGACTTGTGATTGACTTGTGATTGACTTGTGCTTGACTTGTACTTGACTTGTGGGTTAACTTGTGGTTGACTTGTGATTGACCTGTGATTGAATTGTGATTGACTTGTGACTGATTTGTGATTGACTTGTGATTGACTTGTGACTGACCTGTGATTGACTTGTGACAACATGTGATTGACTTGTGATTGCATGAATAACAGCTCTAGATACAGCAATTCTTCAAGATAAAAACCCCATGCAACAACAATCTTGTCAACTCACTTCATCGCGTTTTCCAGCATTTCCAGAGTTTCTTCGTCGTCGTCCTCGCCTCTCAAGGGCGTTCCCTGTTGTTGCAGACTGTCCAACGGTCTCGCACTGAACGGTAATTGAGCCCAGAAATGAAACGCGCTGTAGAGGGCTGTGACTTCCAGCGCCACCACGCTGCCCTCCAGAGGCAGCGCCACTTTGTTGTTTAAGAAGAAAACACCCATGGATTCGTGTGGTCTCTCGCCTGCAGTGAGAAAAGAAGAGAGGAAAAAACAAAACCAAAAAGAGTTTTTTTCACTTTTTTGTGTCTTTTGCTAAGAATTTTCATGAATCCTCCTACATCCTCCGCTGTACAGAAACCCAACTACACAATCTCTTTATTTGAAACCATCAAGGGGCCTTCGAGCTTCAATTGAAAGTTATACTACCTTCCTCAATCCTGCCAAAATCCTCCAAAATAACTTTGCAGATTATGAAAAATCTGGGAAAGGTTTTGGTTAAGGAAAGACCACTGTATCTTTCTACATCAGTCAGCAGTGTTGTATCTAATACCAAGCTCTGACAGTTTTCACATGAAAACAGTAGCGTTACTTATTGGGACAAACTTTTTGTATTACTAAATTCGGGTAAAGGACAATTTGTGAGAAAAACGTCTGACCAAACTCGGGGTTGGAGTGATCCAAGTGAGTTGCATGATGATGTTGAAGAACAGGAGCAGTGCATTGTGGGAAAAAGGAGTGCGTTGAGCTGTGAACTGAGGAAACTCACAACTTGTGCATGAACATTGGGGTGGGGTGAAGGGTGCAACTGGTAAAAGGGGAGGTAGAAGTGGTACAGACGTTTGCTCATGGATGGAGGAAATAAACACAAATACATGAGTGTTGAAATTGCTGGGCGGTGAAGTTCAGGCAACAAAACAAGATCTCCCTGTGAAAAGGTACAATTGAGATGATTTTCTTTTTCACAATGAAATCTAGAAGACAGACAATAATAATAATAACAATAATACCTGAGTATATAGCGCACGTATCTACCAACAATTAGGTACTCAAGGCGCTGGAAATTATGTATATAAATAAAGACAGGTAAATGAAGTTTATGAGAAATACGAGACCCATTATGTAGCACCTCATAAGGGTACATAAGGTGTGCAGCGCATATTGCAGCCACTGCCAAAAACACCGGGGCAAACCCCTTCTCTTAGCGATAAGTGTTACTGGGTTCTTTAACGTGCATTACACAACACACGGGACCTACTGCTTTACGTCCCATCCGAACGACGAAGCAATAATGGTTAAGTGCCTTGCTCAAGAGCACAAGCACCATGTTCCCACAGTCAGGATTCGAACCCATGTGCCACTGCACTCGAGTCGCACACCTGGAAAAGCTACTGATTAAGCATAATTTGTTGCTGTAGGCATCAGTTGAAGAAAATTCTGTTACTGAAGTTTGGGTACGCTTTAGTTTGTGTTTTCAGTGAAACAGTCTAGGGTAAATGCAACTTGGCCAAGTCTTTATTTACAATTCTTTGAAAAGGCTTGACTAACGATCGTGACAAAAATAGCCTGCAAACCTGTAATACATTTATGAGGAAAAAAATATTAGTTGTAGACGAGACACATTTTGGGGGAAAAGCTGATGAAATGAAACCTGCAAATTAAAGCAATTATAAATCAATAAAGTGCCAAGTTTGCATGCTAAAAACTCGGATAAACAAGCACATGCATACATCATGCAATGATGAATCCTATTGTCATCAGTACCTAGAAAAAATGTGGTTTTTTTAATACCAAAAAGAAGTCAAACAAATCATCGTAGATCACAAGTCAATTACAAGGAACAATGGAAGAACGATGACAAAGTAATGCCCTTGTCACATTTAATTTCAAAAGTTTGTGACTTGACTTAAGACTGGATGTCTTATGATGGACTTGTGAAGACTAGCAATTGATGCAAAGCAAATACAAAAAAAAAGGAAAAGAACAAAAAGAATCAAATTTGCAGCTGGAAAAAAAAAATGCAAAGCACTGTCCTGCTTGTTAGTCTCACATGCTTCAGTAGGACATTATGAGATTTTTTTCTGAGGTGAAAAATTAAAGCGCATGAAATGAAACAAAAAACAAATGTAGCAAAAATAACACTGGGAGATTTCACGATGGAATTGTAAATTCTAATATTGGGTTCCGCCATTCAATGTGATAAACTTGATTTTGGTGTCGCTGCTACATCAGATTCAAACCAGCCAACCCATTGAGGCAAGCTTGTGGTTAAGATATCTGTGCTAGAAAGCAGGATATCATGGGTTCAACTCCCACCCGAGAAAACTAATGGGTTTTTTTCCAAAAGCTTTCTGAAAGCACTGAGCATAGACCAATCTGGGCACGCTGTCAATTCCGTCACGAAGGCCCCCTTCAATGGCAGAAGCATTGTGCTAGCTATTGTTCAGATAATGCGCCCTGGAGCAGTTGCTTTGTACAATACACAATGGTTTCTCCATTGAAGGGGGCCTCTTGTGGTCAATAGACTAATGAAGTGAAAGCCTTTTAACTGGCGTAGCACCATGCTCTAGCACACATCTCATGTATTCTTAATTTGAGGCACGCGACTAATTCAAAAACCCTATTGGTTGAAGGAGCACTACATGTGCATAGCGCCGGCTCTTGAGCATGTTTCCACAATTCTTGCTTACAATTTGGTCGTTGGATAATTCTATCCCATGCTAATACATGACTATCACAGAAAGGCAAAACCCAGTATTAAAAACGAGACTGATGATTGGTTAACTAAGCAGCAGTCTGGTCAGATATCTCATCTCATAATGTCCCCTCAGGTGCACCGTAGTCACTTTACCTGCTGGTACTATTAGAAGTAACCTTTTCTTGGAGGACCATTTGCTTCGATGAGGTCTGGCGTTTTTCTACTGAAGCAAGTTGGGGGAAAAGGGCAGTGAAGCTGGAATGTGGAGGCAAGCGTCTTGGGCCCAAGGAATTGAGCACCATGATTTGCATTAAGATGGGTCTGATTAAAGTTGAGAGTTTGGGTGGCTCAGACTCAAAAATTAAATCAATGTTATACCTCAGACTTGATGACTGTGCAATTTAGATGCACCAACTCCACTTGTATTTTTGTTGCTATTTTGCAGAAAGGTAACAGGTTCTCAGAGAAAAGAGAAGGTTGTGCATTTGAGATGCAACATAATGAGATACATATCAAGAGCCTGCTTACTCATGTTTGAGAATGATAAAAAGTGTGAACTGTGAAGTGATATGAAACTCTCTGACACTGTGAAATTAGATTTAGGGAGCATGAATGTACTGACAATGATCCAAAACCACAGTTGCCAAGAGCAGTACGACTAGTCAAAAAAAGCACGAAGGTGACTACTACAGAGTCATATGAGATGAAGCACATCGGTAGCAATTTGGGGAGACAGGAGATGTGACTTCGGAAGCCAGTTTAAAAATTAAAAAATCCACCTTTGCACACAAAATCACAAATGGCAATTTGAGGGGCTTTCTTACTCTTAAAGTTCTCTTCATTTTCTGCAGTGTACGCAGGGCGAGGCTTGAAAAAACTTTGACCAAACTGTTTCATTTTTAATTGTTCTCTTCTAATTTGTCCTTCTTTCTTATAGACCTTATGCGTAGCGGCCATCTTAGAGAGCATCTTTTGTTATTTTAATTCAGTAACAATGAATGCACAAAAGGTTCACTCATGCATATTCCAGCAAAACAAAGCATTGCCCTCTATGATGGCTCCTACGTACAAGGCCTATTTTTCTAAGACAAAACCAATATATCACATCACTCTGCAGTTATTATCAAATCACATCATGATGGAATTCCTGCATGGTTGCTCAGAAATGGTTGGGTTGATGAGGTAGGTGCAGTCACGATTGATAAGCGACATGAGCGGTTGATAAAGTCATCAATTTGTTCCCCCTAAAGTTCAAAAGGCTAACTTGTGCTTGTGTGGGCCGGAAAAGATATGACGCAGACAGTTCAACGGCTAATGAGGTGCAATCAATCTCTGCTTTGAATTGTTCTGAAGTATGAGTTGAGAGGGCTATGAATTTGATGTATAAAGTGGGTCATGCTACAAATTTGGGGTCCACTTTTTCCTGTCCCTGTTACATTTGTCATATATAATTACATAATTATGTTGCACTCCTTAGACCAAAACAAAAATTAGTTCTGCTTCCGGTTACTCTACCTACCCTATTTTGACAGCCCCTACCCTAATTTTTTTGGGGGAAAAATGAGGAAATATCCCCCAAACCATCCATTACCACCTTTTACCCTTGACTACACCCAGACACCTCCATATGATCGTCCACACAAAAAATTGCCCCCCCCCCCCAAAAAAAAGAATTCCCTACCTACCTACCTAACCTATTTTTAAATGCCATGTAATCGGAAGCAGAAATATTTTTTGTTGGCCTTAATGCAGTCGTCCTGCAAGTGTGTTTATGAATAGCAAGGTACAAACCCAACTAATAAAAATATTGTTGAATGGCAAATTACAAGTTTTAGAGGTAACAAGGAAAGAAAAAATGTCACACTTTGTACCCTAAATTTATAGAATGACGGTGCATGTGAACGGAACAATATACATGTACATTTGTGTGATATGTGTGGTGAGAAGTATGGTTCAGATTTTTGTTCTTTTGGTTCGTCTGTTTTGTGGGAGTTTAAATATATTCCATATTTTCTGAAATTGAAATCTGAACCAGTCACCAGTGTAAGGATTTTGATTTAAGGTTTTTGTTTGTACATGTACATATATATATGGACAGCCATAAAAAATGTCATATCAGTGCAGAACGTCCTTCTTCAAACAAATAATTTAAAGGTCAAAAGTGACACAAGTGAAATACAAGATTCTGGCAAATTTGAAGAAAAAAAAAAGAATCAAGGGTCAGAAAATTTAAACAAAACAACTTTACTCGCAAGCTCTGATAATCTCAACTTTGCGGGGCATTTTCCAGAAAATCTAACAGGCATGCCAGGCAAAAACTGGTAAAAGTCGGTCTTAAATCTCGTGCATTTCTGGAAAGAATACATGTATACACTCATTCACGGTCACCCACGTGCATCTCACATGATGGAAGCGGAGTGCAACGTCTTGGGTTTTTAGTGGAATTGTTTTTGTTGTCACCCACCTTGTCTGACGTGATCGTAGGGACACTGCTTGCCACGGTAACACACTCTGCCTGATGAATAGAATCTGCACACCTGGCGAGTCGATTCAGCCTCTGTGGCAAAACAAAAACAATCAAAACACAAATGGTTCAAAAACATGTTAGGGTTAAGGTGGCTGGGCTCTACCTTCCTCCAAATCGGTGGATTTTAAGGAATATGAAGAGGGAATAAGGGTACTTGGAACTTTCCACTTTTCTTTCTTAATTCAAATTTGTTTATCAATGATGGATTTATGAGGCCCTTTCACACGTCAAAATCTCAAACCATGAGAATTCCGGGGACCCCTTTTATTCTAGCAATAATCCAACACAACTTCTACAAAGGTCCAGCATTACACGGGTAAATTCAGCCCTGGTTCGGACCAGGGTTGAGAGGCTCTCTCAGAGTAGAAAATCCCAAATCTACTGCTGACCAATAGCACTAACAGTCTTGAATCCTCCAATTTTAATACGATTTTGCACACCCCCTAGGGAGTTAGGGTTAACACGTGTTTGACCAGACATGCTTGTGGTGGAACAAAGTTGAAAGGCCTACGAACTCACTGTATCCAACGGTCGCGACCCCCGGGTCGTCCGTGTCAATGTTGTAGCTGTTGCGGGCAGACTTGTAATCTGACAGCATCGGATCCCACTGATCTCTCCTCATGACCTCCTGACCTTTGACCTTCACATGACCTTCGCTTGACAGCTCAGGTACGGGGTCATAGCCACCTGCGGTATGCTTCTGCAGTGACCATCGCTCAGAGGCCATGAGTAGCTGACGTCTGGTGACCTCGTTGGGTTGGCTAGTGTCTACAGAAAGGATATCAAACATAGTGGGATAATTTGTTTTTAACATATATTTTAGGTGAAATTGCTATATCCTGAATGCCTTATCTCACTTAAAGTTAGATCCCACTTCTGACACCGTTTTTTGGTACTTCTGTGGTTAGCCCGAGTGAGTGAGAAGACCACATTAATTGCAAATGGTCTACAAATAAATGTACAGCTCAACATGCAATATAGAAAAAAACACGTTATTGATGGATATTGCTTGTGAGCAACGCCAGGCTGATTTTTACACATAACTTTTTTTTTTCCAGCTCTAAGGTCATGTCCGAGTTATTGGCAATGGCTTGAAATTTCACAAGAGTCTATGAGAAGTGGCTGCAGACTCTTTGCATATACTCGTGTGTAATTTCAAGCCGTAGCCCAGTTATTCGGACATGGTCTTAGACATTTGGCTGCAGGTCTCAAGCTCAGATTAATATCAATGTATAGCCGCATTGAAATTGCTTAGCTACGGCTTGCAATTACACATACACCTATCAAAAGTGGCCATAGCCACTTCCCATAGACCTATCACTGTCAGTCATAGCCACATAATTTTGACAAAGCCATAAAGAAATAAAATGGGTCTGGTTTCCTACCTTCATTTGGTAGGGCCGGGACAAATCTGGACGAGGCAGCCAGTCCACGGTTGACCAATTCCTGGTTGATGCAAATCTCCCAAGGGCTGGAGGGATCCAGGAGGATCATCTGCAGCGGCTCATCACTGGAAAACAAAAAGAAATCAATAAGAAAAATCATATAGGTCTAAGATGTAAATTGTATACCTTGACATTGCAATTTTTTTTCATGTTGAGTTCATAGACAATGGCAAATTGCATGGCAAAAATATGTAGAAGGAACGTAATTTTTTTTACATTTTTTGCCGGTCTAATGTACTGTTTTGAGCGAAGTCCTAGCCTTGGTCAAGGTGTTCCGACGATAGAGTCCAATGATTGACGGTTGGCCGCGAACAACGCACTCACGTCACACGTACATGTACTGTGGGAAGTGCAAACAGCGACCTCAGGAGGCTAGGTTACACTTAGCCCAGGTGGACTCCCTTTCCTCCCTACGTAACGGAGGAAGTCCAGGGTATGAAGTGCCCAAAACCGGGCGAAAAAATTTATGACCAATATTTTCAATATTTTTACCTTGTTGGAGAAGCCAATTTTTACGTCGTAGTATTCTATGTGTCCTTATCTATTGGGCCGCTGGGTTCAGGAATTCCATATGCGATGCTGACCGACCTTAATCAGGAAAATAAACTCTAAAGCAACGTTAAACTTGTACGTGTTTGTAGACTCTTTTCATCAGTTTCTCACCGCCGAGTCTATTCTAGTCGTACATGACGTACGTCCGTGCAGCGTGTAGTCTGGTTCCCTAGACCTGACAATTATTCTCGGCGCTCATATCATGTCTGGTCTGGGAGCCAGACTATGCAGCGTGAATATGCAGTGCCCATGCTTAGTAACCATCCTCATACGCACGCGCACTTACTTGAAGGCGCGGTCACTAATCCAATGACCGAGCGTGTTTTCGCGCCAGTTACCAGAAACATGTTTCGGCTTTGGTCATTGGTTGAGCGCTTTCGTGCGCACGTACATGACGTATGACTCGGGAATAAAACTGATGAAAAGAGACTACAAACACGTACAAGTTTAACGTTGCTTTAGAGTTTATTTTCCTGTTTAATGTCGGTCAGCATCACATATGGAATTCCTGAGCCCCTGGATCAATAAAGAAGGCGTGAAATAAGCTTCTGTAACGAGGTAAAACGTAACAAAAATCTGGTCCAAATTTTGGGTGGTCTTATGTAGAGAATTCTCATCCTGGACGTCAGTCGTAATGCAATGAAGACTTCGTCCAACCTGGGCTAGGTTACACTATGCAAATCAGACGGGTCTGTATGAATGTCTTGGAACCATAGTGATGGCCTATCTTTTTCGGGCAATTTTTGTAATTTTGTCGCTGGATATATAATCAAGCTATAATTGGTCTGCAGACTCCAAACTTTTGTTGGAGAATGTAGCCACACTATCCAGCTCTGATCCATGTAAAATATGAGCCTCCACAACCAAGCACTGAATAATTATCTCATCTATATTTGCATATGGGGTTATCACTGGAAAACAGCGATAATAAGCCAAAGCCCACAGATGTTCTATGAGGTCGCTGTCTGCGCTTCATCAGGTACACACTTGTGAGTGCAAGGAATTGCAGATGCTGTGTATGTTAGCGGCCGACCATCAACTGCCTAATACCTCAGCCAAGGCTAGCGAAGTCCTTAAGTGCCAAGTTGAAGAGTTCAATTCTTTGTTTTGCCCACTCGAAGGCAACTTCTGATTCTCTTGTCAAGAGCTACCGTCTAGCTCTTTTGACAATAACTATACCTGTCTGGTTTGTACTCCTTGGAGACTCTACCCAGAAGCATCTTGCTGTAGCCGGTCATCCTGGCAAACTCTTGGATTGTCTCGTCCAACCAACCTCCAACTCCGATTTTGTCATCCTGGGCTTTCCCTGCAAAGTTCAAATTCGAAAAGATAATTGCTCCCTTTCATTTCCAAAACATCATCAAAGTTCAGAAATCCATTCAAATGTGAGGTTACAGGAAAACGAAGACGGGATTTAACTTTCATTTTCATCAAACTTTATTTCCTTTGGATTTTTCCCGAGAACCTTCCTAAATTCCATCACTGTGCAAGAATCCAAGTGCACACTTTTTGTACTTGAAACTGAAAAGGGGCATAAAGCCAAAAGCCTCACTTAAAGTAACAGAGGCCGGGCTTTACCTTCCTAAATCCAACAAAATCCTCCCGAACCTGGTTTTTGTAGGATCTTGGAGTGGTTAGCGTTAACCTCACCTTTTGGCTTTTCCGCATCGTTCTCCCAGCTTTCTTCTTTCTTGGGAGGTTCAATGTGTGCCAGGCAACACTTGATGACCTGTCCTGGTAGTTCATGAAACTCGGGCCGTAGTGGTTTTAGAGTGTCCGCTGCCAACCACTCCTGGTTCCCAAAGTCAATGTACGTGACTTTGACCATCAGCCCGCCAGTAGCACTCTCCGAGCTTCCCTTAGAACAGTCAGTGTTCCCTTCCTTGATATCCAGGATCTTGGCCCGATACCAGGTCCCATCTTCGCTGTACTTGGCCGCACAGTACTTGTCAAGCTCCAAAAGGGGCTCTTCTGTCAAGTGGTTAGCCTCTTTACCATTATACAACTTGTTGAGATCCTTAGCCAAGACATCCAGTTTGTCAGCATCAGAGTTGATCAAGTGGATGTAGAACTCTTGAGGACTGACGATGTGAGACATGGCCAGTCTGACGCAGCCATTCTGTGTTGGAAGACTCTCTCTTCGGCCAACCTGTAGGGGGAGAGTGGAGGGCGACTTGACATGGTCCTTTGTCTTTGTTTTAACACATCTGCTTGAAGAACCATGTGACGATGCTCCAGAGTTTGTGTTTCCACAATGGAGTGAGGAGCTATCCGATTGGAACACCTCGGTGTCCAGTTCTGTGACTGCAGTGACAAAAGAGCTGGTGCTTGATGACAGGTTCCTTGAGGAAGCACTTAGTGGTTTATTAAGACCTCCTGCTGTATCTGGTTTTGCTTTTTGTGATAGGTAGCCTATGGCAGTTTTCTTGAAGTTCTCACTCTCTGTCTCTTCACGGTGTAGGCCGAGCATGTCTTTGAGATTGCCTTCCATTGCATCTTTTCTGCTCTGCTCCTGGATACTCTGGCAATATTTATCCTTATTCTGTCTGCCGGACCTGGCTGTGTTCTGCTGGATGCTGCTCGCATCACTCGGTCCAGAATTGCAGCTGGAAACACCGCTGGATGAGTTGGGACTGATCCTACCGAGCCCAATCTCCTCTGGATAGTTGCTTGATTCCTCTCGATGAGAAGCACCCTTACACCCTTGCAGCTTCTCATTCCCCTGTTTTGCTGATTTCCCCACAGACCAGGTATCATCACTGCAATTGCTGTGTTTCTCTGTTGATCTGGAGCCCACACTGCCTGCCTCCCTTGTTTTCTGAGGATGTGTTGACCCAACTCCTCTGTCTGAATCTGTTTGCCAGCTCTCTTGATGAACCTGTTGATCTACCTTCCGTGGATTGTGGGGCGCAGCGGCTTGTCTGGAGTTGTTCATCCTATTTCCCCGTCCTGCCCAGGAGCCGTGTTTCCTAGAGCGTCCGGGCTGGACCTGGTTTGGAGGATTCCCTCTTGAGTGCGGTGGTGACATCTTTGCAGAGTTGCACTCTTGAGGCTTGCTGTCTTGGCCTGGTGATGTTTGCCTAGTTGTATCTTGGTTGACGTGACTTCTGCTTGGTTCAGTGGACTGACTGTGATGCTGCTGGGGCCTGCTTCCAGACTGGCTCTCTGACTGCTTTGCTTGTCTCCACGATGGGTTCGACTGATGTCTGGATCTGGGGAAGGGGTTGTTTTTATCATCTTCAAACTCTGAATATCCAGAAGAATTTCCTGTTTGCGTTTTCAGTCTGCTGGAGTTGGTAGACTGGTTATATTCTCCCTGTTTCTGATTTGGTGGCTTGGCAGTTTTGTTCATCGGCTGTTTTGAATCCAGAGATTCCTTTGAGGTACACGTGTCGCTTTTATCATCAGACACCTCCCTGCTTTCTTTAGTCTCTACAGAACCACACCTGCTCTCATTCTTGTCTGGTTTCCTGGAGGTCCCGCTGCCCTGGCTTGCATTGCAACCTATAAACAATCAAACACTACTAATATTACAAGAGAGCAGTCAAGTAGCTGGAAATTTACAAGCTGTGGGTATTCTGTGAAAGTTCTTAAGTTTGTTCTCAACTTTATTTTGAACATTAACTTTTAAAGGTTTAGCCTTACTCTACCACTCTCCAATTCACTTCAATACTTGCAAAAAGTGACTGTTATTTGTTTGTTTATTGTGATCAAATATCTGCACAATACCACATCTAATGTTCAGAACTCCTGGCAACTCAGACTTCTGGCACCAGAAATAGTCTCATGATTCAAGCGGACCCACGTAAAAAAGTAGAACAGCAGAATCAAAATTTTCACACAAAAAAAAGGACAAAAGTAAGACTTTGGAGGACAAAATCAGGATAAAAGTAGGACTTTTGCAGGCTTTCAGGAGTAGTTTTCATCGATACTCACCCATGACCACAGCATCATAAGCAGGGTTCGCCCTTAACTTTTTTGTTCACTAGCCAGCCGGGCTACTGAAACTGTTTCGTAACTAGTCCGCGGGCATTTTCACTAGCCCGCATTTATTTTCTTATCTCACAAACAAAATGGCGTTTTTTCAGGCTCAATTCTGAGGCAATTTTGTCAGTGTTTTTTTATTAACAGATCTAATAATTTAACCCTTTAAAACAGTTGATAAAATTTGACACAAATTGATGGGGTTTTCTTTCTGAATTTAATGATTTATTTCTTCCTGTACGTTCATCTTTGCCGTATCCCAATAATTTTTCACTCGCCAGCCGGGCTAGTTAAGGAATAGTTTGACTAGCCCCCCGCTGTTTTTGTGCAACACCATTATAAAAAGGTATTCAATGAGATTCCTTTTTTGGAGTTGTGGGACAAAATGTAGGAATTTCAAGAACAAGTAGGAAAAGTAGGAGCAAGGTAAAAAAAACTAGGAAAAGTAGGCATTCTTGAAAGGCTGTATTCTTTTTGTTAAAGTCGAATCACATCCCTGTGTCAATACTATTTTTTGTCTTGTGATGCTTCAACACAGTACCCTAAATGCAAGTATGGATGCATCACATTTTCATACACCCAAGTCAGGATTAAATTGACTTGAAGATAGATTGAGATATTATGAGCCCACCGTCCACCCATTGGTTTACCTGAGGTCTTGGGTTGTTTACCAACTGACTGCGCAGGGTTTAGAGGGTCCTCATCAGGGGGGCCATAGCCGGGTAGGTACTGGGCCATTTGTCTCTCCACCATGGCCTTTGCAACATCAACCTAGTGACAATCAGATCAAGAGAAATAAAAAGGTTTTCAAACTTCTTGCCTGTATTAACTGAGATAAAAAAATTGTATTAAGTTAGAGGGCTTGACTTTTTGTCTGTTATCTCTCAATACCTGAATAATGTGATGGTCACCACCACTGCCGACCATGACAGGTGCGGATATGTCCAGCGAGGGAATGGAGTGCCCCTTGGCTACCTTGACCGATGCTATGACCTTCTTACCCAGGAGCAAGGACTTGAAGAAATCCACCTGCTCCTTGGCCCAGCCACTGGAGAGGATTGGCGGTTTGATCTGGAATCATGTCAGAATTGAGGATCGTGAGAAAAGGTTGAAAAAAGGGGTCTAGAAAAATTAACCCTAACTCCCCAGGCATTTTTGCAAGGATGCAACCTCAAGCCTGCTAAATCCTCCATACTTTCTTGAATGTGGTCCTTGGCAAGGTGACCAATGCTTCAATCCTGCAAAATCCTCCAGCAATCACTGTCAATATGTTGAGGCAGAGCCAGTGACATCCTGGAGCAGTGCGGAGGATTTCAAGTATAATCTACGCCTAAAACTATGCACGGCTGAGCATAAACAACACAATGTCCTGCCCAAGACCTTGACACAGTGCTTTCTCCAAAATCAGCCACACATTTTTACCATACAGCTTCAATCCTGCAAAATCCTCCATTTTTCAAAGAGCATTTTGGAGTATGGCTGAATGGCAAAAAAGTGTTAGTTGATTTTGGAAGATGCATTGTGTAGAGTTTGTAGGCTCTTTCCAGCATTGTTTATGTTCAGTCATGAATAATTGAGCCCTGCATATGCTCGATATCATCCGCACTGCTTCTGAATGTCATCCGCACTGCCTCAACCCATTAACAGTGATTGTTGGAGGATTTTGAAGCAATGGTCACCCTCCACTTAACGAATTCAAGATACAACAAATGATTTTGGAGAATCCAGGCTGAATCCAATTTTTACATGGTTACAATTGGAGGATTTTGCAGGATTGTTCCAAGCCCAAAGGGCCCACGGGGTTAGAATTAAGGCTTGCCCTAAGGTTTGTACCCAAGATTGTTGAGCGATAACACCAATACTGGAAGGGCTTAATTGGTATGAAATCTTTATTGTGGTAAAAAGATCTAGCTCCAGGACACACCCTTTCCTGTTTTCAAGGGTTGTACTAGGGGTCACATCTAGTCACCCAGGAAGATGAAAACATGGCAAGTCCAAATGAAAAGTTCAAGTGCTATTTTTAATTTATTGGAGTAAATTGTCCTGCTTATGGACATACCTTGGCCATGGAGCAACAGAAAGACTGAGCCGGGAGCTTGGTGAAGGCAGGATTAATCACCCGCACCCTAGTCAGGTTCAGTTTCTCTCGGTTGCCGTAATCCACGTAAATAACATCCACGATGATGCCTGCCGGGTTGTCCAGGTTGAGTGGCTGACCCGATGCGTGGTCCTGAATGCCTGAGGGTCAAGAACAAAACAAGAAACTCTTTAGGAATGTTTGCTGTCTGTTCCCTTCACATAATTATCGGTGTATAATGCCTATACTATCTAAAAATGAATCCGATGATTCTGAACTGACTGCCGTGTAGGTTTCTTCAAAGATGACAATTTAAAGGTATGGTCCACCATTTGTAATTTGTGCATTTTGTTCGTTTGAAGCAACAAAAGTGCTCAAAATCCAAAGAAGGGTGCTGAACAACTAACCTGATGAAGTTTCAGCTCAGCTTCAGCTGCATATTTCAGCTGCGATGCCACGCACCGATCCGATGAATTATAGCAACCGCGCGCGCGTGTGTGCATCAAGTCAACGCTTGCGCGGGCTTCGCCGAATAAAAAAACGAACTACTAATGGAAATTTCCATCAGTGCTTCTTAAGACGCACCGTTGGAAAGACCTTCTTTCGCTGATTTCTTTAAAATGACAGCTTGCCAGAAAGAATAATTTCACAGGGAGTTTAGTCCCCTTACTATCTTTCAACCAAGTAGTTTTTCAACAATAATTACGCCAGTTACTTTTTGGATAGCTGCAAAGGATGGACTCTGGCTTTAAAGACTGTTTCAGACTCTCCAACTTTCAAAAATGGCAAAGTACAACTAAGGCACAAAAAAGTGCTTGGACAATGGGAACTACCACAACAATTTTGAATGGGCACTTGAAAGAAGAAAATTCAACTGATAAGAGTCATTTTTTTACAGACAAATAGGGCAAATGGTCGAAAAAAAAGTCTGACGTTTGACGGTAATTCAATTCTCTGGGGCAAAGATAAAAAAATTTCAAATAAGAGCATGGACGTAACTCACCTACAACACGAGCACGATACCAGCTGTTGTCTTCAGTGAAACACGCACAGCAGAAGGTGCCAATTTCAGGGGCCGGGATTGGAATGTTCTGGAAATTGCTGTAAACTAGGCTGCAAGAATAATAATATTAGTAAAAAAATCTCATGATACACTTAGTCTAAAAAGATACTGCCTGACCATTGGATCCCAATAGTCTGATAAATTTTGCTTCCACCTAAATAAAATCTGTTGAAATAACAAAACAAGTAGCATTACTAGCAGGGTATAAAGAGATGAAGGACATTTTTATTAAGATGACGTGAAGAAATAAAAATATTGCGCCATACACAAAATTTTATGTCCAATTATCGATCAATGCAGCCCAGTTTAAGTAATAGTAATCATCTTACTTGAGTTTTTGAGCAAAGGTGTCCAGCGGCGAGTCGGCCAGCTGTATCCAAAAGACTGCCGGAGTCTTGACCTCACTGACCACCACCTCAACTTGAGAGATGCTGGTATTCTCCATCGGCCTAATGACTGCTGACTGTTTCTCGTTGGAGATGTGATGGTAAGGAAGAGGGTGGGACCGGGTGGGTGGAGGGTTGGGTTGATTGAGGGTTGCCTGGACTGGCTGAGTGGTGCTTGCGGGAGCTGTACATAGGGCTGGTCTATGATGTGTCTGTCTACTGTTCACTGAGCTAGCATCCCCTGAACCCTGCGGCAGAGCCTTCTTGTCAACGTCCTGGCTGCCTTTCAACTCATTTGTGTTTGGTCCTTCTGGCACAGGTTTGCATCCTTCTGCTTTTTCGTCAGTTCTTGCTGGAGCGTTCTCCTGTGCATGGAATCCAGGGGGCATTCCTTTCTGATCCAGTTTGACCATCTTGGAGCTGTCCTGGACATTCTGTGTCTTAAAGTCTGTGTTGCGACATCCTTCTGTGATGGAGGAACCAGAGGAGGTAGGACCACATCTCTGACCTTGCTCAGGTTCAGTGAGGCATCCAGTCTGAATTCGACTTTTTGGTGGCTGGTGGGGTGAATCTTTAGGTGACTTACGCTCGCTCTTTGACACATGGGACCTTGCCAAGGACCCGCACGAAGAGACTGTAGTGGCGCTGACGCTACTGAAGACTGAGACGCTATCGTCGTTGATGCAAGAAGCCGAGTCTGGGTTACAATCCGTGCTGGAGCTAGAATCGCTCTCGTCATTGTCTGCGGTTAAGGGATGCATGCAATTCAGATATACAAATAAATGTTTTTTTTTCATAATTTGTTCCTCTCTAGTACTACAATTTTGAGCATGTTTAAAAGGCACCATGAAGAATACTCTCTTTCTGATATTTTCCATATTTTGAATATATTAAAAGCCACACTGAGCAAGATGTGGACTCAGCATATGTGGAAATAATTGAAACGACTACGCTTGACATGTTGAGCTGGATCCAACATTCTCAGCTTATGACGTTTAGTGGTGGGAGAAATCAGAGAGTTTCGGTTATCTTATTTTTGTTTTCAAACCAAATAACCGTTGAAGTTATCTGATTTCACCGAAAGTTCCCATTCAGTTCCTAGTCACGCTAACAGAAAGTGACGAGTGAGGTGCCACATGAAATGTCCTCCACGATTATTGGATATGGTTTGCTTCTTTGCTACAACTTTACAAAAATACCCCAGCACTGTAATGGTGAAAGAAATTGTTGGGAACTCTCTGATCAGTTGAATGGGCAGGCTATTCATGAACCATAGCCAGTGAATGCAGTTACAATCAGAGACCATGGAACAAATTGGTGGATCAAGATATTTTCTTTAGCTCGTGTCACAAAAAAGGGAAGATTTCATTTTGTTTAAGGTTGGTTTCGAAAATCCAGTTTAAAAAATTCACACTGAATAGTGGAATTCAAACTGAGTTTCAAAAAATCTGGATTTTAATATCACAATTAAGGACATTATTAACGCTCTGAGACTATGTCGGTCAGTCAGTCTGTCGGTCTGTCAGTCAGCCAGAGGACAGTACGCTGGCCCTTATGTCCCAGCAAAAAGCAAATTCACCTCATTCAGGTCAAATTTTGTTTAAAAAGTGGAATGAGGAAGAAAATAAAGAATTGAGGAAAGTACAAGATGCGAGTCTGACTGATTATGGAAAGACCTTGAACCAGTCTGTCTGCCTACCGCGACAGATGCAGATTTGTATTTATAGGGCCTAAACGATAAAAGGCATGCACAAACAAGTGGATTGCACGTGTCCTCCCAAAGTAATAATACTGCCAATAGGTAACAGAGCTTTCTCTCTTGCTTGTGCATGGAGCACATAAAATAGTCCAGTTTTCTCACCGTTTTCAGATGATGGAAAGGCGCCAGTGAGTTTCCTCAATGTGTCCAGGCTAGTCTCCAGGGCAAGGTTAACTTGCTTGTAAAGCTTCTGGAACCTTCTCCTGTCTGTTTCCTCAAGGAGTTTCCGAGCTTGAGTGACGGTCTGGATAGAATTACAACAAATTAATGGTTTGAAAAAGTACTTGGTTTTAAAAGGTACATCAACATTAAATTCTTGCAATGGGTAAAAAAACAGGCTTATATATCAAGACATTTTCCAGCCATGTTTTAACCATCTTTGCTCAAAATGAGAACAGATGTGCTCAGTCAACGGAAGGAGTTTGAAACTGCATTTTGTCTGAGCAACTCTCCTGGTGAAATTTGAAAGAACTTGAAGAAAAAGTCAAAGAAGGGTTAAGATTTATAACAATGCAACCATATAGACACAAAATTGCTTATTCTGCTTGTCAATCACATAGTGCGCATTGACCACTTGAATCACGACTTTTGGTTAAGTGGCCACGGTAGAACAGTCAAACTCAGTCATGAGAACTATGAGAATAGTACACAAATCAAAGGCGAGCTGGGCTTTTGACAAAATTCCAAAGGTCCACAAAGCTGCAAAGGGATCCTGGAGTATATTTGGAGGTTCTTATTGGAGAATTTCCAAATGTGATCAGAATAATGATCGCATCTCCCCTCCCCCTCCCCCTTCAACTGGACTTACCGAGGCTGAGATATCTTGGATCCTGCTGGTCAGCCAGTGTTGTCGTTCCTCAATGCGATGGATCTTCTCAAGGAGGAATCTTTTGTCATCTTGCATCAGCTTGCGCTTGGAGGATGCCATCTTAGCACTCACAGCTATTTTTCTGGGGAGAAAACCAAGATCCAAGTCAGTCTTCAACTTGAAGATGCGAGCCTTGTGTAACCTAGAATTCGACACTGTTATGGGTGAGGAATTTACAACAGGTGATGAAAAATTTGGCATTGCATGAATGACAGATTGCATGTTTTATGACTGTGTAACCTGGAAAAATGACACACTTGGGGGAACTCGCACAAACTAAGACTTGATGGGGATTAACTAACCAAACTAAACTAAACTCAGGATCTTTGAAGGGAACTGTCTCAAGGAAATTGAATTACACCTAAACTTAACTCCGGATCTTTGAAGGAAAAGGCGCGAGGAGATTAGAATTAATAGGGACAAGGGACACAATTCTAGATTTCAAACCAACAAAAAAACCAAAAAGGATTTATTTACAAGAACTTGAAATCAAAGACCAATAACCGATACCATAAAATCAAAACTAAAGACTAAGACCAAAAACTTTACCATAACTAGTGATTGGCGTTTGTTGTTACAAACGCAGAGTGGTCGGGTAGACAATTATTTTATGGAACACTGTCCAGTTAATTTATGAATATTTTTATATAAGAACAAAGGATCACGAAATTAAATCCTTTCCAGGACAATCAATTATTTTGTTTAGAAAATGCATCTTTAACGGTGTGATAAATTTCAGTAAACATTCTATATACACATACAAGATATTTCTGGCTTGATAACGTCATTAGTCAAAAACGGGAAGTGAATACTGATTTAGTTCGGAGTGGATGTTCATTGTAAAGTTAAATAACGTATGAATATATGGAAAATACAAGTGTATGTATTCATAATACCGAACTTCCGGTTTGATGAAGTCACAGTGTTTGGAAGCAACAGGTGAACATTGTAATGGTATCGTTATTTGGGCTAAGTTATATGACATGGATAAAATGATAGAATTAAATTCAAAATATGATCGTTGACAAATTCTCATAGAAGTAACTTCCGGTCTGATGACCTCATGAATTTGAAACCAAATCGACCCAAAAATATCAAGAGTCGATTTGGTAAAATTTGAACCTATGGTTTCAAAAGTAAAGAAAAGAAACAATTTTTAAGTGCCGCCAGGGGGTGCCCTTTCGGATGATGACGTCATCACACTGTTGTTTTGTGTCTGGCATTCCTCACTAAACACATTTTTATAGATGTCTGTAGTAAAATGCTTCCGCTTTTGAGTTATATTCAGTTTTTATTGCACTTCCGGTAAAACCGGAAGTAAAGGTCAAGCGGTTTTGCGTCCGGGAACACGAAATGTTTCTCATGGCATAGCCTACAACCTCACGAAAAAATGAACACGATACTCTATTTAGTTCAAAAGATATAGCGCAAACTATTTCGTCGAAATTTGCCCTTAAATCGCTTGTAATTTGATACCTGATGACGTCATGATGATTTAACAAAATGTATAACATCTTCGTAACATGGTACAAGCTCACACAATTAAGGCTTTGTGATCATACCTTAAACAGTTCGGAAGAAATTTTGCTTTGTTTTCATTTCAGGTTAACGTCTTCATTTTGATTTCACCTAACTTTGACCTTCCGGTAGACCTGGAAGTAAAGGTCAAGCGAGTTTACGTACGCGACAAAAAATGTTAAGCAATTAACGGTCTATCTGATTACAGAATACAAACGTCATTGATTATGTAGTTCAAGAGTAATAGGTGAAAGTAATTGGTCACTTTTTCAGATAAAATCACTTGTAATTTGACACCTGATGACGTAATCATGACGTCAAAGTAATATGCACCACTTCGGATGAGTGTCGATGTATATCGAAAGTTACAAGTTCATACAAGTTCATACCATATACCATTTAGGAGAAAACCTGCGGAGAACGATTGTACGAAAAAAAAAGAAAAAAAAAGAAAGGAAGAAAGAAAGAAAGATTAATTGTAACAAATCCAAAGAGTGGTCGAGTTGTGCCCGACCACTCAAAAACCAATGATAAAACCAAGTTAAAAAAAACCAACACAGTGTGCTTAATAAGTAGACCTTCCAAGACATTTTGGAAGAAAATCGATGACTCTAGCTGAACGAAACACACAGCGCAGGGCACACCCAAGAAAAAGGGGAAAGAGAGGAACTCAAAAATATAATGCTCTCTTTTCTGCTGCCTGGTCTGCTACTGAGGGGTCTGTGGTCTTACAGGGTGGCAGGGCACATGGTCTTGGGGGAAGGGAACTAATGGCATGAGTCTAATTTACATACAATGTGGACTTGTTACTGGGGAAAGTTTATCAGGGGGAAACACTACTTGAAAGGGTTGGGGGAAGCTAATGAAAAGGCTGGATTTCCTCAGGGGGGCTACTCCTATACTAAAGCAATACAAAAAATAATTTGGGCAAATACAAGTTAAATTTGGCCCTGCCACACTTGCACATTTGCAGAGATTCACCAATTAATTTACTGCAGTGGACATTTAGCTGGTACCTGGTTTTTTTTTTAGAATTTTTTTACAGAGGCCTTCTCCTACTGGCTCATATTTAATTACATCATATCGACTGCGCCAGCTTTCTTTCAGTAGGCTAATTGTTAGTTTGCCGGAGATCGTCTTATGATTGTTCTGACAAACTAGCATTTACAAAACGATAGCCGGTGCAGTCATATGACGTATTTACATGCTTAATGGGCAAATCAGAGAATCTGGGAACCACGCCCACTGCACATTAAGAATTGGAACCATTGGAACTGGATGTTGATGCAATTTACGTGTTTATCCAATGGGCGCTAGTAATTAGTGGTGCGCGCGCACGTATGACAAACGGGATAGCGCGACGTACTTGTATAGTGTACAACTCATCTTATTTTAAAGATGGAAAGCCACAGCGTCTTTGTGTGAGCGTGTCTGTCATTGGTCTCCCCTACATTGCCCAAACTCTCTCTTTCTAGTCGTTGAGGGGGTACCTGTGAACGGAGCCCATATTCTTCCCTTGTATCCCCCACCCTGCAAACAGGGCACTGGGAAGGGCTGATGAGCTTCACAGAATCGTGTAAAGTTGGGATGGCATTCTGGGTAACTTATCATGACCTAAAGTCATCCAGCTACAGCTGTTTAAGACCGCGGTTAGCTAATGCGTGCAAAATGCTATCCTAAAAACGTTCTCATAGAATTAAATGCATACATTCCATACCAGATGTGATTTCTTTTGCATTGCGGACCATGATCATGATGATGTGGACAAATTTGAGCGTCACATAATAATGCAATTTGACCCTTTGTGTTTTCAAAACAGAGCCCGAGCACGTGATGGGAACTGAAAATTTACAAAACAGATTTATAAGCTTTACAGATTTTCCTTCATTATTACATTTTTCAAATGAAAAAAGATATGAATGTGAATAAAAGAGTAGTGACTCGGTCTTAACGGCTGTTTAAAAACTTGCAGGGCATGCAGGGTCGTGGCCGTGACGACTTGAAGGTCACAGCCTGGTCACGCAAAATCTATCCAATCAGGGCCAAGTTAAATGCATCAACCCTTCTCCAGTGTTCCCAGCACCCTGTTTGCAGAGCGGGGTCATTATATTTAAAACTTATTTTTATATATATTATAGGCCAAGCCCCATAAATGTGGCCTATTTACTGGAATGCCTCCGTAAACATAGGCCACACATCCACATGTACAAAAATCGTGTCGACGGAGCCAAATTTTGATTTTCACATTTAGGCTTAGTTTGTAGGGTTTTTTTGCTTTAGAAGCATACTCACCCTCTTTACAGGCTAATCAGAAAGTGCTGCCTTTTTCAGATGTCTAATTTTTGTGAAATTTCATGTTGAAATTTTGATACGCAAACGTGTAAAAATGAATCTGGAAATTTCACGAAAAATATACATCTGAAAAAGGCAGCACTTTCTGATTAGCCTATAAAGAGGGCGAGTATGCTTCTAAAGCAAAAAAAACCTACAAACTAAGCCTAAATGTGAAAATCAAAATTTGGCTCCGTCGACACGATTTTTGTACATGTGGATGTGTGGCCTATGTTTACGGAGGCAGTCCAGTAAATAGGCCACATTTATGGGGCTATTATAGGCCTAGCGCCTTCCATTTTAAAAAACAAACCCAAAGCACTGTACAAAAGATAAAACCAAAGTACATAAATATAAAAACCAATATAAAAATAAAACCAAGTCAATAATGATCAAAATCGTTAACACCCCCCCCCTCCACTGTTCCAATACCCCGCCCCCCATTGCAGTTTCCCATCTTGTGATATCATACCGTACCCCGTACGCGTTGCGGCGAAAGTGAACTGGCTGTCACTGAACTGTCATCAGTGTCAATAAACTCAGATGAATCGTGGAGTGTTTACATCGTCATGATCGTGTCATCTCCCACAGACCTGTCCAATGACTTCAGACTGTAGTTGTACCCTTTACAAAAACAGTCAGTCTATATTCCTCAAAACTGTAGCGAAATGTTCCAGGAAATTTGCAAACAAACAAGTTTTGTTTCACCTGCTGCAGGGAATGTTAGCAAAATTAAAAACAGTGACCATGTGCTCGACATCGATCGCAGCGCTAGCGCGCGGCGCCTGACTATCCGAAAGTAACAACAGAGGGCGCTCGCCAATGTCTGTGACTTGCACACTTCAATCGCATTCACAATCACAGTGCCAAAATCACTCAACAAACACAGTGAAGAAGTTCAGGAATTACGAGCATGAGAAGGTAGGAAATTTGAGCCCTAAATTTTAAAAGGAAGACACCAATAAACTTTGTGGCAAGAAAGTTACCGAGTGCGAGTGTGCAGATTGGACCATCATTAACATCTGCAACAAAACTCAACTGCATGCAGGATGTGGCGATTTTCTTTTTTGGCATGTTTGGGGGGGTTGATGATTATAGGCCCCGATCATAGGCCCCTACGGAGTAATTTGAAAGAATGTTGCAACCTGACACTACTTCTTTGGTTGTGTACAAAGTCTATGGAGAGTCAAGAACATTTTCTAAGTATTTTCTAACGCAACTGGAAATATTTCTCAGCCCCGCCCCAGAATCATGTCTGTACGGTAGCATAATCATTTTCTCAGTGATTGACCATGCGTGCGCTCGCATGCTGACCTTCATTGAGATGGTATATGAGGAAAACAGCAGGGTCGGGTTGCAACTTTCTTTCCGAATAATTATACACATATTATACTATTATACGTATTATAAAAGTAACTTACGATTTGATCAAAAGTGAAATTTACCGTTAATCCGCGAGGACTTCCCCGTGGTTCCTTCTGTTGAAATTTGTTTCTAATTTGCATCGATGCATGGACTTCCACTTCAGGTGGCAATAAAGAGACAAATATCACCAGAAGAAACCACGGGGAAGTAATTCGTATGTACACTTATGAAAAGATGTTTTCACGGGCTGCCCTATTCTTTTTCTCAATTTGACTCTGGAGGTAGTTGACACCTCAGTAGGCCTACTTGGCTTTTACTTTGAACTCCAATAAAAATACTCGACTTCAACACTGCTGTTCAACTTTTCAGGTACAGACAATGGCCGGATCAAGGATGAACAAGCGATTGTTTGTGATCCTTCTCATCTTCCTTGTCATCTGTTGCTTGGGTTGGGTGCGCCTTCTCTTCATCTTGACCTCGTATGACCTAGAGCCGAGGCATGTGCCCGTCTCTCAGCTGGTAGCCTTCTCGACGCGGGTGGACCATGACCATGTGAGTGGGCCAATGCAGGATTTTGTGTGTTTCAAGACTTAAAACCTTCATAGATTTTTAATTGTTTAAACTGTATTATTAATTTCTAATTGTTCGTTAACATGGCTGTAATAAAGCAAGATATAATTTTGTTGGCAGGATTGGTATCACTCTGTTTGCTTCCGTGGCATCGAGCATGAACTGTCTATATCGACATTGGATGACTTTATTGAGAAGTGGGCAGTAGCATACACAAACACAGAATGCAGGTAACGACATACAGTGAAATCTCGATAAGTCAAACTCAAAAACAACTGTTAAGTCAAACAAAGAATCCATTGCCTTCAGTAGTATAGCAATGATGTACAACCCTGCTTAACTCAAAACTCTGCTTAAGTTTAATTTTGAACCCGTTCCGTTGAGGTTTGACTTATCGAGATTTTACTATACAACATCCTCATCAAAGGCAAAGAACTCAAACAAACTTTGTTTTGATTTGACCCGTTTGTCTCTGTAGAGTGCCCAAACACGTACCCTGCCTATAGACCATGTCCAATTCGTTTACAAAATTGGATGTTGTGGTCACATGACGCAAACTTTCAGATAACTGTTCCCTCCTGCACTACATGTGGATCTCTTGAATAATGGTGTAAAAGTCGTGACATAATTATACAGTTTTAATGTGGGCCAAATAACATGCAAAAGATGCTTAAATATTCGTTAGGATTGCCCAACAGGTATAGCATGGTCTGTTACTCAGTGTAGCACCCGAAACCGCCTGAGCACTCTATGGTGTTATAGATTCATCAGTGAATAAACACAATGTAATACAATGTAGTACAATGTAATACAATGTAATACAATGTAGTACAATGTAATACAGTGTAGTACAGTTGCCATTCAGTTGAAGGTTCATACTAAGATGTGCCTTAAAAATATGTTTGACTTTATGTTCTTCCATTTAAATTCCTTTTTCTTTCTACTAGCGATATGTACAACACCTTCTCCAGTATCTACAGCGTGAGTCGTCGTTCCGGTCAGCTGATCATACCAGAAACCTTTCAGACTAAGCTACTCAGATGGCTGGGAAACGATGAAGAACTGCTCAAAGAGGCTAAACTGCAGGTACAAATCACCAAAACGAATTTGATTAACCCTCACACTACCAGATATGTCAGGTGTAAAAGTCTGTGGGAACTTGTTATCGAGCCATCACCACCAGTGCATATATGGACAATTCTGAGACAATGAGAGCTAGTCCCATTAAACAATGCCACAGTTGTATCCTGCTGCAGTTGGTGACCACAGACTCTGAGGCAGATTAGTATCAGGATGTTTGACTTTTCTGTAACTTGTTACACTGGACAGGCTTCTCACATTGACAAGTGCTGTATGTTGTTGCGTTGGGCAGGTTGTCTATCCAAAATACCTTGGAAGGTTAGGGTCAAAAACTGACTACCCCAAAATCTTGGTTTCAGTGCACCATCTACCACTAAACCTTCACATTTTTATCTTTTCACACACAGTTTATAACTTCCATATACAACAAGTACACACATGAACACACCTTGCTGAATCCGCTCCGAGCCAAGCGCCCTGGGGTCAATGACCTTGAGGACATCGATGAGTACATGGAGGACCTTGTCAAGAAATCTGAGAAAAACTGCGATTTCTGCGACTATAAATAGTAAGGTCAATGGTCAAGTTGTTAGAAATGATTTCCCTTTACAAGTAAATTTAGTAGTTGGTGTATATACTGGTTTTTCCTTTTGATAGAAAAATATAGATCTCTTCTGCAGTCCGTAGTTGGAACCCTCTTGTAGGGGTACATAGACATACATTATTGCCCTCTCTTGTGGTCCGATAATAAGGTTACAGGTCAAAGGTTATTTTAATATTTTTTTTGCCCAGTAAAACTGCAGAGGACACGTTTGGCAGGATTGAGTCAGATCTCAGTGCTACGGCAGCAAACGCTTTCAAGATGGATGGTTTCCACGCCCTAGTCATCCTAAAGAACCAGCACGACCCTAGACTCATTACAGAGGAGCTATTCCTTGATGCAATGCACGTCTCAATGAAATGGTGAGATGTTAGATGAGCAATGTCTGTTTTTAAAATTGTTCCTGCATACTTCCCTGTTACTGAATGTGTTAAAAGACTTGTGATTTACTATTTGATGGACTTGTGATGGACTCGAATACAACTATGGAAACAGACCCCTTGCACTGGCTCGTTTTGGTTATTAACATGATTTTTAGACTTTTTGTCTATTTTTTTTACAACCTGTCCCAAAGGTTTATGAAGGTCTACGATACGGACAAGCAGTACCGCTATCCACACATGATATGGGATAGCCTACCCAAAGCCAGCGCTAGTCAGATCCATCCACACGCTCAAATCACCCTCAGTCCGGTCAGACACTATGGTGAGTTGTATCATAGACATCATTTACAAGTTAAGAGGCATTCTAAGTTCTTGAATCCTAACAGTCACCATTTAAAGGGACAATACGTCCTGGAAAAGTCCAATTGGGCTACAAAACGCACTTTGAATGACATGATATTCATCTGAAAGAACATTTAAAAGTAGGATGTAAACATCCACACAACTATCCTTTCAAAACTGGGCGTTTTTGTGTAGTTCCTGTATTATGTGTGCGAAAACAACTTTCGGGGTCCACTTTTGCAACCCCCAAAAAACGAGCTGTTTGGTTGCTAGTTGTGATTTCATCTGTAAAGTGTTCGCCTTTTGCGGACGTGTAAGAAACCACATTTTGTGCATTGGTGATTGGTCACCGCTGTTCGCGAGCACGGTGCTGTATTGACACACACAACGTGTATATCGTACATTGACTGAAAGCGACAGGAAAAGCGTATTCGTACTCCGTCGTGTCCAATGTAAACAACTGGGTTTTTTTCGTCTTGTCTCGGGAACAGTAAGACATCAGATGGTTTCCTTTCAACCAGATGTTTGAAATAGGATAAGTAAACAATCCAAAACATGAAATTTCCGGGGATTTCAGGACCTAATGCCCCTTTAAGGTAAAAATTCTATTCAATATGTCCAGTGCACCACAAAGTGACGTATCGTCTATGGATTTAGTGCACACGATGCATCACTTTGTGATGCGACCGACGAAGTGATTCAGAATGGCTATTCAATGGAAGTCGTCGTTCTGGTCAGCTGATCATACCAGAAACCTTTCAGACTATGCATCAGGTCTACACAAAGGGCCGAATTTAGTTCATTCCGTGGTGTAAAGAGGTAATCCTATATGATTGCATTGCCCTACTAACAAGTGTCAGTCAGTGAGATAGGTACAAAGAGAACACAAGGCTTGCCCTCTGGGACCAGCACAAAGTGAAATCTACATGTACTCCAACTTTTGAGCAGTGTTTTATTAAAAAAAAATAGTTCAGCAGTTTCACTTGTTGACATGAACTGCATGTTTTAATTTACATTACACAAACCTACGGTTGTGTGCATAACTAGAAATACATGTAGTTCAAGACTTGGGTGAATTGGAAAAGTCTGCAGAGGTCAATTTCTTCATGACATTTTTTTTTCTAAACAGGTGGAATAGAACACTTCAGGAAAGCAGCAATAAAGTACGGAAGGGAAAATCACGGGAAAAATTACTTTACCGATCTTATTAAGGTAAGTTTTAATTTTGGTGTTATTCTGCTGAATGTGCTATCTCTTTTACACTGCAAGCCAGAGCTTAAACATTTCCTGAAGCTGTAGTCATAACCATAGCCATAGCCATAGTCAAGCATATGTAATGTTCATACCAGTGTAAGCCATGTCTTTATTACATGGCTACGGCTTGAAATTACACACGAGTCTATGGGAAGTGGCTGCAGCCACTTCCCTGTAGATATTTTTCTTTTTCGTTTCAGAGAGTAAACTCTGCCCGTCGTCAGGAGAAAAGTCTGCTGATGACGAACAGAGTATATTGTTCTAAACATTATAAAAAAAGAAGAAGAGTTTTCCCCGTTTCGTTTCACCAACTCACAAAAGAGATTTGTCACATCTGTCTGATTACACAACACCATGTTGCACATCAGTGACTCACACTCAGACGTCTGACTATTACATCTTATTTCTGCTGACAGATCCACAATGCACTGGGGCTGACAGTTACTTTAGGCAATGCCTCGGCCTTAGCCTACCTCACTCCGAAGAAAGATAACGACGTCATGATACTCAGTAAAACACCTTGTCAGGATTTCTTCAGGTAATTTTACAAGGGGCGAAATTGGGTTGTGCTGTTACGTTTTTAACTAAAAGCCTGTCCCTTATGAAACCAACTTAGGCCATTAAAACGTTATGTAGATTGACTTTAAATTTCAAACCTGACGGAACTGTTCATTGCAAATTTCTGTTGATTTTAAATGATTTAAAGTTATGCCCCCTGAAAATGAAGTTATCATTGATGTGTACGAAGTTCATTGTGAGGAATTTTGTTCTGAGTAATGGTTATATTCTCTAAAACAATCGCAAAAGATAATCACGATTATTTTTGGGGGGAACATTTTAGAAGTGGGCTACTTTGTAAATTACCATTACATCAAATAATAGAAATATATATACTTTTATTCATTAAAGTTCACAATAGTTCTTTAACTTTTGAATTTAAAATAAATTTGAAGTTAACATTTTACATGTCATTGTTTTGGTAAATCCTGTCTTTGATAATGTGATAGAGTTTAAAATGCTACTTCACTCGGTTCCTTCGCGATTAAGGACCAAATCTTTCTGTTGTCTTGCAGGTTAGTGTATTATACTCTCAGAGCATTTATGGATCTCAAGCTATACGCATGGAGCATGGCCATGTTTTTACCCAAATTGGTAAGTATATGGCGTAAATTCTTTGAATAACCTGGAACAAAAATCCAGATTGAAATAAAATTAAGAGGCTGATCAGCAAAAACTGCTGTAGGGTGTCAGATGTTAGTGTTAAACAAACAAACAAAATACAATGTGCACACAAAATTGAGTCCACTTTATCGGCTGTGAGTACCTTTTGTGTTGGAAATGTTTGGAGGATTTTTTGTTGGTTTGTTGGTTTGTCTTCTATTTTTGCTTCTGCTGTCAATTTGTACAGGAACCGTATAGTACACCAGACTATGACGACATACCAGCAATAGCAAGGATCGTCACAAGAGGGCCTCCTTCAAGCAGCAGGTCTGATGTCGGAGCCATGGAACTTTTTTCAGTAAGTAGACCCAGTAAACTCTCCTGGTTCGAATTTCGCTATTGAAAAATGTCCGCAAAACAACTTGCTAGCCATTTTTATTCTTATAAAGTGCCATAATTAATTATTACCAATTTCTTTCCTACAGTTGGTCTTTGAAACCAACGTTTGATCAGTAAAAAGGATATTGTACTACTGAGTTGGTCAATACGCTCTTGATTTTTTTACCTTTTCTCTTTTCCCCCCAATTTAATATGTAGATAAACAATGTAAACGTCGATCCTTTCGCGGTTGTCCAAACTTTAAAAGATTCAGTGGAGAAGCTCGGCTACCCACACAGTGCTTTACAAGATGCCCAGGCCCAGAAACAGGCCCTACAGCAGCAGATTCTAGAACTACAGCAGAAACAATTAGAGCTGGATAAACAAGTGCAGCAGCAAGAGCAGCAGGCACCAATCCAACAGCAACAGCAACCGCAGCAGCAGCCACTTCAGCTGCAGCAGTTACAGCAAGATGGCAGAGAGGGGCCAAGGATACAGGCTGCTGATGCCATCGTGGCACAGGATGCTCCAGAAGATGGCAAAAGAAAGCCGGAGGGAAACGGAGTTGCGGCGGATGAGATGAAAAATCTCTCGTGAGACATTGCATTGGCGAGACTTACAGATTTTTAGAGTTTTACCCCGTGTGTTGGTCTTGCGAAGGATTTCTTAAAGCATTGAGGTTTTAACAAACATGTCCTTAACCAGTTCGCGTCAGAGGCCGTGTATACACGCAAAAGTTTTGTGGTATTCGGAACGGATGACAGGTAAACACGCAGGGATTGAGGCCGGAAATATCTGTTAGCGACCCACTTGCAGCGAGTGAGACCGGAAATATGAGTATGCTGACCGAGGCTGATGGCTTCAACCCACCTGGCTCGAGTGAAAATTAATCCCGCGCCTTGTTCCGTTCTTGTCAAAATAATCCCGGCGTGAACTGGTTAAGGAGGTTGCCCAACTACAGTTGAGAATGATAGTTGGACAATTTTAAGCCGAACTTTGTCAAGTTGGTATGGTCTTAACTTGCCCAGTTGATCAAGATGTTGGTTGTTTGAAATGGGCTAGTCGATTGTTCAGAACCAGCTTGCTATGGCCAAGTTCGGGCAAGGACCATTAATCGACTGGTGGTTGATTTGTGACGTGCCTTATGCCTGTGCACCGATAGCAACGTGCGAACGTCTCTAGTCAAACGCTGGTCAAAATGTCATCGCAAAACGTCTGGATCCTGGCTCTCTGCTAGCGTTATGAATGCGCGCGGCTATTGATTACCAGTGAAGCAACCAACCCCAGTAGGCTGGTTCCAAATAGTCGACTAGCGTAGTCAACCACCGTCAACTAGACAGAGTTCGGGCAAACGTTAGTTAACCATTGGTCAACTATAGTCCTTGCGCTAACTTGGCCTATTGTGTGTTGCACCACTGGTAACCAGTAGCCACCTGTACGGCTACTGTAGCAGCAGGGAGCCAGGAGAGCCAGGATGTTAGACAGTTGGACCAAGATGGTTTAGATTTCTTTGTTCTTGCGTGCAAGGCTTTAGTTGTGCATTGGTTGCACAGTGCTCATTTCAACATTCCCAGTTTAATGCACATTCTTGTAAATATGAATGAAACTATGTGAATACTGTTTTTGTTACAAACTATTTTTAGAAAGTATCTTTTAAGACCTATTGTGCTGTGCAACTTAATCTGACTCTAACATTTTCTACCACGATTTAAACGTAATAAACGGTTTAAATTCATTAAATAATTTAAAATATAAAGCTATGGCTGCTATTCCTTTTTTTCTTAACCCATTTGCAATTAACTTTAAGATGAGGCAGGTATATTTTATGGTGTTTAGTTGAACATTTTCAACTCATTACTAAGACTCTCTACAAACTTTCTGCCAACTGTGCGATGAGCAGCCACTTTCAAAGAAGGTCAATAGGCAAAGATGGTCAATGCTTGGCCACATTCTCCAGCTGACATCTGATGCACCAGCCCCGAGAGCAGTAGAGTTTGCCGTAGTGGGAAGCACCAGATACCAAGCACGCCAAGGCCACCATTGATCCAATCTCAATTCACACGGAAGTCAAAGCAGCGGGATTTGGTCCCCTCAAGACCATACGACAGCTGAACAACCTCAGGCTCGCGGCAGGGGATAAGATCGGATGTCAAAAGTTGTGAATGGACTGATCGCTACCACAGGTTGTGCGAACTACTGTGGTAGCAGAACCAGTTTACACACATACCAAGACTTTTTTCATTTAAATAAATTTTGGCAAACACTTTTCATTCCGGAGTTCAAATATTTTATGCAAAACACCAATGAAAATCTACTAATCAACAAAACAAAGACAACTGATCTTCAATCACCAAAACAGAATATACATGTAGTTTTTATTTGCCTTCCATATGAGTTGAGTTACCAGTATTTTTCTTTACACAACCAAATACACCCAATTACTTTCTTGCCTTTAACATGTTTTACTATAAAACCAATCAGTGCATAGCTTAAGCGTTCATTACGGAAATATGCATGAAGACATAAAACTTCTGACATTCAGGAATTTCTGATATGGGTAATCTAAACAATATCACATTTTTAACTGAAAGTACTGCAAACTATCCAGGAAATTGTATCACGTTTTAATTTGTTTTAGGAAAGCAACTAAATTAAAACCAATCAAGTTTGAATACATTTGAGTACACTTTAATAAATTAGCAACGGCAAGGTCAAATTAGTATCAGACAGCAAAATATATCCACCGATGTCCAGATGATTAAAATTATTAGTACATTTATGAAAATTATTTTTGTTTACTAGTACGAGTGTCAACAAATATTGAACAAAGTTATGTTGATAGTTTGGAGTGTTTTCTGTGGGGATCGGCGAGTCACAATCATTGTTACAGCATACATACACCAACATCTACACAACGAATCTTGTAAATTATCGAAAAATTCAGATCACGAATACAAACATTTTCAAAATAGGAACATTTAATTTTAGTGGAATCTGGCTATTCACATACACGTCGCCAACATGCAAAATTTGCTTATGTTCTTATCAAAGTGTGTGTGTGTGGTTTTTGTTAATGCGTTTAACAGCGGACAGATACCTTTTGGGTTTTTTTTTATTTCATTTAGTTCTTAATTTTAAAACTGTATTACGTTCAGACTTTAAACTTACTAAATAAACATGACGGTATCTTTCAAATAACTTCAACCAAACAAAATGCACTTAAAATTCGTAACTTTGAATTTGTTATTGGTAGATCTCTAAACCCTGTGTACTGTTAACAAGAACAGTTGCATCACCCGAGTGCTGGAAAAATAAATCAACACTGAAAAAAAAATGAACATTTATCAGCATAAAATATGCATATAATTAAATGACTCTAGTTGCTTTTATATAAATTACCTACTCCTGCAAATACTGACTAATCTCCTCCCCCTGCCCCCCACCCAAAAAAAAGGAAAAACAACAAAGAAACTAATCCTTTGGAGGTTGTCATAACTTACAAATATTTCTTTAAAAAAAACACATTGTTACAGAATTAACGACTGCTACATATTTCTGCTTAATCTTACACCCGATATTCCCATTTATTCCTCAGATATGTGACCTGTCACCACAAATTGAGCTTCAAGTCGGTAATTGCCATTTTGTAGTACGGTGGGGCAAAAACCAAAATTTTAAGGGTCGGCTGATTATTTTGTTTTCAGGTAAATTGAATCAATAGGTCCTGTTTTACACCTTTTTATTTGTTCTGACAACATCTTTAAAACCTATTCCATCCTGTTTTTATTACATGTTGATGTTCATTCACGGTAGCGCAACTGCAAGATTTTAAAATGTCATTTTCTCAACAATCTGTTTTACCACTTGGCGATCTATATTTCCGTTACCGAGTTCAGTCACCCTAAACGTTATATACCATTGGAAAGCTCTTGTTCTGCAGAATCCAAATACTGGTAACTAAAAATCTTAATTATTAAAAAGTCCGAATTGAAGCTCATTTTGTGACGACAGGTCGAATATTTCTACCCTACAAACCTCAAAGCCAATATTTTGCACATTTAAATATTATTATTTAAATATTTTACAAAAATTAGTACGCCCTCACATCCCAATGCACCAATATGAACAAAGTATGTACATAGACCACAAAACCCTGAATCATGCATTTAAATATGAAAAAAGTATGGAATCTCCAGCAGAAATATATTTAAGATATTAACAGCTGATGACTGGCTGCTGAAAACTCTAAAAGAATTTTGGTTGAATAAAACTGAAAAAATCTCAACGAATGTTCTGATAAATATTTCTGAGTTACCAAGTGAACATCAAATTAATAAAAAAAAAGTTCTAAATTTTGTTACAATTGTTTTTAAATACAGAAAGCCACAATGTTCTATTACAAAACAAATGACCGTTATTATTAGGAATATTACTGAAGAAAGTTTTCATCTTTCCTTCGGCACAAAATTAACACAAATACCACCATCAAATGAAACTTTAAATACAAGTGTCCCTCTTTCCTGACATTAACTGAGAACTCAAAGATCTTGTTCATAACAGTACTGAATACATAAATAATGCTACAATAAAAGTGGAAACACTTCTTTTGTGAAAACATATCAAATGTTAACCAGATAGGTTTGAACTTATTATAAATTAGATTGTATTTCAAAAACTAACAAATGAATTTTAAAAAACCACTGAATTCGGGATTTTGTGTCAACAGTGCGTAGTACAATATAAAGTACTGTAACATTTGACTCATTACCACGTGTACTACATTGCATTACATTGTATTAGGCCCAAAAAAAAAATAGTCGGTCTCTGGTCAGACCAAAGTTCCAGAATTGATGCGGCGACGCGTTTTTTGTTTTTTTTCAAGCTTGGACTGTACAGACAAGGTGGGTACTATTTTGCTTTTTTGTGTCCTCATATACATTGGTGTCCTCCATCATTTGCCTTGGTGCCCTCCATCATTTGCCTTTGTGCAATTTCCCCATTCCTTGGTGCTCCTTGGTACACACATTTGAGGAGGTGCGGCAATAGAGATTGCTGTTGTAGCTACCACGGACAATTTGAAGAAAAAAAAAAGTTGACGCGCATGATTAAAATAGACGCGCGCGCTGACCAGAGACCGACTATTTTTTTTTTTTTTTTTTTGGCCTTACATTGCAGTAAATTTGTTTATTCCCTGACAAATCCAAAAAAACATAGTGTGTTCTTGCAGCTTCGAGTAAATCTGCAGACTAGTAAATTTATAGGCATTTACGTACAATACATGTATATTTCCCATTCAATGTTGAAGTAAATATACCTGTTATTAGCGTTTCTTGTTCAAGGAAATAGTGCTTTTTATTTTAAACATCAACCCAACACCGAGCCTTACATTTTGGAAAGAAATGCCAACATAAAATGATCTACACAAAACTTTTCCACGAGACTTAATCTAGCTTGGGACATTTCAAAGCTGTACCAGCTGAAATAACTTGTATAATTTTACAAAAAGAGTCTTAAAAAAACAGTTCAGATTTTTGTGAGGGGCTTGGCAGGTTTCATTTCTATAACCTCCGGTGTGGCGTCCATGTCATCTTCATCAAGCAAAAAACCCTGGAATGAGAAGGAAAAAAAATCATTTAATTTCCTTTGAATATTTTTGGTAGGAATTATTTGCAGAAAAGCGTATGGACTCTGTTTTGCAACATGCACGTCTTATTTTCAAACATCACACACAAGCCTACAACATCTGCACGCGAGATTAACACACTCGCGTGTCCTCCATTAACAACTACGCTATACATTTAAACCGGTTTGAGGGGCTCTTTATACGCACAAAGTCCATACACTTTCATTTGTGGAGTAAACATGCAACAAACACCAGCATGCAACAAACACATTAAATATGGAACTATAAATTGAAAAACTGAAGCAAAAATTACCACAAACACATTGCACTTCAGCTTTGGACTAGAAGCCCACGTTTTTTGATTGATCTTAAGTTCACAGTTGAGTTTCTACATGCTGCAGGCGATTTACTTTGAGTTTTGGAAATTTGTGACAACGCATTTTGCCACACAATGTTTGAAAAATGTTCGCATAAATACAGGGTGGTCCAAAAAATGTTTTACACATTTTTTCCGACGCAGATTTTTTGGAAATTGGGAGATGTGTGAAAAATTTTGGACCACCCTGTCTACCAAAGACTGAGTGTGTGGTTAAAGCCAAAAATTGGTGATTTGAAACAGATTTGAGTAAAAAACAAAAATAATACTCAGTACAAAACAGCTTTTGTTTAAAAAAAAATCAAAAGTGACATCCAACATCATGTTTGAAAGTTTTTCAGGACACCTTGTACAAATGCGTTAAGTGAACTAAAGTCATGCATTTATAAATATGCCAACCTCTGAAAACCCCATTCAGCATTGGGTGGGTGGAAGGGGGTGGGAGGGGGTGAGAAGGGCAGGGACCGAGGGGAGGGGTCCAAGGGATTGGTTTGATAAGGGGAAGGGTAGGATACGTTTGCTACAAAAGATAAGGATAGAACTTTTGGAGGGAGAAACAAAAACAAAATTTGGAACCAAAACACCTGCACCAGTGGTCCATTCGCTCTTTTCACACCTCTGCCATGGGCATGCACAACCTCGATCTGGCAACTTTACACAAATATAGCCGGTTCAGTGATTCCTGTGTTGGGGTTCAGATCACTGAACCGGCTATTTTTATTGTGTAAAGTTGCCAGATCGAGGCTCTGCATGCCCAATGGCGGAGCGTGAAAAGAGCGAATTCCATGATATTTTTAACCTATTAAAAGTAGGAATATTCTCATTTCAGAAAAATGTACATGGGGCTGGGAGAGCTTTCCTGTTTGTAAACCAGATTTTCAACTGGCAAATTGCCCGAGAGAACTAATTACCAAATATGAAATAAAATAATTGAAACATTGAGTGGTTTCTCAAGTGAATGACAACAAAGCACAATAGGGGTAAACTTTGCAACAAAAAGAAAGCAAAACGCTGAGCTAAGCATGCAGAATACTGCACAAGTAAAACAAGGCAGAAAAACCATGCCTTTTTGCCATTTTTGTTTTAGTTCTCTAGTTGAGAGTCAAGGGCTTCGATTCCATAAACATCGACTCCTAGCAAGAATGAAAAGGAGAAAGAGAATGGCACAGAAGGATTAGCAAATCGCACATGTTCAGGATACGATTCATTTCAATGGCGAATCATTTTGGTGCAACTAGGGGGCGGAGACTTTGAAGCTTTGAAGGGGGGGGGGGCACGCCAATGTGCATAGATCCATCTTGATTTGGACATGAAAACCCGCTCCCCATCTATGTCAAAATAATAACAAACGTTTCTATCAAATTTGGATCAATTGTGGGGTATCTGCTTATGGCTTAATCTCAAGTTACTAGAGGAGCTCCAAATTTAAGGGACAAACACCTCCCCAAAATGCACGACACTTCACAAAGACAGAGTTACTCAGAACAAAATGAGGCTACGACTTGTAATCACACACACGCCTATGGAAGCGGCTGCCACTTCCCATAGACACGTGTGTTAAGTCAGCCATAGCCATTTAAATCAGACACGGCCTTTGCCTCGCTCACCTTCTCATTGCTAGGCCTGGACAGGAACTTCCCAAAGAAACTCCGTGACTTCTTGCCGCCGTCCTCAAAGAGGACGTCATCCTCGTTATCGCCGTCCTCAATGGCGCAGGTCTCTGCAGCCGGTAGCTCCCCGCTGGCTGATGCCACCAGCTTCTGGTACTTGTACTCCAGCCTGTTCAAGTAGGACAGAGTCAATTGGTCAGGACAATTGATGGTGGCTGGTGGATTACTAAGCAGCTCTTTCCAGTAGTGGTGCTGTAGTCGAGTCTAACTCAAGTCTCTCACATATCCAGTCACAAGTAAATCACAATAATGACTATAACAAAGCAATTCTTTGTCACTATAATAAGGGAATAAATGCGTGCTTGGTAAGTGTTGAACACTATGTTTATTACTGGTTGGAGTCTGGAATGCTGATAATTACCCGAGACGAAGCAAAAGTCAAGACAAGTCAAACATTAAAATTTTCTAACAATGTTGTTCAACAATTTTACTCTGTTTTTCGAAACACCCCTCTAGCTGTATAATGAAATGTCCAGCTCGCGAGTGAGATGTAACCAATACCTTCCATGGAGATTGGCACTTGCGTCACACGTACTGTGCAGATGCAGCTGTGGTGAGTGCGTTGTGAATTTAGGACGACATAAGTACCGACTCACTGGTATGTTGCGCATGCCTACGTGAGGATTGTGAATGTTCAACCAATAAAACGGTAAAAGGCACTGCATTTCATAGGAGGAGTCCAAATTTCATGTGACACTGGAAAAGTGTTTAAGACCAGCCAGCCTCGTCTTTATCATCTCGACCAATGGGTATGGGTTAACTGTCTTAGATATTTATGAATAACTTTTCAAATGACTTGGGACCAGGTGACTACTGACGGAGTTGTGATTGACTTGGCAGGACTTGTGATGGACTTGTGATGAACTCAACTGCATGAACTGCTAATGGGGCTGTCTAAATTTTGCCCTTGGACAATTCTCTCCAAAAAATTTAAAACTTAGGAAGCCTGTATTCGTGTACTCACTTTCGGTTGCGCTTCCAGAAGTACAGCGCGCACGTGATGAGGAGCACCACGCATCCCATGAAGGCTGCAATGGAAGCCTGGGCGTACCAGGGCACCTGATTGTACCATGGTTCCATCTCACAGGTTTGGGTTAGATCGTCGGGAAGGGGGTTACCGCCGGTACAGAACCTGAAAAATGACAGTCAGAACAAGAGAGTTAGTGAGTTAAAGGGAATGTACATCATTCGCTTTTGCTGCAATTTTCTGAAATAAATGGATTTGGAGGATTAGTATGTTATAGCAAATATTGTTACACTGACTTGTTCCACGTTTTGGGTTCGTAGATGCTGGAAAAACCAAGAAAACCAATCATGTTCCTGTAGTCTGGTTCCCTGACCTCACTTAAGATGAAACAGAGCAATTTCTAGACTTTGGGGAATTATAAGGACAGAGAATCAGTCTAGCAGGCTTGTACTCCAGGTGTGTAATCAATTGCAAACAAAATGCAGAATAACTAAATTTGACAAGTTAGGAGCAGTTTTTGAAAAAAAGCTAAAGCAGTTTTTGAAAAAAAGCTAGTTTTCTCCAACGCTGGTCGGCCGACCAGTCTTGGAAAAATACAATTTTTCTTGAAAATGTCAGCACACCAGGAGCCACAATTTTACAGGATGCTTTAGACTGTCATTCCCTAACAATCCAGTAAGATATTTCATGCTAATGTGATATTTCGTTTTTTTGATGTTTGAAAATGTTGTATCTTCCCTTTAAGTCAGTGAGATAGATACACAGAGACACTAGGCTGGCCCTCTGGGCCCGGCAATAAGAAGACATTGTGGTCTTACTTGGGTGTCTTCCACATGTACTGTATCTGCTGCTTCCCGTCCACACACTCTCCCTTGATGCTCTTGAAGTCTCCTTGGTGACACAGCGGGCAGGCGTGCTCGCTGCGCCACAGCAGGTGGAAAGCGCAGCCGTCGCAGGTACCTGAGGGACACTCCTCAGGGAGATGGAAGGATCCTGGCCCACTGGCGCTGAGATCACAGCGGAGGGTGATGATGGTGCTACGGCCTTCTGGGCAGGCCATGGTGGGCCTGAAGTTACAAAAAAAGAGGCAATTGCAGTGAAGTATGTTGTCACGGACAAAAATACTAAAATGCGCTTCGATTACAGAGAAGGATGATGATTGGTCCATAGCCTTCTGGGCAGGCCTTCTGGGCAGGCCTTCTGGGAAGATCATGGTGGGTGGGCCATGGTGGGCCTGCGGATACCACACACAATGAGGTAATTGCAGTCAAGTATCTTGCTGATGGACAAAATACTAAAATACCACGACAGGTATCGAAGTGAATACATCATGCACACAATTATGTGCGGAAAGACATTAGCGCGTGATTCAGCCCGTGAACCAACACGCGCGCATACTCCATTCGTTTGCACTACACTTCCCGGTTCAAATGACGTCACACTTCGGTACTCTATAGGGTGTGGACTCCATGCACCAACTGTAGAGGGCAGTCTTTGGACCATTTCTATGCCCAGTGGACAGGACACACCAAATATGCGAACTGGTTCAGGTTTGTATTGTGTAAAGTCTGCATGACTAATTTCTCCTGAACGTGAGAAAAAGCCATAGCGTCTTTGTGTGAGTGTCAGGCGTCATAGGCAATGCGGTTGAATGTCCCTCCCAGTTGTCCCCCCCCCCTCCCAACTCTCCCTTTGTAACCATTGAGGGGGTACTTGTGCTCGGAGGCTATTGTGGATAAAGCGGATATTCAATGTAGTGTCTCCTTACCAGGCTGAGTGGTAGAAGAAGTGAAGATCCCCGGGTCCTTCATCGGTTGGTAGGAAGATGGTCTCATTCAGGTTCTGCAGTGAATTGCTTCTGGTGATTCCGATCAAGCGATCGCCGAGACTGAAACATGGGGAAAAAACAGCTGTGTTGAGGACACGGTATGGCCGAAAAAAGGATGCTCCATGTCGGAAAGGACAAAAAAATGGTTCTGATTCCACAAAAAATTGAACATGATGTTCACACAGAATGGTAATTTTTGTATGCAAGGTACAAGCAAATCTTAAGTTTTTCATTAAAGCTACAGTCCATCATTTGTAATTTGTGCATTTTGTTCGTTTGAAGCAACAAAAGAGTTCAAAATCTAATGAAGGATACTGAGCAACTAATCTGATGAAGTTTCAGCTAAGCTTCAGCTGTACATTCCGAGAAAAACAGCATTCTAAGATCTCAATTTCAAATCCAAAGTTACTGAATCATGTTTTGAATTGTTTTGAATTGCAGCTATACGCGACTATACGCGACGAATTATAACAACCACGCGCGCATGTGCGTCGTTCCAATACTTGTGCGCGCTGCGCTGAATAACAAAACGAACTACTAATTTAAATTTTCCTACGGTGCTTGTTAAGAATCACCGTTGGAAATGCCTTCTTTCATTGATTACTTCAAAATGACAGCTTCCCAGAAAGAATAATTTCACAGGGAGTTTAGTCCCCTTACTATCTTTCAACCAAGTATGTTTTTCAACAATAAATACGCCAGTAATACTTTTCGGATGGCTGCAAATGATGGACTATAGCTTTAAATGCATATATAGACCATACAAGCACACTATCACTACATATTCACTGAGGTCACTTTGCATGGAAAAAGCACTGTACCAGCTATTGTCCATAGCAACTGCCCCATGACGGATATCTGACCAATAGCTAACACAATGCTGTGGCCATGGAAGGGGGGCGCTATGAGCGATAATGTGCTTGGATTGGTCTATAGACCTTTATCATGCTGCCACCATTTCAGTCATGTTCCCTGTATTCAAAAACAGTACTGAATGATACATTTTTTTGTGCAAAAGGAACCAGACTATTTTTCCTCCCAACCACACTTTGGTTGCATTGATTTGAATGGGAAAAAAATTACGATGACTGCAACATGATAATGGTCTACAGAAAACGCAATCATTCAAGGACTGATCATCATTACAACAAAAACTTTTCATTTTTACTAAGCATGAAATTCTCTACAAGTCATAAAACTTTGTCATTGCATTTCCAAGATCGGCAGGGAACATGGTCAAAACCTCCAGCTCTTAAAAAGAGAGGGGGGAATCTGTTGGAATGTTTTTTCTTACACTGTTATAAATTATGACCTCCATGAATAAATTCATGACCTCCATGAATAAATGGCATAGTATGACTCATGCTCTTACCTGATTGGTTGAGCTGAGAGTACACCAATATTCCGTGCGGCTGGTGGGATGATGGTCGACCGACAGATGTAACCGTCAACTTTGTTGACCTCATAATCCGCAACCTTTAAGAGAACGGATTAACAGAAGTTGTGATTTCAATTTTGACTGAAACTGGACCAAAACAATTTTTTTTCCACTTGATTTCGCTGAGTTTCATTAGATAAAAGGAAAGCTGCAAAAGAAGAAGGCGATTAAACTATCTCGTGTCCATATTTTTAAAAATATACACAATACTGAAATTACACCATTATTTCAAAGTCATTAAGCAAATACTATTGATGGTAGCGAGTCTAGCTGATAAAGTCTATGCCAGATTAAAATGGGCGAGAGTGTGGACAGTTTCTTACTACATTGATGACATTAGGGCCAGTTTTCAGGCTGCGAGTTTTCAAGTAAGCAATGTTTGCTGTGAATGTTTTGTTTGTTAAATTTGATTAGTGAAATTTGCATGAATTATGAAAACAAGCCTTCGGTTAAATGACGCACATGTCTACATTAATTGAAGCAATTGCAGCATTTTGTCTTCATATCAGCAGAATTGCTGAAGCTTTTAAGAGATATTTTGGGTGAAGATGGAGTCTCGAAGAGGTTAGAGATTGAGAGCAAGGAGAAGGGGTGGGGGTGGGGAAGGGGTGCGGGTGGGGAAGGGGTGGGGGTGGGGGAAGGGGTGGGGGTGGGGGTGAGGGGCAGATGAGGCAGAGTAAATATAGCTGCCCACTTTTTGTTTAAATATATGGTGGCAAAGATGTATGCTGGGAAAGTGTATAATAAATATATGGTATAAAGTGTATTACATGTATACGACGAAACAAGGCTTCACCTCTACCTCATTGCAGGGAGGCGGCTTCACATCACAGCCTGTCGCCCACTTCAGCCTGTCGCCCACGGGCACATGATCAACCGTGACCGCGAACAACTTGTGAACACATATACACCCTTTGCGCTTATAGTATAGCGGCGGTATTTATTTATCAATACATCTGCAACTTTATACTTGCTGCACCCTGTTTCTTTAGTCAGTACAGACAGCGTACTGAATGTAATTTAAGCAATAGCCCACCACCTGTTAGAGCAGTTATTAGCCTTATCAAATGCTACCGACCTTATTAACGAAGAAGCCATATTTGATCGTGTTCCCTGAATGTATTTTATAAATTGTAAACTGTTGAATGGGATGGTGCCAGACTATATTGCGTTCCAAGCCTCATTATCATTTTTTTTTTTAAATGTGGCTTAAAACATTAGGGTAGGTTTAATCAAATTTTTTTAATTATTCAACAGAGCAGACTGGTATTAATTTGTACTGAACTTTATATCATTGTTCTCATTTCTGTTCGCAAGTTCCAACAATGAAGATTTTACCCCGCTATCAATTTAATATGGCGGACTCGTGAATAAAGTCTATTCGGCAACTGGGCAGGGGCAATTTTAGAAGCTGCTAAGCGTATAAGCACAGATATGTGCTAAGCAAAAATGAATTACCAGCCAAAATCTCATGCAATGTATATTGCATTTGACTGGTACCCAGCTAATCTTCTGCTAAGCAGCTGCATAAATTGGACCCAGGTAAGCGATATGACTCTTGAAGTTGTGATCGTCTAATGACCCAATCACCCATGCTGTGCAATCATAATGAGAAACCGATGGTGATTTACAGGAAGAGTACAAACATCAATCCACAGGCCACTAGACCAATCAATTATAAGCCCCACCCTTTGCACATGCGAGAAACAGGTGCTTCACCCAATGCCACGCTGCATGTTTCTGCCACATGCGTCATGCATCGGTTCATGCATGTCAGGCTTTTGTCAGGCATTTGGCTGCACAGTCACTAATTGTTCTCACTGCCAGCGCAAAAATGCTTTTTACAGTCACTCACCGAGCAGACCTGACAAAATTTGGAATCTTTTATAAGCCTAAACCTACCAGACGCAGCACAGTGCATCAGGTGGAAAAGTCTAGTGCACTTTGATGCATTCAGCTACCAACACCAGTGCATGAACAGCCAGTTCTGAAACAATGACAGCTAGTCCCATAGAACAATGCCACAGTTGTATCCTGCTGCATTCAGTGACCACAGACTCTGAGGCAGTTTGACCACGAGACTTTTGCCTGATGGATCTTGCTACACTAGGCAGGCTTGTCACTTCAAGCGTTGCATGTTGCTGCGTTTGGCAGGGTTTCTAGCCAAAACACCCTGGAGGGTTAGGGTTAAGTACCAAGGCAAAAGCATTATTCTAGGTATTGTACAAAGAACTGCCCCATGATGGATCATCTGAACACTAGCTGGCACGATGCTTTTTGCCATAGAAGGGGGCCTCCATGTGTGCTCAGAATGATCTGCAAGGCTATACAGAGCAAAATTGTATAGGAGCCAAAATTTCATATGACTGTGACCCATGGCTCCTTTCAAATGCTTTGCTGACAATGCGAAGACGCGATGGCTTTGCGTACGTTCAGATTAAACTTGGTCGTGTGTACTTCGCATGACACGTGCTCAGAGCCCATTGGCCTACTGGATTGGATTTTACACTCTCCTTATGTCTAAAATGTGATGGATGACGCCCACTAGCACCCATAACCAATACTTGTTAATGTTAAACCAGACCAACCTTCTTCTTAAAACTAGGATCTGTTGACGCATCCTGTAGCGTTACAGTACAAGAGGTTATGGTTATTAAAAAGCACAGTGATTAGCCAGAATTCTAGAAAATATTAGCTTGTGCTGAGAGACAGTGTTAAAAGATTGTTCTCCAAAAGAGAAATTGTTTACAAAGAGGTTAAGGAAACACTCAAGGTTAAAAATAATACAATTTCAGGAGTGTTAATAATGATGTGAAGCTTTGCAGGTCAGAGTGTCAGTATGTGTTTTTTTCAATTTGCGGTTAAAATATGCAATAATCTGCGATTGTTCAGGAGTAACAGTTGGCTCCACACGGAGCCAAAGGAATCTAAAAGTATAGATCGAACACTGGCAAGATAAGCAACTCTATAGACCTTTATCATGCTGCCACCATTTCAGTCATGTTTCCTGTATCCAATAACAGTACTGAATGATGATTTTTGTGCAAAAAGGAACCAGACTATTTGTCCTTCCAGCCTCGCTTTGGTTACATTGATTTGAATGGGAAAAAGTCAAATGGCTGCAACATGATAGTGGTCTATAAACATCCAATCAGATTTGTGGCATTTGAGTAAGGGAATAAATGTGTGCTCCGGAGGTTTTTATCACTCGTTTAATACCGCTTAGAGTCTGGGTGCTGATAATTACCCGAGCCGGAGGCGAGGGTAATTATCAGCACCCAGACTCTAAGTGGTATTAAACAGAGTGATAAATACTGACCGAGCACATATTTATTCCCATTCATAAATACCTTTTCGGTACATATTTATTCCCATTCAAAAATACCTTATCCGTAAAAAAATATCACGTGACGGGCTCTCGACCAATAGGAATAGCTAAACTGTCTGAGGTATTTATGAATGATGATTCAAATCTTACATGTTGATCGTTGCTCCTTGCAGAAATAATTACTTAAATAGGATCTGGTTTAACTTGTGATAAGTAGCCTCCCTTGGTGGTCTATGGTGCAGTCCATTTCTCTTGCTTTGCCCTAGGAAATCAGAATGCTCCATAGATCACTTTGGGAGGCTAGTTTTACTACTCCACTCAAAGCAGTCAGTGTTGTGCTATAACCAGGCTGCACTGGAGAAAGTGTGCTCACATGATGACAATTCATCCCAAAAACAAGACAGCAAAGCTGTTCCTGACTGTACCCAGAGACAACGGTGTGTGACCCCCATGTGCAAATGCCTGTGGTGTTCTCTTGAATCATTCCTAATGCTCCAAGTAGGTGCTCCTTACAAGAAACCAGTGATGTAGTCAAGTTCATCACTAGCCATCACAAGCGATCACAAGTGATCACAAGACATCACAAGTCAATCACAACTCTATCAAGTCACAAGCTATTCAAATGAACTATGACAACAGCAACTCCGTTAATATTGTGACTTGTGAATAGAATTGTGATGTACTTGTGACCTGACTTATGATGACTTATGATAGCTTATGATTACTTATGACTGGACAACACTGCAAGCTACTGACCACATCTGTGACGTTCTCGTAGCAGGTGGCACCACCCCTGCCCTTATTGGTTCCACATAGGCTGATGTTGAAGTGATGGTAGAAGCGGCTACCTCGAGCGGTGAAACTTGCACCTGTCTGCACAGAGTGGACCCTACAATGTGGGAGGAGAGAGGGGGGAGGGGGAGGCGGGGGATATGAATTTAAAAAGATGACTGGTACCTGCAAGCAACAAACTGTTCCAGATTTGGGGATAAGCCCCGCACTCCCTTGGTTTGTTTACATTTGTCAAAGTGCGTGAGATTGAGTTTGACCAAGCTTAAGTGGTCATCTGACAATATTCTGGATCTCGATTCCAATTGACCTTATCGCCGTTTGCGTGTTAGCTACGCCCCTTAGACAACCCTATGGAATTTTTGTACACTAAGTTTTGTTTGTCTCAGAATTTGCGCGTTCCGCGTCCATATGCATACCACGTAATTGGACAGTATTTCACAAGCTGCGTTAACGTGATTCTAATGCCATTCTGCCGCGATAGGTCAATTCCAGAGTTGCTGAGTCATATCTTAAATTGCGCCCTCTCATGACACAATCCTGAAATCAGAATTCCGGACATACTTCTATCCCACCTATTCACGGATTCTCCCAATTGCAAACCAACTACAGATTTGAACACATGGAGGTGGAATCACAGAAATTTCCAAACATGTGTCATTTGACACATCTTTGAAAATGACCTTCTTTTGTTGTTTCTTAAAAAAATGACAGCATGCCAGAAGAAATAATTTCACAGGGGAGTTTTAGTGCCATTACTATCTTTGTACTAAGTAAACTTTTTTCACAATAATTTTGGTCAGTTACTTTTTGGATAGCTGCAAAATGGTCTACTCTAACTTTGAGACACAAGTGTGACAATGAGTCGGTGAAATAGTTAACAAGTCTAATTCACAAGTTATAGTCAGTAAGTCTGTCAGTCAGTCCGTTCGGTGAGGTACAAAGAGCACACTACGCTGGCCCGTCTGGGACTGACAGAAATGAAAGTAACCCTGCTTTTCATGGCTTTAGACACTCACCCTGCGAGTTGGCCGAGTTCGTAATGGAATCCGTCTGAGTGGACATGACAAGTGCTGTAACAGCTGATTCCTTCATCACTCATCAAGCCTGGGCCGCACGGCACGCAGGCCTCGGGACCGTAGGGGTTATTGGCACGAAGAGACGTATCTATCATGAAGGAGGGAAAAATATAGCGCTCGATGTAAACATGAGTACACCTGAAACTACAAATCAGATTACCAAACATAGAAGCCATTACTGAGGAGCGCCATACTTGCTCACAGGTGGTGTGCATGCGCGTAGTGCTCCTTGGACCAAGAAGGTATTCAAATTATGCCCATGCCAATTTAGGATGCATGCAACAGGTGCATAAGTGTAGCACCTGTACCCCGGTAAGGGAATCATCGGATTAGCTGATAAGTTACTACATGTACTAGAGATATGGAATGATATACAAGCAAGATCAGACAAATTATACTTTATGGCGAGCACTGGGCATGCAATGCAATGTAGCATCTCACATCAATCTAACATCATGCAGGACCAAGTTTTAGACTCTAGACATTCATATGGATGATCACTGAAATGAACTAAGGTGGACATGGTGGATAGATACAAAACAGAACAGACAATGAGCATTCATGTTCTGTGTGCACATCAGCACTTACTACATGTGTTCACACATGTACATGAATAAGGCATCACATTGTTCAGTTACATGAACATTCAAAAGATTTCCATCAGAAAGAAAAAAGAGATCACAACATCCAATACTGTACAAAAAAATAATGAAAATGTCAAAAACAAATCTACATATTAGAGGTCAACTACGCAGGTTTCTGACCAGACAGTGGAAAGGACTACATTCAATTCCTAATGACTAAATTAAAAGTAGACAGAATTTAAATCAAGATATTTAGAAGATCAACTTCATGAATCTTTGAGAAAACTATTAAGCATGATGTACTGGTTTCAAACGTTGTTCCAGCTTAAAACAAAACCTCTGCTAAGCAACATCTGTCACTTTACAGCAGATTTACAAACTGTTCCCTGAATCAATAGTAGACAGAATTTAAATCAAGATATATAGAAGATCAATTTAATAAATCTTTGAGAAAACTATTAAGCATGCTAACTGGTTTCAAACCTTGTCTCAGCTTAAAAGAAAACCTCTGCTAAGCAAATCGGTCACATTATACCAGAATTATGAACTTGTCCCCTGTATCCACATAAAGACATACACCCATATACACCAACAACCATTCAGGGTACCTCACTATTACGCCACATATCTGCTAATTACTTACCCTTTGGGCATGGAATGCACTTGTTAGTATCATTGGCAATGTACTTTCCGGCCTCACACGGTATGCAGCTATGCAGGGAGGCAAGAGTCAGTTAAAACAAACAAGCATCGTTATCGCATTGTTAGTTCATGCAGCTATCATGCACTTGATGAAATCTTGGCATTTTTGGAAGGTTTACTGGGAGAGAATGTAGTATCCTGACGCCAATTCTTCTGTTGTGTTCAAAGACTCTGGAGAGTTGAGCACATTTTCAAAGTATTTTCTCACAAAATTGGAAATGTTTCTCAGTCCCAGATTCATGTCTTTTCAACATTTTTGCAATGACTGACCTTCATTAAGATAATACATGATGAAAAAAGTGGCATCAGGATGCGGCATTCTTAAAAATATTCTCCCCATTCTATTTCCAAATTTTATCTTAAAGATGCATTTCCTGTGCTATTTTCGAGTTTCACCTTGAAAAATAGATGTTTTTTGCAATTGCTATTTTCCCAGCAATATGAAAGTAATTCACTTTTGAATGAGACATTGAACCAAAAAAATCAACCGTTGTAGCTATTGAATGATTTCTTCACAAAATTTGAATTATTGGATGCCAGACAACTAATAAATAGATTCTTTTGGGAATAGTTTTGTTGTCAGATTATTTGCCAATTTCAAACTGCACCCCTATGTTTTGCACAGGGACGTAGTCCAATAAGCCGCTAATTTGAGACAAGTAAATCTTGCACTGCACTCGCTCAAAACTGGATGGATTATTTAATGGTAAATAAAGCTGTGCATTCATGCAGTGATTAAAGATCTTTGCAAATAAATATGCCCTGTTCATAAAGTTGTTTAGAATTTGAAATCGTAATCCAAAGTTTGTGAAAGATGAAACTTCTTTTGCAGAACAGGAGTGTCGAATAATGAGGAGAAACCTTTAATCATTGAGGGGTTATCTTTCATTGACAATCGTGCTCCAAGTTTGATCAAATGCAGCATTGTAATTTTCTTTTTTAAGTACAACTCCAAAATGTAGGCAATTCAAAATGATTTTTCTGCTATTTTTTTGTGGATGGGTAATATCCAGGAAATTAGGGACTTTATGTTGTTTTTCTAATAAGCCAGTTAAGTATTTCAATGACCTGATGTCATTCGGGATAACATCGCTGACATGATGTTATGTGATGTTACGCAATGTTACACGCACGCCCATTCTGCTGGTAATTTACACACAAGCATCGTGAACCCGCATTTATGCGCCTTCGAAACGTTTGATTATCCCGAATGACCCGTAACCCATATCACTGTGCACATGCGCAGTTGAAATACCGAACTGGCTTATTGTTATGGCTTTTTGAGGGTTAATTTCACATGCAAATAGTTGGAAAAAAGAACAAAGTTCTTTTATCTGGTGATGATTCATGGGGTCGGGAGGGTAAAGCAGGGGTGGAGAGGGTTCAAGAATGGGGTGGGGATGGTAGGATGGGGAGGGGGGATTGGTAAGGAATGGTGTTCTTACCCCTTGACGTTACTGCCTCGAGGGCATTTCTTGCACTCCATAGCACCACCATTTAAGGTATTAGTGACTGTCACGCTGTAGATCTTGGCACTACGGAGGAAAATGAGTCAAAGAAATACAATCATATCGAAACAAAAGTAACTAATTATCAATTCAAATAAGACAGTCTTAAACATCTGAGCAAGTCTGTTACAAGTTACATCTCAGCAAGTTTGATCTAACGATCTAAAAACAAACCACTGGACTCATGGCCTGATGAACAGGGGTCATAATTGTGAAGCGCTTTGAGACCTTTGGTATAAAGCGCTATATAATCACAACCTTATTATTATCGATGCAAAAAAAGACAAAAATTGTCGTCGTGTACACAGTTCAATTTGAGAATAATCAAGGCCAGTCAAAGACAATATCTGAAGGTCACAAAGACGTTTTTGGATTTCTATTTTGAAATGGAATTACAGGCACACATGAGCAATGCTAATTTTTCAAAACACTCCAATGACATTAATTAACAAATGGTAATTAAGACAGGCACAATAAAAAAAAATGCCTTGCCGCCGTTGCATTTCACCTTCCTAAATTCTCCAAAATCCTCCACTGTGCATGATTTGGTACATCCAGTGTTTTCTTAAATTTCAAAAACGTCCAAATTTTCCTGAAGAGTCGGAGAGGGTTTAAAATGGGAGAGAGCATCAGACTCACACATCATTGCGGTAGTTGTAGGTAGCCTTGTGCGTGTACTGCTGGATGTCTGTCTTCTGGAATGCCCAGCTGTACGTGACGGGTTCGTTCTTGGTGATGGAATACCTGAAATAATAAAGATTGGATCGGTGGACAAATTTGTGAAAAAAAACCCACTGATCTCTCTTGGCTCAATGCCAAAATGTTTCTGATATCTACGTGCATCAATTGATGTTCAATTTTTCACTGACAACATTCCCTCTTTAATGTATTAAATAATTTTTATTCCTTGCCAAACAATATTGTAAGAGTGCAAAAGTGTCATTGTGAGCCATAAAGCGTGCTTATGGCTATGTTAACTGAACATTCTGCATTTTTCAATCAACCTTTCACATAAAATTCTTGTTTACAGGGTTGATCAAGACAAGGTTTGGAGTGCTAGCCAAGAAATATTGTCACTTTTTCCCCTCAAACTCTCCAACAGCATAGAACTACATCGGTGAAGCGAAACGCCAATGTTGAAATAATAATAAGTAATATTTCCCTAACACAAATTCCATTATCTTATCCCTCTCAGTGATTAAAGAAATAAAGTAGTAAAGTCTGTCACGAGCCAATATGGCCCATCAGGCCAGAATTTATTTCCAGTTTCCTTGGCATGAAACGACTGAAAATATTTCTATTCCCCCTGGATGGGATGCCGGTCCATCGCAGGTTACCCCCAGCTAATGCCGGTACCCATTTATACTCCTTGATGGAGAGAGGCAAGTGGGGGTGAAGTCCAAGGACACAACATATGACCAGCAGCTTGATTCGAACCCCTGACCCTCTGATCATGAGTCACAAACCCTAAGCACTAGGCCACACTCCTCATACAGCATGAAAACAGCCAATTTACCTTACAAAGTTCATCTTAGAAGATTGAGCAAAGAAAAAAAAGCTTCTTTGTTATGCCTGACCTGTACTCCTGTTTGGGCTGGGATCCTGTCCATTGCTCGATAATAGGCGAGCCGTCAGCGCCATCCCTGACGAAGAACAGCACGCAATCGCTGGTGCACTCCAGACTAAACCAGAATGAGATCACACCCAGCTCCTCTGCCTTCCCGTCAAAGTAGCCCTCCTCTGATTGCATCCCGTCCAGACCCAGGTCAAGGACTAGGTAGACGTCGTCTGCGTGACCCTTACCGCTGTGGATGTGGTCATCTGAGAGCTGCCAGCCGGCCTCATCAGAACAACCAAAACCTGGTCAGAGATGAGATTGCCAATCAACAAACAGGTCTGAAAATTGGATGAAAGGTCTCCTAGATAATGTTTTTGTGACACTTTTTGACAAAGTCATAAATTTCTCTGATTCAAAGGTCTGATTTCAGTCCAAAGTCTGGAACATCTCACACCTCACCTGGTGGAATGAACAAAAAAATTTACAAATCATAACCAGTAACCTTCCAACTGTAAAAGTCAACATTTGTTGAAATACTTAACTCTCAAAAACTGTAATATGTAACAGTTTCAAAATCATTAAATTATTCTGGTAATGAAGTAGTAGAAGGGTTCAAATCTGCTATCTAAATTAACGATCAGAAGCTGTACCTGACAAGCTGAGGCACGTGGCATCCATGTTGGGTGGCATGATGTGCCAGCGGATGTAGTTCATGCCGTACACTGGGGCAGTGTTGGGTGGACACTCCTTGCAAGCTGCAGGAAACAGAAAGGAACAAACTATGCAACAACTGTTTCTTTTTTTGTGTCAATGTTTGCCAGCACAAGTCTAGAAGCTCAACTTAATCTGTTAACTATCTTTATTCCAAGTAAGGCTTCGCAATCTCTCAGTACATCCGTTTTCAGGTAACTGCAAATTGTTATATTCATCTTGAACTAAAAGACCAAGGGTTACTAACCAAAATCTCAGAGTTGGGATCAATCACGTCAATCACGTTGATCACAATTCAATCACAAGTCAAATCGCAAGTCAATCACAACACCATCACGATTCAATTGTAAGTCAATCACAAGATGATCACAAGTCAATCACGAGTCAAATTACAAGTCCATCCCAAGTCAATCACAAGCAATGGACAAGACGGACATGCTACTGACTCGTGGCGACTTGTGACTGACTTGCGATTGACTTGCGATTGACTTGTGACTGTTTTATGATTGATATGTCACAGACTTGCGATTCACTTGTGACACCTTGTGATCGTCTAATGACTGACTTGTGACTGATATGTGACTGAATTATGTGACAGGCTTTTGATTGACTTGCGACAAACTAATGACAGACTAGTGACAGATTTGTGACAGATTTGTGACTGACTTGTGACAGACTTGTGACTGACTTCTGATTAACTTGTGACACACTTCTGACAGACTTGCAATTCACTTGTGACTGACTGATGGTTGCCTTGTGACAGACTTGTGATTGACTTGTGATAGACCTTTGATCAACTTGTGATTGACCTGTAGTGACATGTGACTCCCTGACACTGTACTCACCCAAGCTGCCATCAGAGAACATGTTCTTAGGACAGAAGGTGCAGGTAGTGTGGTTGAATGCTGACATGCCAGGGTTACAAGGAGGACACGCTACTATTTCACCTGATGCTGGCAGCTGCTTAGCGCCAGCGATGTCACTACGACACATCCTAGGCTCAATCCACTTGTACATGACTTGAGTCTAAAAACAACAAAAACACACAACGATGGTTGATTGTGGGGAAAATGAAAACAAAAGTGGGTTTCTGCTATGTGGTCTTTATCCTTACTTCATGCACTTTTGGCTGGTTAGCTGTTTTTGCCCAGCAAACGTTTTCTGCGCTTAGCAAATGTGTTACTCTTTGTCAATCTTTGTTAATTTGTGAATTTCATTTGTATGTTTACAGTTCGTCATTCTATAAATTTAGGGTCCAAAGTGTGTCATTTTGCTGTCCCTGTTACCTTGGTACATGTACTTTGTAATCTGCCATTCAAGTGTCATTAACTAAAACCCTAACCCTCTAGTACTTCCTCAAGACTACCCTGATAAATCCAACAGAGTCCAACCGGAGTTTCCTGCTCAATCCACTGTGCCTTATTTTCAGTTGTCTGCTGAATCCAATGGAGTCCAACATGGCGTTATAATGCGGTTCAGTTGCCTGCTGAATCCAACATATTGCAAACAGGAATGTATACAATGGGTTTACTGCTCAATCCAACAGGCTCCATCGGGTATATGATATAGCTGGATCCTGTTGGATTCAGCAGGGTGAGGGTTAATCAAAAATGACTTCAAAAGGATATTTATTGTTGCATAGGTCGTTTGCTATTCATAATCACTCTTGGGGATGACTGCATTAAGGAATAAATCAGAATTATAAAATCATAGATGTCAGATGTAACAGGTACAAGAAAAAAGTGGATCCTAATTTACAGAATGACCCAGTTATTAATACAACACCAGTGTTGAGCTATAATACATTAACCCTTGAAGGGGTACTTGAGAATATACTCAGAGTTGCAAACTGCATGACAAAAGAAACTCCAGGAATTATTAAAATCAGAGGAAGAAACAAAAGTCCCACCAACCTGGTTCTTTTCATCGCATGGTGTATGGGTCTTGTAGTAATCCTGCTCAGTGCATGGCTTCTTCTCAATACACTCAGTAGCACCAGGATCTAAAGAAAAAGAATCGGTTTATTAAAATATGTGAACAAAACATGAGCTAAAAGTCATTTTTGGGTAAAAGAATGGAGGCACTTGTATTTTTGGATTCTGCAGAGCAAGAGCTTTTCAAAGGTATGTAAAACTTGGGTGTACTGAGTTCAGTAATAGCAATACACAGCCCGCCAACGTTTTAACGTGATGGCTTTGCGTATTGTTTTTTTTTTCCTGGAAATTGCTTTGGACAGAACAAAGGTAACTAATATAATGAGTGGAAAAAAATAGGTTTTAGAAATGTTTAACCTAACTCCCTAGGCCTTTTTGCTAGGATGTAGCCTCAATCCTGCAAAATCCTCCAATTGGCCTCATGGAAAAATAGTATATAGCCTCAATCCTGCCAATTCCCCCTTTGTTTCTTGAATATGGTCCGTGGAGGGGTGACCACTGCCTGAATCCTGCAAATCCTGCGGCAGTGACTGCTAATATGTTGAGACTTGGCCAGTGACATCCTGGAGCAGTACGGAGGATTTCAAGCATAACCAGGCCTATATTTATACATGGCTGAGCAAAAACAACTCAAGGTCTGGCCCAAGACCTTGACAAAGTGCATCCTGCGAAATCAGTAACGCACTTTTGCCATGTAACCTCAATCCTGCAAATTCCTTTTCTTTAGCAAAGGGGATTTTGAAGGATTCAGGGCGGTTAGGGTTACTAGAAATAAAAAAAAATGGTATACGGTAGAGGAGAACTTACTGGTTGCAGTTCACTTAAAAATAAAAATTTGACCATTGCTTGAAATTTTGGTTTGTCCCACGGTACAAAGTAGGCAGCCAATGTATTTTGACTTACTGGAGTAATGTGTGGTAGCAACGCAGTCTGTACATGTGACAGCTCCTGAAGTAGCCGAGAACGTGTTGGCTGGACACAATTCAGAACTTGACAAAAACAAACAAGCAATGTTTTATTGAAAACATGTGTATGGTTTCTTCTTTAAATGGGAGAAATGCAGATTTTCATTTGGGTGGGTGTATACAGGGTGGTGCAATAAGAAGGAAACCCACTTTTGACAGGAATTTTAACCTACTTACTTAACTTATTTGAACTGTTCTTTTATAATGTAATGGAGCATAGCACTTCAACCATACGTGGTGAAAAAAAACTTTTAAAAAATCGCAAGAATAGTGTTATTATGCTAGTTTGAATACAAGTCACCAAAATTACTGTTGTGCACATGTAAGTCTATAGTGTCGTGTTCTTTGTCTTCAAATCAGCTCTGGAGCTTAGTCAAGCGGATGGAATATAGCAGTCCATGGGCAAACAGGTTTGGCACATGAAATCTTTAAACTACCATATCTCAGAGATGAAATATGCATTTGCAATCATTTTTTGTCACTTATGTTTAAAGATCAATATTTTAATACAATTAAATTGAATTTTTGAAATATGCTCAACAAGTACGTGAAAACTGCTGTCAAAAGTGGGTTTCCTTCTTTTTGCACCACTCTGTAGTGGAAGGGTTACGTCAATTAGCATTGGTCTTTACACTGCAATTAATGCAGGAACAATTGGACAACAATGTCTAAGAATCTGTTGACTTTTGAGTTTTGTGAAACCTTGTCTGTTTACTGCTGGCTTCAAATTTTTTTAGGTTTTGATGTACCTGACTAAAATGGACATACTCTAAAGCTTGTTCACATATTATAGATTTGATGTTTCTGAAGGAAAACAAAGTTATACTGAGCCAGAATCCCTGTTAACTCTTAGGGTGATATACTAGGAACCTTCCTCATCCTTGCAAATCCCAACACCATATGGTAAACTTTGCACATAAACAGTTGGACTCTTTTTATTTGTGGTATGCCTAATCCCATGTAAACATAATCAGTTTAATAGTGCAGTGCTAATCCTAACAGATTCCAACAAACCCCAGTGTTGGAGTTTGACTGGATGGGGATTGTTAGTGTTAAAGATGCGCTCCAAATGCTCTGCATCAAATTTGAATTTATTCCAACCTAAAAAAGAACACTTTTACCTTAATTGGACATCTGCAACCCTCTGAAAAAAAGTTATTGTTTTGGGCACAAACAGATCGGCTTTGTGAGCAGACTGGCTCCCGGTCCGTACATAATCGATACTGAACATGCTGAATGTGAGGCGGGGACCAGTCTAACCTGCAAGAACTAAATTTTTTCTGGCAGCAAATAATTCAAAATTGTACAGTTATAATTCAAGAACTAAACATGGGTCGATTTTTTTTTCCGGTTGATGTCTCATTCGAAAATGAATAACTTTTGTAGAAAAATAGCAATTTAAAATAGGAATCTATTTTGGGGGAACGCAACTAAGACTGAAGCCTACAAATCTCTTTATACCAAATTTGAAGATGCAGTCATGGTTTCGAAACCAACTCTGATTTTTAAAGCTTACTCAGAGGCCCCACTGTCTTTGACGAATGTCCCTGGTTTGGCTTTGGTGCATTCAGAGGTGAAGCTGACCCCCATGATCTTGATTTCCTTGATCAGGACCGGGTCGGGTTTGGTGTTTTGCTTGTAGGTGAAGCCAATACCAACGGCCTTCCATGTGATCACGTTCATCCCAGGCTCTAGTGGCATCTAAAACGGTCAATAAAACCAGTTCGGTTATAATATACAAGCTGGTTTACCCGATCATAGATCGGGTAGGGCGTAGTGTTGGGGATGAAAATGTGGGGAGTTAAATGTAAATGGGGGATATAGTTGGTGAGACATGCAGTTAAAGAATATCAATTTCTGTGGTGTGATCTGAGGCAATTTCTGATCACTAAAACCAATTTGAGCAAAAGATCATCTGTGAAAGTTTTGAGTTTTGAGTAATTGAATCAGCTACATGTATTCTGAGCAATAGAATCATTATTGTAGGCTACAATATTTTTATTCGGGGAAGAAAAAGTGTGTGTGGGGGGGGGGGGGGGGGGGGAGACCAAACAATGTCCCCCCTCAAAATGTGGGGGTGTGTGTGTGTGGGGGGGGGGGGGGTTCCCCTGTCCCCCGTCGATTTACGCACATGATAATTATGTACCATGGCAACTGTCTGTAAATGTTGCCATTGGTCTGTTAAATTGGCTTTTTGTGAGGCAGTCGCATTTGGAAAACGAAGATCATCTTTTAAACATCATTTTCGAGTTTGGTGTCATTGAATCAGCTATTCTGAGTAATGGAATCATTATACATGTAGTAGCTACAATTTTTATTCGGGGAAGAAAAGTGTGGGGGGGGGGACCAAAAAAGTCTCCACCGCTTTAAAATGGGGGGGGGGGGGGGTGGAGGGGTTCCCCGTCCCCCACCGATTGACGCCCATGATAATTATGTACCATGGCAACAGTCTGTAAATGTTCCCTTTGGTCTGTTAAATTGGCATTTTGTGAGGCAGTGGCATTTGTGAGAAAACGTACTTGAAAGGCTTGCCGTAGTACACAGGCGAAGGCTGATTAAGAAGGTCATAATTAAGTTTCAGTATATTGGACTCTTCAACAAACGTAAACTTGAACGTCTTACAATTTGCGAGACTGTCTGCGAGGAACTTGTCGAGTCAACTGTTATTCAACTTGGGTCAACCATCTATATAAGTTAATAGCAAATTTTACTCGGCCTCCGAGAAATGTTTGCTCCTGAAACGATCTGAGACCGCGGTCTTTCGCGACGCCAAAATCGCTCCACGTCCGTGGAAAAATGTAGAGGGTGTCTTCCGCCGGATCGGACACATTTTCGTTGATTTTTTGTGTGACTGCGTTTAAGATCGCGATGTTTGAAGCAATGCATCGATCCTTCGTTGATCCCAGACAGGCCCCCGAAATTATAACGCAACACTGTGGCGGGCAGCGAACTCACAACGCTCAGCCTTGGTGGAAGCATGGAGCTGTATTAACCTAACACACGATGGAAGCAACAGAGCACTATACACGTCACTCACATGCTTGTGCTTCAAATCATGCAAATAGCGAGCACCGTAGACCCAACCTCGTTTCCAGGGTGTGGAGCAGGCTGCAGTACGCGTTGCCATCGACAGTTTTGCATAGCCCGGATATACTACGCAGTGTAGACTTTCGATTGGTCAGACCGCGCAAGGCATACTTAATGTGTAGTCCTTCTGAGTATTCGTTGCACTCGGCGCAGGGGCGGCAAGCGAAGCATATGAAAAAATAGGGACACTCGGTGGCCACGCACCATGGAGAAAAAATATTTTACCAAGGTCACCCCATAACACAATTTGGTGAACGCTTTTGCCGAACGGCCGAGTAGAACACGTAAACGAAACCCCTACGTTGACCTCGCTCACCTCGCACAGTCTAGACTCGCAGAAAAGCCAGCACAGGGGGCGGCCAGGCAGTCAACGTGAAAGCGCACACGACGGAAAATTCCTGCGCAAAATGCAGTCACGAAAAATAGACGAAAAGGATCGCCGGTCCGTACGGGAAAATCAGGACGACCCGAAGTGTCCGACCCGGCGGAAGACACCCTCCGCATTTTTCCACGGACGTGGAGCGATTTTGGCGCCGCGGGAGCCCGCGGTCTCGGATCCTTTCATGAGCAAACATCGTCTCGGAGGCCGAGTTAAACTCTCTCTTATATATATAGATAGCAGAGTATTAACAGGCTTGCCGCTGTTCGGCTACGGCCAAATGACTTGGCTAGGGCTACTGGCTAGGTCTACCACCATTACAATTTCATGGGAACAAGCTGATGATACGCGTAGCCGTAGCCCGGAAAACACTACACTTTGCATTCATTCCTGAACTTGATCTGAACTGTCTGTGGAGCATAAACAAATGCAGCTGACACCTGTTAATATGTACAGACTACATGCAGAGTATAGATATGTGAAGCCTTCTGGCAAAATACGATGGAACTGGGCACAGGCCGTAGTGGAGAAACATTTTTAAAAAAATTTAGAAAAAAATTTCAAAAAAAACTGAAGGGGGTGATTTTGGATTTAATAGTTTTTGTAATCTTTGATATGTCCACTTCACATATTTTTTAAACAAATAGTACAAAAACCATGGAATAAAAGTGTTTTAAGGAAAAATATTGGCATCTTTCTTTTGCACGGCTACAAAACTGGAAACTTTAAATGCCTTTTTCACCGATAAATCGTCAACAAATGTGAACTTTATACATTGTACAGCCATAACTTGTTAACGGAATGTCAAACTGAAGTGCAACAAACAGCATTGTAAGGAGAATTTTATTCTCTTTCCTTATACCAGCAAACCCTCATTTCGCCCTCTGCCCAGTAGCATTTTGCCAGAGCGCCTCACATATGCACCTTGCCTACTCATCCTTCAATGTACCTTGTATGTTCTCCATGTGCCTTCACCTGTTTCGTCTGGCCATCTGTCACCCGATTTATCTGCTTCACATTTCTCATTGGTCACCTACAAGAAAAAAGAAAAAAAAACTTGGGGTGAAATACATCTACAGAACATCACTGGCTCATGAAACATTTCGTGACTAATTTCTTTTTGATAAAAAGATATGCTATAAAGACAAAGCTGTGCTTAAACTGTATCACTTAAAAAAAAAAATGGTTATCCACAACACAACTGTTTGGGTCATCTTGACAAACAAGGGCACCCAATTTGTTTCTGTTGACGATGTTTTCCTCATGCTTACCGACACATGTAAGATGGTGTCGTCTGTTGCTAGGGAGTACGTGAACTCCACGTAACCGTCCTTCATGAGGTTGGCAGCATAGATGAGTTTTGAGATGCAGTTGTCGCCCGGCGAGCGAATGTGATTACCCTTTGGCTCCCACATTGAACTGAAATTCATACACAAAAAGGAATACATACTTAAGGCACGTCAAAATGTCAACATGTCTACAGGTGAGTCCATCACAAGTCCGGTCACAAGTAACCTTATCACAAGTCCATTCATAACTCCAGTTACAAGTAACAGTGGATGAACAATAACAAAGGAATATTTGTCTTGAGTAGTGCGAGCCTGGTGCCACCTCAGAAAATGGCTGTCACCAAATTAGGCCCCCGAAAAAAATAAAGTCGGTCTCTAGTCAGCGCGCGTCGATTTTGATCATGCCTGTCACCTTTTTTTAAAAACTTTTTCATGGTAGCTACAACAGCGCCCTCTATTGCCGCACCGCCTCAAATTTTCGTGAACAGCATGACTCCAAATGATGGAGGGCACCAAGGCAAATGATGGAGGACACCAAGGTATATGAGGACACAAATAAGCAAAATAGTACCCACCTTGTCTGTACAATCCAAGCTTGAAAAAACAAAAAACAAAAAAACAAACGCATCGCCACATCCATTGACATCAATTCCGGAACTTTGGTCTGACCAGAGACCGACTATCATTTTTGTTGGCCTTAGTGTATAGGATAGCACTGTCTGCCTTTTTTCACATGTGACAGCCAGTCAGTCAGTGAATCTGTCAATGAATCAGTCAATGAATCAGTACAGTGAGACAAGCACTAGGCTAGTCCTCTGGGTCAAAAAAAAAAAAAAAAAAAAACTTACTTGTTGCAAGATTTTTCTTCGTCGTCATCCATTAAATGAGAAGTATATTCTTCTTCGCCTTGGGTGACTGTGAAGCCCTCGGGGAGTGAAGACCAATCTTGGAAGAGCTTTCCCCCGCCCAGCGAGAAGCTACCAGGCTGGCACTTGAGACACTGCTGGGTGTCAGCCTTGTCCAGGTAATCACCAGGACCACAAGAGAAATCTGTCAAGGGAAGGGAGGAGATACAGATTAAAGTTTCGAAATAAAAACAAAATCTTCATTTACAATAATAATAATAATGGCTTCTTGTATAGCGCTCATGTCCGTCACAAAGTGACGTTCCTGGCGCTCTATTATTACCCTGGCTTTAGCACGGCTGCCATCACGGCGCTCAAGCATTGAAGGAGTTTCTTCCTATCAAGTACCCATTTACTACACCTGGGTGGAGAGAGGCAATTGTAAATGCCTTGTCCGAGTGCTCAAGCACCTCCTCGTCAGGATTCGTACCGTGTACCACGGTACACGAGTCGAACATTTTAACTATTGGACCACAGCACCCCACAGCCTTGCTCTTAAAACAAATTCAGTCTACTGGATAAATCAGTACCTTCCCTCACCCTGCTCAATCCAACAGGATCCAACTATTTGACATATCCGTTGGGTCCTGTTGGATTGAGCAGTAAACCCCTTGTACATGTATATTCCTGTTGAAATAGGTTGGATTTAGCGGGCAACTGTAAACATTCCAAGTTGGATCCTGTTGGATCCAGCAGGATCCTGTTGGATCCAGCAGACAATAAAAAAAAAGTTACAGTTTGATTCTGTTTGATTGAGCATGCCAGTCGTTTTATATGTTCAGGTACCTATACCCAACAAGTTGGCAAGTTGGATTGTGTGGGACTGTGTTAGATTGAGCAGGAAATTCATATGAGTAACCATCGGACTCTGTTGGCTTTAGCAGTGTAGTCAGGGGGAACTACTACAGGTAGAGGGTTAGGGTTTTAAAGATAGAGTCAGAAAAAAACCTAAAATGTTCACGATGATTGGGCAAATGGTTTCCACAGAACAAATTCACTGATGATTTTTGATTTCATATATTGTTTGTTAATTTGTATAAATTATACATGTACATCCACCTGTAGAATTTTAAAAAAGTTTAATGGAAATTTGGGTTGAGCAGTGTATACTGTATTTCAGTGTATACCAGTGTATTCAGGTTATTAACCCTAACTCCCTAGGTCTTTTTGCTAGGATGTAACATCAATCCTGCAAATCCTCCAATTGGCCTCATGCAAAAACAGCATATATACATGTACATGTAGCCATAGTCCTGCAAATTCCTCCATTACTCCTTGAATATGGTCCATGGAGGGGTGACCACTGCCTGAATCCTGCAAAATCCTGCGGCAGTGACTATCAATATGTTGAGGCTTGGCCAGTGACATCCTGGAGCAGTACGGAGGATTTCAAGCATAATCCAGGCCTATATTTACACATGTATACATGGCTGAGCAAAACAACACAAGGTCTGGCCCAAGACCTTGACAAAGTGCATCCTACGAAATCAGTAACACACGTTTGCCATGTAACCTCAATCCTCCAAATTCCTCCAGGATTTTGAAGGATTCAGGGCAGTTAGGGTGCATGTATAAAAATTAAAATAAATTACCAAATTGTATGTACATGTACATGTACACATATACATTATACACATGCACAATGTTGTATGTACACACACATGGGCATCTTTTATGTGAACATTATTTCCAACAATCACTTCTGAACATGGAAAAAATGTATGCATTTTTACACTAAACTACATGTTAGAAGATTAGTTTCAACTATATGCTGTGATTATAATATAAAGACGAATGATCAGAGATGATGGTCTCAGTCACAGATGCAGACATAATGAATAAAATTACACAAGGACTAAACATGTGTGGGACACTGAACAGAATCTACAATATGCCAACATGTACGATGTACGTGTACGTGTGTATCGATGAGTCATCATTATGAGACCATCTGGACTTATCAACGCCATTAAAAAATAATATAATGTAAACCTTCATTGGGGAGTCATATTGAAATTCTGCATTTTGTTTCATGAATGATTAATAATTTAACTTACTAAATACTGCCTAATACATGGTCAACCTATGTTAATTAATAAAAACTAAAAGAAGAAGTGCAAAAATTATTATATTCAAAAGAAGCATGATGCTTAAATGTAGGTTTGATTTCTGCACATCTAAATGGCACGTCTACATGTATAATCAAGGAAAATATTAAAAATACAAAACTGAATCCTGAATGAGTGAACAATATGTTTGACTGCAGACAGAAACTGAATTCTGCAGTATGTCAGCTATTCACAACAATTCAGTTCAACAATATTTAATTGCTTCTGTCTACATGTGTACACAAGGAGTTACATGCTTCTTTGTGTGCATATTAAGTATATATGACCATATGGTTGCCTTTTAATATACCAGTACTTCAACAGTGGAACAAAGGAACAATGCTCCACTGAACAATGCTTAATTAAAGGTCTATGAAATGACTTTTTCGTAAGCCTGCTACACACAGGGGCTACGTGCTGAGCAAAAAGTCATTTGAGGCTGTTTGCTCAGCACGAAACTCACCGAGCGTGGTGAATTTTTGCTCAGTTTTCTGCCTAGTGAGGCCGTGAGGCATATCTATCATGTTTTGAGATCATACTGAAAGCCAATGAAAGCACATTATTCTTGTTTGTCGGTCGCGTGATTAAAAAAAAGGGGAGAAACGCCAGCAGGCTTTTGAATGTTTGCACGAAAACATTTTAAAACAGATTTCATTGGCTGGTTAAAATCTTTTTAGCTCGAGCAGCAAGAAGCTCAGGTTGACCGCACAGGTTGAGTTGTTCACCTCGTGAGACGAAAGAAATCAGCAAAAATATCTTAATCTGCAATATATTGAAAATTCCGGCAGTTTTTGGTACTGAAACATAGAGGTTTCTGCCTGAAACGAGATCGCACTTCTGCTCATGAATATAATTTGCATTGGCATAAAACCCCAAAAGGCATCAAAATACCCTTGAAAATTGAAAAATAAGGCTAAATGGGACACAACGGTGCATTTTCAAGGATTGCAAAACAATTACATTGCGTGGGCCCTTAAATGCGTGTAAAATTAGGACAATCCCTAGCCAACCCCTTGCTGTTCACTTGGTACATGTACATGTATGTAATTTTCCCACTAACTGAATGACTGCGTCCGTAAAATGTTTGCACTGCAGACTGAAACTAAAAAACAAACAAAAAGACAGCCCTGGATATAAACAAGGTAAGTAATCTATGGCTTTATGGTCGGTTGGCTTCTTTATTTACTGCAAATTTAAGCCCTGAAAACTTCACAATTGTCTCTTGTAAAAGCCACACGACTACAATGTACATTTACATAGATGAAAAACCATAGCAGAAGGGGGAAAAATGGATACAATGTGAAAAGCTTGCCTGTACAATGTACTTAGCATAATGAATTTTCTAAGTTCAAAATTGTTTAGACGTTTTTGTCTTCAGTTTCTGAGCAAAGCACATCTACATTATTAAAAGAAATTGCATATTTTTGGTTTCATTGTAATTAGCAGGTGCCTACATGTACTTCAGCTGAACTCCTAAACAAATCTATGTTAATATTGTACGAAAAAAAAAAAACATTGTAGCAAAAGCTTCTTTATTTATTTTTGTTAGGCTGAGGGGGGAGCTGAAATGCATCAAATAAAAGTACTCACTGCAGTCAACAGCACGTGTCGGAGGTTCTGGCGCACCGCCTGTACATGTGTCTGGATAGGGAACAGAAACACGCCACCGGACTCCATTCTTGTCACATTCAGTATACTCATAGTGGAATTGCTCCTATTAAAAACAATATGGACAAAGAGAAATTATCACTGATAATCTCATGCAGGGCTCAAAATACCCAGAGGAACACTGACTGGACTAAGTCAGGAAGGAGATTGCCAATTTGAAAAAAAGTCTGAAATTTGGATGGAACACCTGCCTGAAAGATGTATTGCTTCTACATGTATAGACAAATCCAGCAGCAGCTTTTTCTGCGGTGGCACTAGGCTCACGCGAGTCGTGCTCAGGTAGTACACACGCACTCCGGGCTCCTTCAACCAATAGGAATACCAATATGCATGTACACATCGCCTTTAAGAACGTGTGCAGCATGCGGGTGAGCATGACACCACCACAGTAAAGCTTCTAATTCTGGTCGCCACATTCCACTAATGTCCTACTCTCAGATTCAAAAAGTCTGATTTCAGACAAAAACGGGGACATTTCATGCCTGCTTATTCCAATGAACTTTTTTGCTAACCCTAACTCCCTAGGCCTTTTTACTACATTGTAGGATGTAGCCTCAATCCTGCAAAATCCTCCAATTGGCCTCATGGAAAAATAGCATATAGCTCAATCCTGTAATTTCTTGAATATGGTCCTTGGAGGAGTGACCAATGCCTGAATCCTGCAAAATCCTGCATTCAGGGCGGTTAGGGTTAATAGATAGTGCCAAATAAAAGGGCAAGGCCAATCAAAGCTGTCAGCCAAAAATAAGGCAGAATAGAATTTAGAAAAAGAACAGAGTAAGTCATTTAGCATTTGACTTCCGCATTGGATTGCAATCTAATGACTTCATCAGATCTTAATTAGGTCTAGATCTTAAGCTTGAAGAATTTGGGGAACCGCCAACATAGGGCTGGATAGCTCAGTTGGTAGAGCACCGGAACGGCAATCTGGAGGTCACAGGTTCAAACCCCGCTCCAGTTAAATTCTTTGTTTAACTTTGAAAAAATGAATAATGGACCTAGTCAGATTCCCTTTGTGAGTTTATTTGATAATGAAATCTAGAGCAATAGATTTCAGCATTAGTCTTGTCCTTCAGCATGATTGATTTCAAAAGATGTCAACATAATACAGTAAATGTTTTGTTACATTTTCAACATGTCCAAGTCAAATGTGCATCTTCGTGAACCCATATAATTGACTCTTTATTTTAATGTTGTTGAAAAAAAAAATATGCCATGTATATCATTTATATTTTAATAACAAAGAATAAACATGTTGTTGTAATGTACAGGGTACTAGCGTACAACCAGACAACTGCAGGCCTACATTTAGCCCCATAAATGTGGCCAATTTACTGGACTGCCTCCGTAAACATAGGCCACACATCCACATGTACAAAAACGTGTCGCACTTTGCCAAATTTTGATTTTCACATTTAGGCTTAGTTTGTAGGTTTTTTTTGCTTTAGAAGCATAATCACCCTCTTTATAGGCTAATCAGAAAGTGCTGCCTTTTTCAGATGTCTAATTTTTGTGAAATTTCATGTTGAAATATTGATACGCAAACGTGTGCAAATGAATCTGGAAAAATAGACATCTGAAAAATAGATCATCTAGCCTACATTGTACATTACTAGTTCTTGAATACTTGTTGGGACCAGGGTCTAAGAAAGGACTTATAAAAAAATAAAGTGTGTTTGCAAAATGCAAAATATAGTACCACATTTCTCAAAGTTTTACAACCAAAAGGGGCTCAAAATATACCCCAACAACATTATTCTCTGGTTACATGAAACACGCCTGCATTAGATACATTATTATATTTGTCTATACATGTATAATCTGTTGGTACTGTTCATCTAGCGCTAAGCGATGCAACATTCGATTTCAATCATGCAAATTTAGTCTAATCCATGTAATAGTCTTTGTGTTTGTTCATGTATAGCCATATATCATTGCTTCATATTCATTATTCCTAAACCAATTTGCGAGAGTCTAGATATTAAAACCCCAAGCACAGGAAGTACAGAGTACCCAGAAAGGCCATTGTATGCAAACCAGGGAACACAATGCTTAAGTCTGTTTTTTCTCACTTTTCCAACAACGATATGGTCCAGTAAGCATTCACAGAGGGTACTGCTTAACGCTTGCTTTGGTTGGTTCACAAAAATACTATGACCTTATCCATCAACCTGGGGTAGTACAATTGTACTATCTGTTGTAACTTTTTCAGGATGCCTTTGTGCAAAATTTAACAATGCCAATGCCAACCCACATTCATGAACTCAGCTTCAAATGAAATTGTATCTACAGGACTTGCAGGTTCCCCAGACATTCTTTGCAAAGTTTGCAAATTTCAAGGTGATTTGTAGATTCTTGTACTAAAATCCTACATTTTTATTTTATTTTATTTTTATTTTATTTTATTTTATTAAACTTCTCCACTGGCTGATATATTATCTTACAAGCCAGTGAGCGGCAAGATTGAACAGGTGACTAGCACCTCCAAAGAGCCATCCTACCACAGGAACTAGAGAAGAAGAAAAAAGATTCCCATAGTATTACCTGACCTTCGCTGATCAATCAGAAAGTGATATTAGGTCCTAAAAAGTCAAATTTAGCAGGGAAAATACTGAAGCATTAACTGGTAAACACCAGCCTCATAGGGTTTGTGCACAAGGTGACAAGTGATGTCCAGGTATGGAAATCTTTCCAACATTTTTTGTGTGACCTATTTGGGAAAGAATGTAGTATCCTGACAGCAGAAGCCACTTCAGCAGTTGTGTAGAACGTCTGTGGAGAGTCAAGAAAGTTAAAGTATTTCCTAACAAAACTGGAAATGTTTCTCAGTCCCAGATTCATATCATTATCAACGTATTTGCAATGACTGACCATTGAGATGATATACATGTATGAAGAAAAAAAATGTTGCAACATTCTTTCCCCTATTTTTTTCAAAAAGGATGAGTAATTTCATTTCGGGGGCTATTTTGATCAATGAGTGACTACATCTATGTGGTCAGCATCAATCATTGTGCAAATGTCACAGAAAATACGTTCAAGACTGAAAAACATTGTAAGACTTAGAAATGCTTTAATTTGGCTTTAAAAAAACATCATGGATTGTCCTGCGGATTTTTAAATTCATCAATTTCATTTTCAAAAACCTTCAACCATCAGCGCAAAATAATAGTCATACTTCAATTTTACATATTTCGAATCAAATTTACTATCATCACTGATTACCGGATTACATTTACAGTAACACTAGACAGTCATTTGTAAAAGTCATATTTGAACGGAACTCATAAAATTGCTAGATGTCCTAAATAAAACTAACTACACTTTACTACTACTGGTTTTAATCATAAAAATAAAAAACTCGCACAGCCTTCACTTTAATTAAAGCTGCAAAAAAATGCCATTTAAAAATGTAATACAATTTACAAAAACACTGTTGACAAAAATCAAATCAACCCCTCTCCCCTAAAATTATACTATTCATCTATAATGTACACAAAAACCTACTTACCATTGTGCATGTAGGCAGTATTTGCTTCCCTCTTTTTTCCTCCGAAACAGGCTCTGCGTGAACGAATTGATGCGAGATACAGAACACAAAGCACATAAGTCCAAGGAGTGTACGACGATAACATGGCCGCTGCCGGCTGGTCCCACTTCGTACAATCTGTGCCATGTTTTTCGGTCTTTAGCAGCCAAACGACGGCACAGTGGGTCTCTCTCTGCGACAGATTTCTATCCAGATGCAGACTAGTGTGATTTAAGAAGTTGAAGTACTATGTTTTTGGTTGAAATCGGGATTTAAACCTCTGCAAAATTGCAAGTTCAGCTGCAGCATTGCAGTGCGTACAATTAATAATTCTCAACCTTCACCCCGGAGCTCGAAGCTAACATGCATGATTAATTATTAGGAATGTTTACTCGTCCCCAGCACAAACGGATAAACAATAGCGCCCTCGGTGTAGGTCGGAGCTCTGTGAACACTAAACTGTGATTGGTTGTTTAATGCTGTGACGTCGTATTCTGAATATTTCACACACGTTTTTGCCTTTCGACACGTAATTACCCAGCATTCACTTTGTTTCCTACTCCTAGGTATTTTTTTTTTCAGAGAGGAGAATCGATGCTGGAAGGCCTTGGTTTGTTCTATAGTTCAACCCCATGCAACCCCCGGCCTAGAAAAAAGGCAAGATTTCCGACAAGGCCAAGGTTTAAAACCGAAGACGCTGATATATGAGAATGTCGGACACTTCGCCCCATTTCCACGTCGCCCCATGTCACTTCGCCCCTAACCACTTCGCCCCATCCCCACTTCGCCCCATTCCCACATCGCCCCATCCATTGATCTCCATCTGTGTATATGGAGATCAATGGCCCCATTTCCACTTCGCCCCATTTCCACTTCGCCCCATTCCCACTTCGCCCCATCCCCACTTCGCCCCATCCCCACTTCGCCCCAGCCGTTACACGTAAAAAAAAATCTCATCTATTTTTTTGGCTTAAAAAACAATTTCAACAGATTCACTAATTGCTAACCAACGGAAAGAATTAGCCCATCACCAAATGAACAATTCATAACCAACCTTTCAAGCTAGGCTCTCCCCTACCAAGAAAAAAGCTTGAAGTAAAAGATCCAACTTTTACGGTTCCCAACCCGGCTATACCAACCCGTCTCCCACTTATCTGAGAACGACAATACCTTTGACATCCTAATTTCACTCTTGGAGGAACCAATCTCATCTAAATGAAGTTGTAAGTGTCACATATCAGACAAATTTTGACGGAACATTTTCCTCAAGGCAGTGAGTTCCTTTTAACTCACTGACCCATACCTACGGATTCTTTTGAATCCAGCCGCTTCCAGCGGTATCAGGTCAACTCGGACCCAAACCAAGTCGGACCCATGCCAAGTCGGACCCACGCCAACTCGGACCCACGCCAACTCGGACCCAATACCAACTCGGACCCACTACCAACTCGGACCCAAGACCAACTCGGACCCACTACCAACTCGGACCCAAGACCAACTCGGACCCACTACCAACTCGGACCCAAGCACGACCAACTCGGACCCAACAATGACTTTATCATTAGTTTCAGAGATTATATTTATAGGTCATCTTAATGTTACAGTGCTTATATAGTGAAGATATTCTGTAATTATATTGGTCAGAATGGGGCTTTTAGTTTTGTTGTTTGATCATACTTCGTTGGTTTTGCTCTCTTATTACTGATTCACATGAAGAAATGGATATCTATGTGCAATGTTTTTCCTTTTTCATCTGCTTTTTGTGTGTGTGCCAAATATATAAACCAAATTAAATCACACCCAATGAAGGATTTCAATATGTCACAGAAAGGTAATCATCAAGTTAAGGAAATTAGGAATGCAGTTCGAAAATGTCAAACACAATGCATGCAGTAACATTGATCTGTCAATCATTCTCCCCCATTCATAGCGCTGATCACCAACGCCAAGAGATTAATCTTCGCGGTTGAACCAACGCGCGGTCCCCGGTTCACACACAAACAGCGGCAAGTTCATTCGGCAGTATCGGCAACCCTTGATCAGTTCAGTGAAGCGGGTAAAAAGGTTACCGCTGCAAAGATCGAAGTGTATGATAGATAATTGCTAATTAGAAAGACTAATCTGACTCGGGAACATTCAACCATGATGGACACCTGCTTGGGCGCGTCAACAACCTGAATTATGGCATTTTGCAAAGAACAAAGTAGGCACAAGGGATGCTCATGGAGTTAGCACAAGTTTGTTTGCTTGTTTTTTTTCTGTTGTATTAAGTCGTCAATATTTTCCAGCAGATCACATTCACTTTTGCACAATAGTGTTGGCAGTGACACCATGACACGAGTCCCACCCAGTGGCGTAGCTAGGATTTTCTTAGTGGGGCCAGAGGGGGCATCAGAATATCATGGGGAAGGGAGGGGGGCATTATCGCAAACGTCCTATTGCAGTTTATCCCAGTTGGGCCCAAGACCGAGACCACAGCTTCCGAGACCGAGACCAGCAAAAAGTGGTCTCGAGACCGGTCTCGAGACCCACAACACTGGTTTGAATTAAAAATGAATTAAATTGCTGTTAAATTGAGCAAGATGGCGTGAACGATGTCAAATATGAAAATGAATAACTGGTTAAACTTTAATTTTAATTACTTTTGGTTAAAGCGCAATATGTTTCAATGGAAACAAATAATAAAAATTAATAATTAATTAAACTTTTAAAGCGCATTTCAAAATAGCATATCAATGCACTTTACAATGACAAACTGCTGCAATACAGCTATTTTACCTGACAACTACAATGAAAATTTATGCTTAACAGCATCACTGTATTAACAGATAAGTGGACAGACTTTATGAAATTGTCGAATGATTGAAAACGCTGTCGAATGATTGTTAACGATGGGTCCGAGTTGGTCATGCATGGGTCCGAGTTGGTAGTGGGTCCGAGTTGGTTGTGGGTCCGAGTTGGTAGTGGGTCCGAGTTGGTAGTGGGTCCGAGTTGGTAGTGGGTCCGAGTTGGCGTGGGTCCGAGTTGGTAGTGGGTCCGAGTTGGCATGGGTCCGAGTTGGCATGGGTCCGACTTGGTTTGGGTCCGAGTTGGATCGAAACCCTTCCAGCGGCTGATGATTCACAAGCCAATAGGAGAGGCGTCTCTGAATGGGATAGAGCCATCATTTCTCTCATCTGTGTCTCGAGCACCTCATCAGAGAGTTTGTATTTTTCCTAAGTTTCTAGAATTGGGAGCATTTATTATCTGGGGTCTTTGGCAGTTTATTTGGTCTGCACCCCTAGCCTTCACCTTTTTCATACTACATGGGGCGAAGTGGGGATGGGGCGAAGTGGGGATGGGGCGAAGCGGGGATGGGGCGAAGTGGGGATGGGGCGAAGCGGAGATGGGGCGAAGCGGAGATGGGGCGATGTGGGGATGGGGCGAAGTGGGGATGGGGCGAAGTGGTTAGGGGCGAAGTGACATGGGGCGACGTGGAAATGGGGCGAAGCGTCCGACACCCGATTCCCCCCCCCCCCCTCTCAGATGTACAGTCTATGGAATCTAGACCTTTGCTGGAAGGGTTTATGATATGCGAACAGATTCGGCGATTACTTATGCAAAACAAGACTGCGTCTTGACCTCGAGATTATGATATTCAGCAGGCGCACAGGTCTTCCGTATTACAAAATATGTCAACCAAATTGACCAAATAATCGAAATGAGTCAAATGACGTCACAAATTCTTAAGTCGACCCCGATTGGTTGCCGCGCAGCGCAGGGTCACATAACTTTTACGCATTGTCTGATATATCAGACATTGGTTACGGAGAGGGCTCCGTTCAATTACTGATTTTTTCGAAATATGCAGAAACAGGTGTAAATTAAAGTAAGTCTGAACAAAAAAATACTCAATATTTTTTTTAATATTCGTTGTTATTAATTAAAGATATGTTCCCTGTGTCATTTTGGAGTTTGAGCTAAAAAAAAAAAAAAAAAACAGATTTTGATTTTCTTCAAAATTTCTATTTTCCTAGAAATATAAATGGGATACACTTTTGAACGAGAGACGTACATCGCCGAACAAAAAATCCACGCGTTTAGTTCCTGATTGAATATTTCTTTCTTCACGTCAGATAACTCGGCTCTCGCAGCAGGGCGGCGGGTTCATTTGTGCGCGAAATGAAATTCCTTTGTTTTCAGACGCCCAAACTCGGAATGGTTGTTTTCGTTAAAACAAACTGTATAAAATGAAAATTCGTTGGGAAAGAAAAATTTTCAGGTTTTTTTTTAAAGACCACGCCACATTCACAATTTTTTGGACTATGTGTTAGAACTATTAACGAGACTGCAATATAGGCCTATCTCGTCAAAAAGTTTTCTGTGTCATTCTGTTATGTTTCGGGAATCGTAAACATCTTACTTTTATTCATGAGATGGAATCTTATTTTTATACACATACATGTTTAAACATCTTATTTTTTTTGATTTTTTTTTCTTTAACTTTGACTATTTTGTGTGACGGAAGTACACGTGCGCGCGATGTCGACCGTTCGAGTTGCACGTCTTTTTATGCTATGAGTTGCGGTTGCACTTGTACTGCCAATTAGCACGGCACCGGTGAATCTTTATAGCGCCCTCTCTAGTTGAAAATCTTAAAGTTGCCGTGGTGACCATTGTATACATTGTAATATGCACACACATGTAATGCATCGCGCATATAATGCATGCAGCCGGCCTCATTCGTAAAAAGTCGCTAGAACTAGAAGGAGGAGGAAGATTCGAGTGAAGAAAATTTTGTGGTGAAGAAAATCAGACGAAAATGAACATGGAAGTTTCGAACAGAGACCCTTATCCTTTTCCTAAGGTACAGAACGACGACGATTTCATCGGCACAGGAACTTTTCAGGTTTGTGGAAACTGCATGACAAGTTTGTCTTGATTTTAGAGAAGTTGAAGTTGTTTGATTTTTGAAGTTGGAATTTATTTTGAGGGAATCAGTTTGCAGCATGTCTAAAAAAACTCTCTGAAATATTTTTAAAATGTGTGATTTGATTCAGTTTTATAAATCTTTTGTCGATGCTTATGACTACAACTAAGTGTCATTCCCAGTTTCGGTCTATCCTTATGTGTATATTTTTAAGTTTTTGTATTCGTATTAAAATCTTAAGCATGTAGGCCTAGGCCCGCTATTGTTTTCTTTTGAGGGAAAAGAAAACAGTAGGCTAGGCTAGGCCTTTGATTAAAACTAAAAAAAGTACTTTGTTGAAAGTCAGTTGAGAAATTACTGACATGTTTTTGTCTTTAAATTTAGGTGGTAAAATGTTCTCCTTTTAAGTTTTCTCAAAGAAAAAATTTCCAATGTCAATGAAAATCCACAACAATGTTATCAAAGAAACTGTTTCCCGTATGCAGTTTATGCCCTAATTCTAGACTTCAAATTCGCAATGTTGATATTTAAACAAGATTGTATTCACGGCCATGTTTACAATTGCTCAAATTTTGTTGTTTTTGTTGTTTACAGAAGCAGCCTTACACACAGCCAACGCATCTCGCCCAGCGGACCGATCCATGGAACAGGCTTAATACAACCAGTACACTGTCAAGCAGCAGGAGAGAAGTCTACCACCATGACCCCAAGGTCAGCTCAACTTAATTTTGTGCTGGTCCCAGAGGGCCAGCCTCGTGTCCTCTTTGAACCCTCTCATTTTTGGGCAGTGCTATTGTATAGGATTCCCCATAATGCCGATGAATGGACTAAATCTGGTCCATTGTGTAGACCAGATGCATGAAAAGATTTCCATTAAAAAGCCATTTTGAATCAGTTGAATAGAAATTTGTGCACTCTGGGACCAGCATTACTTGGCTTACCTTGTGTTTTTTTATGGAAGTTGCCCGTCACATCGCGATCTTAGGAAATCTATTCAAATGAATTATGGCGAAGATATTCCTTTGTCATTGTTCATTTCGGACTAGACTTGACTACAAGGCTGATATTTCTAATCCGACTTGGGTATTTCTTTATTCAGTCAAATTAATATTGTTGGCTTATCTAATCCCACAGGCACCCAGGGACAGTCTAGACTTCGTCTTGAAAGCAGACTATGATCACCACGGCGCCTTCTTGAAATCCAAGAATGAGACGCTCGTACAACCAGAGACAATAGGGGAGAACCATGGGTGAGTTGTGGCTATGTGAAATTTGAACTCCATCCAAATTGTTTTCAAGCAAACAGGCAGGAGAAAAGGAAAGCAAGAACTTGAAGGAATGTAGTACCTGATGCCACACTGGTGGGAAATGTTTTACATTCCCAAATTCATTTTTTTTTGGGGGGGATAGATAATCGTTTTGTCTGTGGTTGAAAAATTGGCGTCAGGTTTCTTTGATCTAGCCATTAAATTTTTGTGACACATTACTGGGACTTGAACATGCTGGAGTTTTAAGTGTCCATTTACACATCTGATAAATGAATATTTCCCCTTTTCTTTAAAAGCCGGATCCTCAAAAATAGGAAGAAAGAGGAGCCGAGGCTTATCGACCCCATGAACCCACCCACCGTCGATTCGGTCATCGAAGACCCAAAGAGGGAAAGCATCCACAGCACCAAGGGTGCTATCGATAGCCATCACAGCGCGGCAACAAATGCTGGCTACTCGCGCAAACACGACGGCGGTTTCTACACAACATAAACCAGATTTTTTAAAGTCTTTCAATAGTGTGTGGCACAATTAGATTTGTGCATGTACCGGTAGTTAAGGGGCATCTTTAAATAGTTACAGCTATCATAGACATTTACTTTTTCTACCTTTGTTCTTCTTTGTTTCTATTGAAGTCTTTGAAATCTAACACATTTCCCTTGCGGGGTACTGAGTTTTCTACCGACCAACTTGCAGGGTCCCGTTGTCTATATTGTTGCCTTTCTTACCCTGGTACCCGTGAGGCCATAAACGGAAATCAACTCCAAGGGATCGAATTCATAAAGTGGCTCAGGAACAAAACCAAAACAGCTTAGCTGGAATAGCCTTACATCAGTTTTGGTTACTGGGCACGTTTTTATTATCATTTGCATTTGACTAGACCTTAGCTGCTTACCATGAATACTGGTCAAGTAGGTTTATTGTCCAGGACCCAAATTTACCAATTACACAAAATTGCTTACAAGCAAAGTCAAACTTGCTTAGCCGAAATGTGTCTATAAATTGGGTAACCAGGGATATCTTCATTGTATTTTGTATGTGACCAGATTTTGGCTGGTGGTCCGCTAGGCTTAGCGAAAATACTGGTGAAGCAACTTATTTCAGTCATCACCATTTATTTATTTATTAATTTTTTGTTTTAGATACACTAAAATTTTAGCGAAAGTGTTCAGTTGTTCTAGAATTGTTCTCACACATTTCCATGATATGTTCTGATACCATTTTCAGATACTTTTCAAAACTTTCACCAAGTTTCTCATCTCAGCATTATACAGAATTCAAATGATGAACACTTGACATAATCTGGTTTTGAACTTTTTTTAAAGAAATGTCTGTATTTTAGAAGAGCCTTTTAGTGGAAAGTACAATTTGTTTAGTTCACATTGTACATGTAGACCTTTTAACTGTATATTTTGTATCATAGTTATGTTTTAATATTTTTCTACCATTTTTAGTTGGATGTTTATATTCCATTTTTATTTAGTACAAAAACATTGGTATTTGTTGAACACTGGGGTAAGCATCAAATAAATTTTTTTGAAAAAAAACCCCAAAAATTCAAAACAAGGCATCTGCTGCAGTTGTTCACACTTAAAAGACACAACACAGTTTCCAGAAATACCAGGCGCTTTAATTTTTGCACTGTCAAAACGTTTTGCACTTTACATGTGTATATGTACATAAATCTCACAAATATTACTTACTATTCAACTTGTTCGTGTGGAAAAATAAAATCTTGCAGAATTTATGAAAGACTCCTCAGTATTCCATCTGTGCTTTTATATTGCTAGTTTGCAAAATACATGTGTACAGTATTGCGCAGTTGATACAATGTATTTTCCTATAGTTCGTTCTTGATAAAGTCCTGTTTATGCCAAGGCCAAAAAAAAGTTCTGCTTCCCATTACATTGCATTTGAAAACAGGGTAGGTAGGTAGAGAAATATATTTTGTTGACATTTTTGTGTGTGTACTATCATATGGAGGTGTCTACGTGTAGTCGAGGGTAAAATGTGGTAATGGATGGTTTTCGGGGATTTTTCCTCATTTTCCCCGAACAAAGATTAGGGTGGGGGCTGTCAAAATAGGGTAGGTAGGGTAACCGGAAGCAGAACTAATTTTTTTTTTGGCCTAATGACTGTTATTTTTTCAACCTTACAGTTTATTTCAGGGAAGAAATTCCAAATACATGCAAAGTTTGGAAAGACCGAGTGAATACCTTTATGGGAATACGTGGAGGAAAGTCGATGAAGAGGCACTGGGGGCATTATAAAAAAAGTAAAAGATTGCTATGACATTAAACTTGTTTATAGGTCACAGATCTACATTTGTGCAATTTTTGTGACCCAGCCTCTGTGAACGAGTGATAAACACGATCGTGTAAGACTACTGACTGCAATTATGAAAACCTCTCCGAAACATAACATCTCAAAATGTTCCTGTGCCTCTAGTATTAAAATGGTATCATTTCAGAAAAGCCTGTTTGGCATTCAATTTGCATTTGCAAACATTAATTAGTTTCTGAAAAGTTGAACAAACTACACAGATCTGCCATATGTGTGAAAAATCAAGGAGAATATTAAGAAAATTGAAGAATAGACCTGCGTTCAGGTAAATGTCTCGGAGGGCGTTCTTTGTTATTTAGTTTATCAACAATGAATGCCCAAAAGGTATATTAAGTAGAACATTCAAACAATTTAAAAGTGACAAATCATTTTGTATGCAAATGGCAGTTTTGAGGCAAGGCACTTCTACGAAGGCACTATACTACATGTATACTGATATTTTTTGGTGAATTGAAGTACATAGCCTCAGATTTCAGAACATTTCCTGAGAGACTTAGAATACAAAGCAGATTAAATATAGAGATAAAAAATTATATAGACTCTCTAAAGATGTATTGCACTTAATTCAATTCTACTGTAAGTAGAGAATATAGCCCTCTTACACAAATGTAAATGCGAAAAATGCACACACACAATATACAAAATACAGTTAATTATTCGCAAACTTTTCAGTCATTTACATGCTTGCTATTATTTCTTATATTGTGCCAAGATAAACATATAAAATTCTACAGGAAATATACACAGTCTCAGACTTACAGAAAAAGGGTTCAAGGTATTTTGTAGTACATGTATAGCTAGGATTGAAGGCGCGAAGGAACATTTGTAATTACCCGGAAACATACCTACTGATTAAACAAGGAAACGCTTGCTCAAAGTAGAGATAGGACTCGCATCAAATACCGTGATATTATTCTGCCTGAAATGGTATCATTTGGAAGAAAACAATCATTGAAGGTGGTTTCAGAAATTGTGACCGGAATCCTTTTAAGAAACTCAAACAGTTGTCAATTAGTGTTCTCCGTTTTCTCAAAATGTAAACGGTGGTGCAACAAGAAGGAAACCCACTTTTGACAGCAATTTTCACCAACTTGTTCAGTACATTTCAAGAATTCAATTTAATGGTATTAAAATATTTAAACATAAGTGACGAAAAAATAGATCTGAGATATGGAAGTTTGAAAAGTTCATGTGCCAAACCTGTTTATCCACGGACGGCTTTATTTCTATAGCTTGACTGAGCTCCGGAGCTTGATTTGAAGACCAAAATACACTACACTAGACTTATACGTAGACAACAGTAATTTTTGTGACATATATTCAAATTAGCATCATTACACTTTTCTTGCGATTATTTAAAGATTTTTTTCATGGTTGAAGAGCTTTATTTCACATTATAAAAAAAAAGTTCAAATAAGTTAAGTAAGTAGGTTCAAATTCCTGTCAAAAGTGTGTTTCCTTCTTTTTATACCACCCTGTACAGTATCCACTGAGCTGAAAGTTCAACAAGTTAGTTTTTATCCATCCCTCTTAAGATTTTGAGTAATTTTGTTGCTTCAAACAAACAAAATTGCACAAAATGCAAATGATCCAATGTAAATGTACCTTTAAAAACCCACAAATTACACTACTGGAGGTAGAATGGCTCTGCTCTTTCGCCTCTTCAATGGTGGCAGTTTTCGTGGGCTCTTGACCTCTGCGACCTCATCAGTGACCTCATGACCCTGGTCAGTTGACCCCACGACCTCGCCGCTGGTTGCCGATGGCAAAGGTTCAGGGACCTTTGGGAGGAGAGGGGGAGTGGGCGGGACCTTGGAGAAAGGAGTGGGCGGGACCGTGGATGTGACCGAGGCACGCGAGGCACTGCGGACACCGCGAGGTGTGCGCACCACTTTGGCCCTCGATTGCTGCAGGAGAGTTTTGGCGTTTCTGTTGGCTCTGATGACTTTCCGCAGTGCGCCCTGAAAAACAGTCAAATTAACCTGTTAGCACCTGTGCTACATTGTACTACATTGTATTACATTGTATTACATTGTATTACATTGTGTTACATTGTACTAAATTGTATTACATTGTACTACATTGTATTACATTGTATTACCTTGTATTACATTGTATTACATTGTATTTATTCTTAATGAATCCATAAAACTATACAATGTTAGGGCAGTTTGGGGCAGTTCGGGGACTAATGGGTCATTAATTCATAACTGCCATAGTATTTTTTTTAAGCACAGATTTAATTCAGATTTAGTTCATTGCCTCGAGCTTGAGCTATATCGACTTAGACTACTACTGATAATTCTCATAGGTGATAAATGATTAATGATCAGAAAGTTTCCTGTTCTCAAGAAGACGATCAAGAATTCTACAATAAACGCACAAAAGCTAGTTTTGAACAGCTTTCTTCACAAGATGTCTTGAGGATTCTGCAATAAAGCAGTTTCTTTAGTCAAGTCCATCACAAGTTTGATCCCATGTAAATGACAAATCCTTCAATGTGTCTAGTCATTAGTAACTGGGGATTGAACATGACCAAAGGAATGTTGATGTCACAACGATTTGAATAGATTGTGACTGGACTTAAGGCTGGATGACTTATGACGGACTTCTGATGGACTTGTGCGGCCTTTTGATGGACCCGACTATGTCTAAAAGATCCAAACTTAATACAAACCAAAATCCAGTTCCTTACCCTCCATTTTACCAGAGCTTCCCTCCTTGCTTTGGCCCGACTCTTGGGCAGTACCGTCTGAATTAACAGCGCCCTGCAGACATATTCCTTGTCTCTTGTCCCACTCTCAGCATCAATGGGCCCCTCCGATCTCGTTATCGGCACCAGAGGTACGTTCAGGTCGTCCTTCTTCCAGGATTTGTACATGATACGGCGACCCTTGGGGATTGGCGGAGCCTCCCTGCATTCAGAGCGAAGTAACATCAATGAAACCAGCAGCCAATTACATTCACCTCAAACACAAAGCTGTGAGTGTCTTGTATCAACTTTGATAAGTTGTGCAATAACAGGCTCCATGATGATCACGATTTGCTAGTAATATAGTTCATTTTCAGTCACTACACCACAACTTACGCCACCTAAAATCAATGCGTAAGTTACACCGCAATTTGTTGTGCAAGTCTATTCTATTCTTCCTTACAAGTGCAGACTTCATGGCTGAAGATAATCGCACTGCCAGAAACACCGGGGCGAACCCCTTTTCTTAGCGGTAAGTGTACTGGGTTCTTTAACGTGCATTACACAACACACGGGACCTACGGCTTTATGTCCCATCCGAAGGACGAAGCAATAATGGTAAAGTGCCTTGCTTAAGGGCACAAGTGTCCACCCAGGCTCAAACCCACGCCAGGGGAGGTGGGGGGAGGTGGGGGGGAGGGGGGGTGGGGAGGTGAGGGGGGGGGGAGGTGGAGGACAGAAAAGGAGGGGGGGGGGGCACTTGGTCACACCACTGTTTGTGGAACTAATTGCACTTGTCCATATTGTGAATCTCACAACCAGGGACTTTACGCTTTCGTGCCCAACCCCAACTCACCCCTCGTCAGGGCTGATGATGATAGTCCCTCCTGCTTTACCCGTTGCTTCCTCCGTATCCTGTATCAACCCCTTCCTGAGGGCTTCCTTGTAAGGCATTCTCATCTCCGTGGAGTAAGCCTTCTGGTATTTTTGCAACTCGCCTTTGGGGATGGACCTCTCGATGTTCAGGAGAAGCATGGCCCACTGAAAAAACAAAATGGATAAGACCATCATTCAATCAATCAATGTTTCTGCTCCAGCCACAGGCTGTGTAGTTATTGGAGGGAGGCTTGCTTTTGAGCCACCAAAATTCTCAAAATTCATGTTTCCTCGCCCCCTTTATAAACTCGTCTTGGTTGAGGTCAGATGATGATGCCACAGCTTGCTCTAGAAGCGTTCCAATGCGGTTTCCAGGCTGTTTGTAGGAATCGGCATTGAATAGTAGCAGTTTTGGAGTTCATTCCAGTCACATACATTAGCAAGGCCTCCACCAATAATACTATCATAAGAAAAACTTTTATCTAAATGGAAGACCTCCAACTAGATGGATTGCAGCTCCAAAAATCAATTTTCACTGTGAGATTTGGCAAGTGATCTATGAAATTACTGAGGATTTTTAATGTTGAAAATGAAAATGTTCAGTCTTGACTCAAGCATGACATTCACTGTGTGCAAGTCAGCCAGTTTCAAAAACATCAGCGAATGTCAACAATAAAAACACAAAGTTAGTGAAACTGGTGATCGTGCACTTAACATCCATAGCTTTACAGATACTATGTGAGCCAAGTCCAACCTATAACGGCATACGAATTACTTGATAGTTGTCGCAACCCTCTGTATACAGCTGTGCCAATGAGACCGTACTTATAAGAGTCGTAAAACGACTCAACTGAAACACTATTGGAATGATTCCTTCTACCTGTCTCTTCCATTCCATCTTGGAGCGCTCCTCCACCTGTTGGTATGTCTTGGCCATCATGGCAATCAACATGTTGACCAGTAACCATGGCACCAGCAGCATGAAGATGAAGAAGATGAATTGTGACAGCCAGCCGATGCGGGAGTATCCAAAGACTTCATACTGGGACACCAAAGCAAAACAAAATGGTTCATCTACAATAAGTTTCCATTTTAACTGTTTTGAAATGGACTTTTTCATTTACTTATTAAAGGTAGAGTCCATCATTTGTAATTTGTGCATTTTGTTCGTTTGAAGCAACAAACGTGCTCAAAATCTAAAGAAGGGTGCTGAACAACTAACCTGATGAAGTTTCAGCTCAGCTTCAGCTGTATATTCCGAGAAAAACAGCATTCTAGGATCTCGATTTCAAATCAAAGTTGCTGAATCATGTTTTGAATTTGGCATGAATTCAGCGTCCGAGACACGTTCTCACTAAGCTGATTACACCTACGCGATGTCGCGCACTGATCCGACGAATTATTGCAACTGCGCGCGCGTGTGCATTGTGTCAACGCTTGCGCGCGCTTCCCCGAATAAAAAAACGAACTACTAACGGAAATTTCCAATGATGCTTCTTAAGACGCACCGTTGGAAATGCCTTCTTTCGTTGATTTCTTCAAAATGACAGCTTGCCGGAAAGAATAATTTCACAGGGAGTTTAGTCCCCTTACTATCTTTCAACCAAGTATGTTTTTCAACACTAATTACGCCAGTTACTTTTTGGATAGCTGCAACTGATGGACTATAGCTTTAAACCATATGGGGAGCTGTGGTCTAATGGTTATGGGTTACGGTGTCCAATATGGTGCTTGTGCTCTTGAGCAAGTCACTTTACCTTTATTGCTTCGTCCTTCGGATGGGATGTAAAGCCGTAGGTCCCGTGTTGTGTAACGCACGTTAAAGAACCGAGTAACAAATCACTAAGAGAAGGGGTTTGCCCCAGTGTTTCTGGCAGTGGCTGCAATATGCGCCGCAGCACCTTGTAAACCTTATAAGGTGCTACATGATATCTCATATTTCTCGTAAACTTCATTTACCCATCTTTAATAATAGACATAATTTCCAGCGCCTTGAGTACCTAATTGTTGGTAGATACCTGCGCTATATAAGACTTCGATATTATTATTAGTTATTATTATTATTATTATTGGACTACAGTGAAATCTTGATAAGTCAAACTCTGATAAGGGTCATTCCACCGGGTTGGGGAACAGTGTGTGACATATGACCATATTAACAAAAGCATAAATGCTTTGCTAGCAGTTGCTCTACATAATATTTGTTGTTGGGTGTTTCACGACTGCAGAAAGTTTGAAATGATTTCAATGTATTTTGCCAAAAATATGAGCAAAAAATGTCATTTTGGATGTAACATTGACACCGTGTCAGTGTTACGTCCAAATGTGACATTTGTACCTTTTAAAATTTTTTTTGCTAAACATCACCAAAATTCACTTTGCTTACTTCTTACAATACATGCAACACAATAAAAAAAGCTTTTGTTACGGTAGTCAGGTATCAAATGGAGCAGAAATGATAGCTTGGTAGTGTGGATGTAACATTGACACGTTGTAAAACCCAATGTCACACTTCCATTGAGTGATTTTTACACCGTTACATCCACACTAGAGGTACATGTACATGTATTGTTTCTGCTTTATTTGAACCCTGACTATACCAAAACAAAATCTTTTCTTGGTGCTTACATGTACATGTAGGTGTCCAATGTCAGTTTGGGTAATATTTTACATACGTGTAAAAAATGGCAAAAAAATAATATTTGGATGTAACATTGACACGGTGTCAATGTTACATCCGAATTAATACATTTTTGCTCATATTTTTGTCAAAGTACTTTCAAATGATTTCAAACTTTCTCAAGTATTGAAACACCTTAAGACAAATATTATGTTGAGCAATTGTTTAGAATGCATCGATACTTTTAATAATATAACCAAATATATGGATGTAACATGCACTGCTTCCCAACCCGGTGGAATGACCCAAAACTCAAAACAATTGTAAAGTCAAACAAAGAATCCATCCCCTTCAAAAGTATAACAATGATATACAACCCTGCTTATTAAACTCAAAACCTTGCTTAAGTCAAATTTTGAACCTGTTCCCTTGAGGTTTGACTTATCGTGATTTTATAAATGGTTGACAATATTAAATACGGAGGTAACCAGATTTATCTCTTACTGGGAAATCTCCAAAAGCCATGAGGAAGGCCATCATAAATGAGCCGTTCCAACTCTGAAAATCTTTGGCTGTTTCTGGATCGACGCCTTTAAACAGGTAGAAAAAAGCTGGGTCGGAAAAAAAAGACAAAAATGTTGTAAAGCCAACATCACACAAAATATCATCCTAGCGAAATGTGCAATTTATAGCCAAAGAAAAATACTTCATTCAAATGAAGGCTGTTAAGAAAAAGAATTACTAACAAAACAATGCCTGTCATGCTTGTTGAAAGACCTGAAATTGCTGAGTTCACTTAAATTAAACATTTGAACTTTGCACAATTTGATTTTAGGCATTGTTAGTGAAAAGTGTACTGATGACTGTCCATTTAGGCTTTGTGTCTCATGTATGTGTACAAGGGCTGGGCTTTGCAGCATCATGTTCTATTTTTGAATGACAGCTGCCAGACCTATAATCTACTAAGAACATCAGGATCATCTGGTCGGGGAGCCAGACTACTACGATCTATTAAGAGATGCCAGATGATTGTCATGTCACGGTACCAGACTACTCTGGTCTAATAAAAGACATCAGGTGATTGCCAGGTCAGGCAACCGGACTAACACGATCTATTAAGAGATTTCATGTGATTGTCAGGTCAGGGTAACAGACTACTATGATGGCATTTAGAGACATCACGTGATCATCAGGGTCAGGTACCAGACAACTACGATGTATTAAGAGATGTCAGGGAGAGACTGCGGGATCAGGAAACCAGACTACAACTCACCTTCCCCGAATATGATGATGAATATGACATAAATGATGGCGAAGCGACTGACGTCTCCTTTTGTCATCTTGCCTATCATGACGATGAGCGGCCCCAGCTTCTCATGGCCCCTGGGGAACAATAGAGGGCAGCAGATAACATTTACTTCATGGGAAAAATTGCACGTCTGAGTGCTGAGTGTGCATGTACTACCTGTGCACAAGTGCGGTGCCACCTCTAATTCTAAGTTTAATTTTAGAATTTCTTTAAAAATTTGTTTAGAAAAACTACAAAATTGAAACTTACCTGTAGAAGAACAATATGTAGGCGAAAGAGAACGGCATGATGATGATAAGAAGCATGTCCTCCATTTGACGAAGACCAAGGAACCGTAACGGGACGCAGATGTATAACATGATGATGGCACACATGAAGAGACCCTTGAATGGCAGGACGTACTGGCATTGGCAAATGAAGAAATGGGCATGATTTAAAATTAGTAAGAAAAGAAACCGAATAAGCCATTGATGAAAACGCAAATATTACAAAAGATATTAGGACCAGTAATTGGTTACAACATCTGAAAAGTGAAACTTGTCTGAGGCCACCATGACAAGGGATGAACAGAAAATATACTGTTTAAAAAGACAGATTAACAGCTAATGTCGCGTTTCCCGTGCTATTTTTTAGTTTTATCCTGAAAATACATTCCTTTACTAAACTGCTATTTTACTAGCTATACAAAAGTTATTCACTTTTGAATAAGACATAAACCTTAAAAAAATTGGCCAAACTTTTAGTTACTGAATTATTACTTAACAATTTCAAGTTATTGGCTGCAAGACATTAGCTGGGTAGGCTGGTTCCCGCCCCACAATCAGTATAGATAATGTATAGACCGGGAGCCAGTCTGCTTGCAAAGTTTGTGGCCAAAAGGAAAAACATATTTTTCAAAGGGTTGCAGACATCCAAAAAGGAAAAAAAAGGAAATTTTTGGATTGGAAAGAAAAACATAAGTCAATATTAAATGTATTAATAGAAAAAAAATTGACTTTGTTGAAGTACACAGGAATGCAACTTCAAATATTGTCAGCATTTACGAAGTTATGAAGCGGAAGCTATATATATAGGTGGTGTACAAAGTTTGACTTGCTAAGATAAATGCAAATATACCGACTTTAATCATGTGAATCATTTCCAGTAATGTCGCTATTATCACACTTTTGATAGTTCAGATTCTGCAGGTTTTCCCAACTCACCAGACTTTTGATATAATCCAGTAACGAGCCTCTGGATCTGATCTCAATGCCCTCCACCGCTGTCTTGGCAACACAGCCAATGATGACACACACCTCGGTGAAGTAGCGAAACTGAAACAAATGAAGAAACATTACTCTTACATTCTATTACATTCTGTTATCTTGTAAGATTGACTGAGAAGATGTAGATTATAATGTTGTTTTTATTGTTGCCCTCCACTGATGCATACAGGATATTAATTGCGAAACCTGCGATATAGCAAATATGAGCTTGCCAGCTCAGCTCAGCAAAACCGGTGGTCAAGTGGTATGACGTCTGCACAATTTTTCTCGCAAGCTTTTGGATGCAGCCAAGCGTATATGGTTATCAAGAGGCTTGTCATCAAGTTTTTGTCATCTGTTTACATCACCCCGACGACAAATTCCATCCTATGAATAGTTTCATTGCAGTACCCGCTGCTATATCTGATTCGAACTAGCCAGCTGACCCAGACAAGCTCAGTGGTCGAGGGGTAAGACGTCTGCACTTGTAAGCAGTAGGTCTTGGGTTCAAGTCCACCCAAGTGATTTTTTTCTCGCAATCTCTCAGGACAACACTGAATATACAGTGTTTATAAAGATATGTCAGTGGAGGGAAAACCCAATATTGACTGTATATCATCCCTGCGCAAATTCCATCTCATGAACAGTCTGTTTACTGTTTTTCATCTACTTACCTTTGTAATGCTGTCATCCCCTGACAGTAAATCTCCAGCTGGTCGAAAGGTGACGGACAGACTCAGGAGGGTCAGATGTAGGCATGCCCACACAAACTTGAACATGAAGCGCCCCTAAAGGAGACAAAATCACATCAAATATAATTGGAATTAGTGATTCTAAAACCTGATTGGTTTGCTATGCACCTTGACAATGCCACCTTGCCTGTGATTGGCCAATTGTTCAACATCAAATAAAATTGGAATCATTGTTTCTGAAATCTGATTGGTTGCTATGTACCTTGACGATGCCACCTTGCCTGTCCTATGATTAGCCGATTGGTCCAGCATGCGTAATGTCAAGCGGAAGGCAGCACTTTACTTGTATGTTTGTGGCTAGTTAAGTTAGATTGATTGCAATGAGGGCATTAGGACATCGGCACACTTGTTGGTCTCATACTTTTAATCTGCGGCAAGAAAGTTTGAGGCTGTGTTCTGACTATACTTACCCTTGCATATCTCTTCCATTTCTCCTGCAGTAGTTGATTGATGACTTGACCTTCCAACATTTTCAGGTGCCAAGGGTCGTCTTTCTTGATGATTGTTCGGAGAGCCGAGTGCTTGTCTGGAGGGAAAAAAAAACAGATGAGGCAAGCCTAGTAGAGCTGGTCCTAAAATGCACAAAATTCTGTTCAATCGATTCAGAATAACCATTCACTGCAAGTCTTTTCATGCATCTGGTCCGCACAATGGGCTGATTGTAGCCCATTCATTGGCGTTATTGGGTAAGCCTATGTCAAAATATGGGGCCAATCTATGACTCAAGCAAGTCTAATTCACAGCAATCAGTGAATGTGTCAGTGAGTCAGTCAGTTATAAAGATGATTATTCAAACTCTCCTGAATAATTTGTTGAAGTGTGACTCTTAATTGGTGTTACACACTTACTGAGTTCACCGTTTTCTCCTATCGTATCCAGCATGCCTAGTGGGTAGGCTACGTAAGCCAGGTTACCATAAGCCCACTGTGTCTCGCTGGCTAGGTCCAGAAGGCGGGCAAATAGCTCGCTACGGCCCAGGCGGTAGGATAGCTCTAAGGGGGTCAGACCGGCATTGTTGGGGATGTGGTAGTTGGCTGGCATCTTGCTGTGCTGGATGACGTGCTTGAACATCGTCTGCGATAATAATGACATTATGTAGTTATGGACTCGGTGTACATGCACTCCCTCAAGGGTAGAAATGAGAGAAGAAAATGAAGGACAATTGAGCATCATTGCCATTACGCAGAATGTAGGGTTTCTTGGGCTTCCAGGCGATGTCTGTATTCAAGGTACATGTGATAGGTCGAAAGTCCATCACAAGTCCTGTCACAAGTAAATTACAAATCAAGTCACAAATCCATTCAAAAAGTAAGAGGGAATGAGCAATATTGTCACAGTTTGTTTGAATAGCTTGTGACTCGACATGGGAGTGGAGGACTTGTGATGGACTTGTTATGGATGGACTTGTGATTGACTTGTGACAACTTGTGATGAGGTTGTGACAGACTTGTGATTGACTTGTGATCCATAATAACTGCCTTGACTACAACACTACTTTCGTGTTGCAGTGTGCCCATGTTTGAAGCACAGTTTATTTCATTACCAGAGAGAGTAACACATTTGATTCTCCTCCTACCTTTTGATTGTGAATAATGACCATATGCACCACGGTGTTCCCATACGAGTCCTTAGCGTTAGGATTGACCTGTCCCTGGCCGGGTCGTTTCTTCAAACTCTCGTTGATCAGATAGTCGTAAATCTCCGTACTCCCCACGCCGGCTGCAAACGCCAGGAGGTACTCTCCAAAGTACACATCCCCTTCATAGTTAGAGAGTTTGAGTTTGATCTGTTTGGGGTCTTTGAAGTCGTTGGGTCGGAAGAAGCGGCCAGTAGCCCGTCGGTCCAGCTCGGCGTTGTACTGACCGACCAGGAGCCTGACCGATTCCATGTCCTTGTTGACAATGGCCATGTGGACTGCATTTTCACCTGTTAAAGAATAAAGAAATGCTTTTTGATTTTATTGTTTGGAATTAGAGCTAGGGATGAGGCTGAGTCAGACTTGGATACTACATACAGGGGTTGTAATGCAGGTGTTTTCTGACAGGTTTCTTGGTAAAACAACACTCTGACCTTAAGGCTTCTGCCAGAAGATTTGACTCAGGCACAGTCTGATGACAACAACATGCATCATAAGGGTGACACAGATCGTGACATATCCAACCGAGGGTTGGGGGGGGGGGGTGGGGTGGGGGAGAGGGAGTGGGGTCCAAGTATCCCGTTTAGCAACATTTTGCCTTTTGGAAGATGAGAAAGTACATTCGACATTTGAAACAATTTGGAGCGACTACATTTGAAATGTTGATCGCTGCTGTCCAGTCAGTGGAAAATTTATACATCAAGTTTGCCTATCTAAAAACCAAATTATATTAGTGTAGACTTGAGTCACTTTAACTACATTTTGTTTGGCGCTACTGTGGCACACCAATCTAGCATGGGTGTATTATATCTAAGCCTTACCATAATAATCAGCCCCCTCGTAGACATCCAGTGCCAGCTTGGGATACATCTCTAGCAGGAACCGTGCAATCTCTCGATGGACCTTGGTGTTATTGAGATAACACAGGTGTAGGATGGTCTCCCCGACCTCGCCTCGTTTGCACAGGTCCCAGCAGGCTTGGTGCTCCGTGAACCGGTTGATGGCTACCTGCTGGTACTCGTGGAACTCCAGCATCAGCTCCTGGTCTGACATGGCGTCCATTATGTTTTTCTGAGGATGGATACCAGTGAAGACCGTAAGATGAGGTTAAAAATGCAAACAGAGCAAATCTAGTAAAGCTGGTCTAATATGATCATAAGATGGAATTTTTGTGTCGGGGATGATGTAAATCAAATTAGGTTTTGCCCTTCAAGCATGCAAAATTCTTTTCGACTGATTCAGAATGGCCATTCACTGGAAGTCTTTTCATACATCTGGTCTACACAAAGGGCCGGATTTAGCTCATTTATTGGATTTATGGAATAATCCTATACAATAGCACTGCCCGACTCACAAGTGACAGATAGTCAGTCAGTCAGTTAGATACAATAAGGACAGTAAATTGGCCCTCTGAGACAAAGAAAAAGAGGACAACACAGTACAGTAACAAAAAAAAGTATAATAATAATACTATTACACCTACGCGACCTTATCTGCATCAAGGAACCTTCTCGCACTCTTAGATCAAACGCTGCTACCATTCTACAACGACGTACTGTGAACACTGTAACATACGGCCAGCGATCATTCTTATATGCTGCTCCCGAACTCTGGAACCGGCTTCCAACTCATATCAGAAATGCCAAAACACTGGAACTGTTCAAGACTCTACTCAAAACCCATCTGCTTATCCTTTGACTGAGCCAATCATTCTCGTCAATTTGTGTTGGTTTTGTTTACATATGCCGTGTTTTTGCGTATAATTTGTAATTTTAAAGATTTACTCTAATTGTACTCCTGTATGTTATTATGCCTGTACAGCGCATTGGGGTCTTATTGACGGAATGCGCTTTACAAGAATGGATTATTATTATTATTATTATTATTATTATAACACGTGTAAAAAAAATTCACGTTGATAAAACAAAAATTCCTCGTGAAAATGTGTGGACACAATTTCTTTTTTACTTATTTATTATTATTACTATATTTTCTTTTTGTTAGGGAGGGAGGAGGTTTTCGGTGAGAGGACGTTTTCAAAAATACTCCTCTATGTGCCATCATGAAAATGATGATTGTCGCATTACCTTCTTTTGATCAACATTGTTTTTCCGATATTGGATGTAGTCCCATTCATTGATAGTCTTCCCTTGACCGTCGTTGTAGAGGTAGGGACCTACTTCCTTCCTGATCTGTGCTATAAACTCAGCATCGCTCTTCCTGTTTAGATAACTGAGATCAGAAAAATCAAATACTTGAAAAGTATTTAATTGGCACGATATACTTGACTCTAACCATCCCAGATTATTCAAAATCCATCCAGAGGTTTTGAAGGATTTTGCAGCTATGTCAAAGCATACGTACCTCCTGCATCATTACTAAAGAGAGAGTGTTATTAAAGGCTGCTTCATACTTCAAATTAGGTTTTGCCCTTCACCGACGTTTAAACACTGTACAGGGTGTCCCCAAAAAAATGCTCCACTCTCCTTTTTTACAAATTCAAGCAAACCTGAATGCATACATTTTCTTATTATGCATGGTGCCAACTCCATTTGCCAACTGCGCTGGGGACTCAAATCACCAATTTTAAAATGTCGATTTTTGTCAAGTGTGCTTTTCAAAAATTCTACTTGGTATCTATTATGAAACACCAGTCATCAGTCGTTGTCAAGCAAACAAGAGAAAACCAACCAACCACATGTGGCATTGTCCATTTATTGGACTTTGACTAAAAATACCTACTTGTAAATCAACCACACATAACAATTGTGAACAATCAGCCATAGGTGAACAATTGTTATGTGTGGTTGATTTACAAATAGGTATTTTTAGTCAAAGTCCAATAAATGGACAATGCCATGGTTGGTTGGTTTTCTCTTGTATGCTTGATAACGACTGATGACTGGTCTTTCATAATAGATACCAAGAAGAATTTTTGAAAAGCACACTTGACAAAAATCGACATTTTAAAATTGGTGATTTGAGTCCCCAGCGCAGTTGGCAAATGGAGGCGAGTTCATATTTAAGCATTTCTGTCCCTAGTGGATTGATACTATGATCCAATTTTTTTGGTAGATAACAACCAAGACACATAGCATTCTTACCATGCATAATAAGAAAATGTATGCATTCAGGTTTGCTTGAATTTGTAAAAAAAGGAGAGTGGAGCATTTTTGGGGGGGACACCCTGTATACTCAGTGTGTTACCTACCCGAGTGAAAGTTGGAAAAATCACTCGGATGGGACTCGAACCCACGACCTCCTGCTTTCTAGTGCAGATGTCTTACCACTCGACCACCGAGCTAACGGGATCGGTTGGCTGGTTCGATTCTGATGTACATAGCAGCGGGTACCGCATAAACTATTATAAGATGGAGTTTTGCGTCGGGTTGATTTAAATCAAATTAGGTTTTGCCCTTCACCTTCATACTTCAAGTAAATGTGAAATTGAAGCCATTTTAATGTCAGGAAACCTTTCAAGAGAGTTGAAATGTGCTTAACTTTTGCAAATTCACAGCGTGAATACTTATCGTACCATGATGTCACAAATTTGCATTTGCCCCCCCCTCAAGTTTCCCTGGCTGGTCAAACAGATAACTGATGAGCCCTCCCCCCCCCCCCCCCGACAAATCCTGGGTGTGCCAAAGCATTGAACCAATTTTAAACTGACAATATCTTTACATGGGAGAATCAACAGATCTGAGAAAAGAGGTGTAACACTTAAGTCCCGAATCAAAGTAAAATAGCTGTATGTTTACAAGTTAAAGCTGTATTCCCCGTGCCCAAGTAATAATTCAAAAAGTAAACATAGGCCGATTTTTTCGGTCGATGTCTCACTCAAAAGTAAATAACTTTTATATTGCTACAAAAATAGAAATTTAGAAAAGGGATCTATTTTCATGATGAAACTCGAAAATAGCACAGGGAAGAGCTTTAAGGCAGATTCATATTTCTCGCAAATGGCAAAGTGATGGGAATTGGACGTCAGGAAACATTGCTGCAAAACTTTTGCAAATTTGCTGAGCGAATACTTGCCGCGACATCATAAATTCGCATGCCTGTTTGCTTTCACGCCAAGTGTAAGCACACAGTCAGCCTTGGACAAATTCACTCACCATTGGACCAGCGTCCCTTGACCGCTGAAGTAAAGGAGATCATACATGGGGTTCTTGTTCTCGTTCTGTTTGCGCCATTCCGAGTCGTCTGACTCCATCAAACCCAGGCTGAAGCACTGACATTGCAGGTATCGCCTCAGGGCCGCGCCAACCGTCGCACCCATCTTGTCTAAGTGTTTGATAGTCAACTCTTCAGGAGAATAGTTTCACCATGTCTTGTCTGATCCGTCGTGGTGAATGGCGTGGTGATTTGGCGTGGTGAAGTCAAGCATTGACAAATTTCTCCTCATTCTCATTTTTTTTCAACTGTGTGAAAACAGAGACAGAGAGAGAGAGAATGAAATTGGTAACATCTCCCAAGGATGTGGTTAGTAAAAGTCCACTGCCTCTGAGAAGCATTGCTCAAAGAATGTACAAGTTTTGAAAATATTATCTAAAACAGTTAATAAGGGAATAAATGTGTGTTCGGGAGGTTTTAATCACTCTGTTTAAGACTGCTTGGAGTCTGGGTGCTAATTATCAGCACCCAGACTCCAAGCGGTCTTAAACAGAGTGATTAATACCGACCAAGCCCATATTCATTCCCATTCATAAATACCTTTTCGGTCAAAAAATCTAAACTTTTCGGTAAAAAAAACCCCGATTTGCTCAACAAGTTCACTTCATGTTTTTTCAAACACCCCCTAGCTAAATAATGGAGTGTCCAGCTGGCAAATAAGATGTAAACAACTCCTTTTATGGAGATTGGCGCGCGCGTCCCGCCTACTGTGCGATGTTGCGCAGAATGCACCTGGCGCATTGCATTGTGAATTTAGGACTTTAAAATACTGACTCACTGAAAGTATTGCGCATGCCTACGTGAGGATTGTGAGCATTCAACCAATAAAATGGTAAGAGGCACTGGATTTTTAGGAGTCCAAATTTCCTGTGACACTGGAAAAGTGTTTTAGAACAGCTAGCCATGTCTTTATCATCCGTTTCAGACCGGCCACGTGACGGGCTCTCGACCAATAGGAATGGGTAAACTGTCTTAGGTATTTATGAATAATAGTTTACAAGATCTTGAACGCCACATTGCTCATAGTATTAGCCAATCATTGCATCATTTGCATGTATGGAATATTAATTACAAGTGTTGGCTTAACCCTAAAAGGGCCGGGGGGGGGGGGGCAAATTCCGCTATAGCCTTGAATTTTTTTTTTTCGCAACCCGAGCTGTTATGACTTTTTAGCCTCGAGCCTTGTGCATCTTTTGATACCAAAAACATAAAAATTGGACCAAAATTTTCCGGCACTATGCGCCATGAAAACTGAATTTTCCCATACGTCGTGTACACAGTGCAGAATTACCATTCGTACATATGTATAATTAATTAGCCATAATACCAAAACCCTTTAATCTATAGTCATGAAATTTCTTGGGTATGTTTATGATGAGTTGCTCTATGCATGTACCGAGTTTCAAAATGTTTCGTCACTCGATGGCCGAGATCTTAGGGGAATCCCCCCCCCCCCCCCCCACGGCTGAGAGATGGTCAAAATAACCCGGCCCTTTTAGGGTTAATGAATCAGCATGCATACAAATGAGGTGTTTAATTCTTACATGGTGCATTAGAGCTACCGGTACATGTACCTGTCTATGGAGAGCTACCAGCATGACCAAAACAAAGATTAGCAAATGTGATTTCAGCAAGTTAATTGATGTTTCCTGTCACTTGTGTCAGCTTGAATAATTCATTAATTAACTAATTGCGCCTTAATTACGACATCATGCATACCACAACACAGTTGGATCACTACACTGTACTAATTGCATGTGAATCCTGAATCATCCTAAAGGAAAGACGCAAGAATCGACATACATGTATCTATTTTCTGTAAACATTCACTAAAATTCTTAATTTTAAGCATGAAAATCTGTTTCACCCATCAAAAATAAAATATGTCCATTACAAAAGCCCTCCAAGGCTAATAATTGATTCCTTTTTTAATTTTTGGTGCCCCTTAGCCTTAGGGCTCTACTTTGTATGAATTTGCTTCAAGCTGGCGTGCTTAACATCAACAAGTCATGTTAACTTTTACTCAACTTAACTGCTTTTTGTATTGGGTATGCAGCATCGAACCAGGTACATTTGTATGTAGACCACAAAAATGCCTCAACAACATTTCCCAAGTTCTTTGTAAAAATCAACCCTATTTTTCCAGCCACTATCCAGCCCTAAAACCACCGAAAGGTTAATATTATAACTAGAAATACACGTAGCACTATACCTATAATGTAGGCCTGAACAAACTAATGATTTTTGTGAATGCCCATTGAGGCATTGCGTGGTTGCTTGGCAACACACAACAGGCATTGCAAGTAATATCAAAGGTGAAGGTCATCAGGTGAATGCTATTATCATCTGAATATGTACACAGAGTGCGGTTATCGCACCTCAAACAAATGTACACAAATTATATTATTCTTGAAGGGCCACTAAAATTTCACTGCACGTGTAGTTAAAGGGTTTTAATATTACTGACTTTGAAAGTGGGCAATTTCATAATATCATTGGATTGGGAGATGTTTTATCCCAGTGTACAGTGCAAATAAACTATATGGAATAAATAAGGAGGAATTAAAACAAAACAATAGGACAAGCTTCTTGATATTGTCTCATTGCTCTATATTACTAGCAGGTGCCATTTTCAGGAAATGTAGGCCTATTAGTTCGCCATATTCGAAGAGTAAAACAAAAATCATCAAGCTTAACATAGGCATCTGTACGGCATTACTATTTACCAGAAAACACCGGGAAACAGCTGAAAACACTGGAAAAAAGCGGAAATCAACTCCAAAAACACCAGAAAACACTTAAAATTGACTGGAAATCACCAGAAACCAACCAAAAAACAGCGGAAAACAACTGTGACAGAATTTTTGTCTTTTTTGTTCTTTTAAATCAATAACTTTCTGTATTTCTATATTTTTAATCAAATCCTCCTTTTTATTGAAGTAGATTCATTCTTTTTCTTAGTGATCTGTGGCTTAGAACGATTTTTCTAATGCCATCGTTGGTGTTTTTTTTTCTCAAATTGCCATTCTTAAAAACCCACTAACGATACCATTTTCTGTTGTCACTAGATTAGTTATGACGTTTGAGACGGGTTTCAACTGGTTACCTTCCGTAATTTGTTTAGAACCTGCAATTTTCAGCCGTCTCCACCTTGGGTGTATTAAAAGCCCATACTGTCGTACAGCGCGGAGCAAATATCAGTACACGAAACAACCGTTGAAAAGCGTCACTTGTTTTTCTTCTATCGACGATGGAGACGTCACATATGCGCCCTCAATCATCCAAAAATTTGGTGGCACTGCTCGTCGGTAAGTTAATCAGAACATTTTTTATCCTGCTTCAAATCAAATAATTTGTAGAGTCTCTAATATTTGAAAATTCACCAACGAATGACCGTATGTTTTTGCCTAGTTCCGGATCGTGCGTGCACGCACATGTAGGACCTACCTACGCGTGCATCAATTAATGATATGTGACTTATTCTGTGATGAGTCAAAGGTTTTCAGTCCGTGCACGATCGTGCCGTCGCGCTGCAGACAAAAGTTTCAAAATCATTTACTATGTTTACGTCAATTCTCTTTTTAAAAATTTGCTGGAATTCTCTTGAATGAACTATTTTCGACAGAAAATGTGCTTGATTCGGGGTGGTTTGTGCTAAAAAAATTGATATTCTTGCATGATTTGTTTTTTCGCGCGAAGCAGTTTTTGATCAATTCGGAACTGATTAAACATCTTAAACTGGTTCGGAACTAGGAAAAGTGGCATTGGTACTTTTGACAGAAAGATTCCCATATCTATATCTGGCCACCACTTGTCACCCTGTTCACAAACCCTTGTATGAGACTGGTCTGCAAATAAAGTGTTTTCTCCGTAAATACTGAGGACATACTATAAATAATAATATCGTCAGACCCCCTAAAGCTACGTGGTCCTTTTTCTACGCATTTACCTTCAAATTGTGTGTGACAATGCGTGCGCGTATGCAAGCATTAATTAGGACATTATCACTTTCTGATGGGTGACCATACATGGCATGGTGACAGATCCTGAAGTAGAGAAAAATTAGTAATGGCCAGATATGGGAATCTTTGCTGAACTTTTTTTTTACCAATGACACTTGAGTGGGTAATCCTTACTTTTAGGACCCCTTTCCTATATAAGGTTAAAAGACTCACCAAAACAGCTGACTATGACACTCAAAAGTGACATTCTGATATTTATTGACACATTTGAACATTTGGCAATGACACCTCTTGAATATCAGCAGGTTTGATTTTGTAGAAAGAGGGCAGGGTTTTGATTTATGAGGGGTTAAAGACGACGATGACAAACAGAAAATAAATTTAAAAAGCAAGATGGCGAACTGCAAAAAAAGGTAGGAAAGTCACATTTTCTTTGAAAGTGCTTTCAAAATTATAACTAACATGAGTTTGTCTGAAGAAAAAAGACTTCTTTAGCCTGCAAAAGTCACTTTGGTACTGGACAGTCATCTGCAAAAGTCAGTTTTGAACAGAACTCGTACAAAATAGAGGTGTCCTAAAAGTAAGGATTACCCTTGAGTGGTTGAGCCGATATAGCTGCCTGAATGAGGATTGCTATCGGAACAAGGCCATGTGATCCGGAATGAAGGAAAACGACTGTAATAAAACATGTAAAATGCACTCGACTCTCGACTCGTCATGCCGCTCGTACACGTCTAGGGCCTAGATACATTTTCCCCGCCCCCTACATACAGTACGTAGACAAAACCTACCTGTCTTTCCTATTGATCCGTGTTCCATAAAAAAAAAAGCATAACTCTGTTCTCATCCGTCCATAATTAATGGCCAACAACGATGTGGAACAAACAGCATGAAACTTGAAAGATTCGACACTTGGTCTAGGCCTTTTTTTTTGCGTTGCTAACATCAATTTAAAGTGCGCCCTCTATCTGCCGAGCGCGAGCAAAATCTCTGACGAACTTATTTTTTTGCTTTTTTCCGCAACAGCTCCTTAGCCCCCCCCCCCCCCCTATAAAAAGGGAATAAAAAACATTCAAAATAAAATAATGGGAATAAATCATTGCGCAACCGCGAGTAACTTTAAGTACACGCTCTTAAGGTACACTCCTGTCTCAGCTAAAGTGGCTAATAATAAGGGGGCGGGCACTAACTCTACCGTGGGGGGGGGGGGGGGGGCAGACCAATACTTTAGAACTACAAAGCTGTTATTTTTCCCCTAAATTCTACTGTAGAGGGCTAAGAACGTAGTTCACCAGTTGACAAACTAGGACACTTAAATGATGCTTCAATATTAATAAGCACCAATTCCTGCTTTTAATTGCATCACTACAGGCAGTAATAAAATAACAGTAAAATATAAAGTTGGCTTTTCTCCTTGGAAGAAAAGTTGTCCACATTAATGTCTATCTTGCATTGACCATCCAAAGAACACAAATAATAATCTTGAATATGATAGGTGGTAAATATTCCTTCAACACATTACATGAGCTTTTGAATAAAATTGCTTCCAGTTGATACTGAGAATTAAACTCTTGTGCTTTAAAAGTACTAACAGTTTGGAGAAATCTAAAAATCTAAAAGACTTACATATATTATGGTTACATGGTTACACAGTTCAGACATTTTCAAAATTATACAAAACATTCAGAACGCTTCTTCTTTTAAAAAATAGAAACATGCAATTATTGCATTTGTAAGGAATATTGCAAAGCTATAGAGATGTAGTATTTCAGTTGTTATTCACTCCTGCTTTAATGTGGTTCATAATGCTTACTGTTTAACCATGAATTCAAACCGAACCGTGTGTTTCGGTGCCTCCAAAATTCCCATCAAAAGGTGTTCACATTTCTCTGTGTATGAACTTGAATTAACTTGGATTTTTGCTAAAAGTTCATCTTTGGAATTTTGCTTAAATAGCACCCAAAATACCAGCAATGCATACAGCTACAGCTAGTTATAATTAACAAATCAAAAGCCAGATTACATCTTACATAGTCTGATATAGTTTTGAAGTTTATATTACTGTATTTTTTTTGGTTTCTTGTGTGTGTTATTTTGGAAATATTAATTCCTGTTTATTATACCAGTGAGCAAATGTAATTTACTTGATGGATCAATAAGTAATTAGATTCAATTCAAATCTCATTCAGTAAGTCATCGATCACCAATGTCATTATATATGTGTGATACAATGAGGCCATTTGGCAGATACCATGAAGGTTTTAGCTGAAACAAATTAATGCAAATTAAGGTGTAACTTGTAGCCAATAGGAATTAGAGCTATGTTGTCAAGCTGCTTCACCCAATCAGGAACTAGCACTGACTTGCCACTCTGTCACTGCCTTTCAGAAAGAAGATACTTTTAACTACAAATATTAGCCAACTTTTCTTTTTGAAGTCTGAGTATACTGTACGATGTTCAATTTCCAGACACCAGGCATTACATGTTAACAGTTATTTAACATAAACACCAAATAATGTAATTTACATAATTTCAACTATTACAAAACTGCAAAGGTGAATACTTTTCGGGTTTTACAAAAAATGCCTAGTTTTATCCACACTGATATATTTGTCCTCAAAAAATACATTTGCCGCAAATAATTACGCAAATTACTACAGTCCACACCTCTTACTTTTGTGATAATCTTAAATTGGCAATCACACACTGAAATGACTTCACAGGCTATTGATGAAAAATAGTTGCTTGTTATGCAGGATTTTTGGAAACATATCAAACTGGAGAAAAACTAAATCTAGCTTTTATTATAGTTTTCGTGCATTAAATTTCAATGCACTGTAATTTTGTTGAATATTTAAGTTCACCCGTTCTAAGAAAACTTATCAGGGAAGAATCTCGATACAAGTTGGTCAGATTGTGGTACCGTTTGTCCAATTTCACATGCTGATCTGAAATCGTATTTTTTTTTAAATGGCCAATTGAACTGAAATCTGCAAACAACCGTGTTACTAAACAATAGAAGACTTTTGAGGTGCTTGGTGGAAGCATCTACACCAGTCCTTTTCAATTGTTTGCGTCATGTTTAAGCTAATGTGCGCATGTTCAAAATAACTTTATTTCATCATATATTATCTCAATGAAGGTCAGTCATTGCAAAAATGTTGAAAGACATGAATCTGGGACATTTCCTACCACCATGAACTGTTCCTTGCTCACAATCGTCTAAGCTGGGACTGAGAAACATTTCCAATTTTGTTACAAAATATTTTGAAAATTACTTGACCCTCGAGCTCCATAGACTTTGTACACACGAAGTGGCACAATTATTCAAATAATTATGCAAATTACTACAGTCCATACCGCTTAATTTTGTGATAATCTCAAAGTGGCAATCACACACGGAAATGTCTTCACAGGCTTTCGAACAACAGTAAAAGGACCAGTGTGTTTGCTGCCACCAACGCCTCAAATGTCGCCCATTGCTGACAAGAAAAATCCTCACCATTAAACATTCACCATATAATATTCAGAACTGGATGGGTTTGAACAATTTTGTACGTGATTTAATTGATTTAATTGTGATTTACACATTTGTGCACTTGTTCAGCAAGTTTAACCAAGAAGCCTATTGTCAAACACACATCTTCACTCCTCATCCAAATACAGCTAAAACTAAAAGAAAAATTTCATGAGAAAAACTGCGAGACAAACAACAAGTGAAGACGGCATGAAATTGGCCGCCCCACTGCAGTCTCCAACATCTGTCATGACAACTGAAACGTCGTATGTCATGTTGGCATAATAATCGCAGGGGCCGCATGTGCTCTTGTCTGAACAGAATTCATCCGGCGTACACCAGCCGTAGACGGCCACGTAGTGATGGCCCGGTGAGACGTCCGGGTTGTCGTGCTTCATGACGATGCTGCGACGATCCAGAGAGGCCAGTTTCCAAGAGTGATCCTTGATGGTCGGCTGGACGATGGACCTGGACACTAGGAGCTCCGGGTAGCCGTAGGAGTATGGACAGTCCTGTGAGCTGAGGCAGTTGACCAGCTTCACCTCAACGTCGGTGCACTGGCTCGGCAGGCAGAATCGGTAATAATTGTACCCCTCAGCGCTGACCTTCTCACCGGTAAACGGCGTATCGACGGTGATCTCAGAGTGCGGGTGGGTCGTTGGGATACTTTCAGCTAGAACTGTAACTTTGGATGCTGGGGGAACCAAAAAAGCAAGATATCAGAGTAAAAAAAAAACTGGATGGTCATTTGAGTTATGGTCCAGAATACGTCATCCTTCCAGACTTCAAGTTGTCTCAGGACTACTACCACGATCAAAGCATTTTCCTTCATGTCTGCTACACAGTTAACACTTTTTTCTGTTTTCTCAACGAAGGAGAGATTTATTGCTAGAATGGCTGAAACATCAGAATTCAGCTTGCCGATTTAGCCAAAAAAAGCATGGACTGTCTCTACTTTGATCTTTTTTTTCTTTTCAAGAATGCAGCCACTACTCATCTGGTCAGTACAGAAAATAACCAGAAAATAACTAACTTAAATAATAACCTACGTGTGTTGCCTGTTTCCACATCGATCCCGCAGTAGGCATGCACACCGATGTAGAACATGCCTACTTCAAATTCCGGATCCCAACTGGATATGACGAGCTTCTCAGATCCCCACTCGTAAGACGTCCAGGCCAGGCTGCTGTCGGTAGGGAACTTGTTGTAGCCTCTGGAGACGTACAGGTCGGGTTCTCCCTCTATCTTATTAACCTTATCGTAAAAAGGAAAGAAAAAAAAGTCAAAATGACAGTTAAAAGGAGACCTCGCTAAATTTCACTTGTTTCTTATCACAAGGGTGTCACTAGGGTTGAAGGGGGGGGGGGATCTTTTACCAGTCAGCAAAAGTGTCCGTCACATCAGTAATTTTATTATGCCTCCCAGATTAGTGCCACCTATTGCCTGACACTGTCCAGACTTGTCTCCTTCGAACAGTGTCCCATTTCATCAGATAATATCTAGTAGTGCTGGGCGAGTATCCTGAGTACCCAAGTACTGGTGAGTACTGTTTGCTACTCGTTGTTTTACTTCTACTTGAGTATTCGTCCTGGCACGACTAGAAGTAGGTACTCAGGAATGCCAATTTTGTTTTCAAGTGGTGATTTAAAAAAAAGTAACCACTTTGCGGTTTCTGCGCCAAACTTGTGTTTTGTCTTAATACGTCCCCCGCAAGACATGCAAGAAAGGAATCACTACCTCCATCTGTTTAATTGGGATTCCACGAGCACTCTCAACAAATAAAGTTTCAAGTAAAATGAGCCAACATTTTGCATAGTAAGGATATCTCAGTGCTGAAGAATGTGGTGTGTCTTTCATGCTGTTTATTAATTCAATATTAAATTCCTTTTAAGTTATATGCCATTTGTCCTGTTTTTATTGGAATTTAGTAAACTACTCGAGAGTACTCAACTACTTCCGAGTTATTTCTCTGTGAGTACTCGAGTAGGAAAATCCACTACTCGCCCAGGCCTAGTATCTAGCAACCGCCCCCCCCCCCCCCAAGAAAAACAAAAATCAACTTTGTAAAAATCTACGAGGTGTCAGAAGCTCATTTACACAAGGCATTTCTCACAAATCCAGTCTTACTAAGTCCAGGATCATATAGTCTAGAATTTATCAATAATCTCTATAAATCTGCTATGAGTATGTGTAAAACTGAACTAAAGAACTCCAATTCTGGAATGTACAGACGGAATGATAGAAAACATTCAAGACAATTACCATTATTTGGAACGATCACACCACACTTTCTGTTCAATTCAATTTCTCATTTTTTCTCCCGGAAATAAACTTGCGCAAATGTCACACGCATTCTTATAGGCTAGGCACACGGTACATTTTGGCAACCATTTTGGTAATGACTGTTCATTGAGGTTGTTGAACTAGTCAACAGCCCTAGTCTTGAAAAACAATTTTGTTTCAATGGGGACCTTTGAGTTCACAAACACTTAAAAAAAATGCAAAGGCAACAATTCACACAAATCAGAGTTGAACATTTTCAATGACCACTTCAACAGAACTAAGTCCAAAAACTCAATGTTGAATGGCCTAAACAAAGGATCCGTGGATCGCATGTGCTGACTTTTTCCCGAGGTCGATCTCTATGCTTTGTAGCCTCAGTTGACCTTTGACATACGACCTTTGACCCAAAATACACCCCACATTATCTTTGCTACTCAATGACCCTTGTGTTTAAGTTGTATGGAATTCGGGCCAATATTTAAGAAATGAGAGCAATTCCAAAAACTTTAACAAACATGGCTCTACATCATACGGTCATACACAAATTAGGACTAGTCTCCCAAAACCTCGTTTAGGCCACACAAAAATTACCATTTGCATCTGCCAACAGAGTTACAATAAAGTCTCTTTAATAAAACCTGACAACATCAAATCTCAGTTTTAAAAGTCTAGTTTTTACATTCTTTTTTTGATGATATATATAAAAAAATTCTAAGCAGTTAAGTCCATCACAGACAAATTTACAAGTCAAATCACAAGGTCATAAAGAGCAAATGACAAAGGATCAATGCATGTGTTTCAATTTATTTGTATTGCATGTCAATTTACTTTTGACTGGATGATGGATGTGACTGAGTTGTGACTGAGTCGTGCCTGACGTATGACTGACCCATGACTGACTTTCTGACTGACTTGTGACTTACCCGTGACTGACTTGTGACTGACCCGTGACTGACTTGTGACTGACCCGTGCTTGACTTGTGACTGACCTGTGACTGACTTGTGACTGACCCGTGCTTGACTTGTGACTGACCCGTGCTTGACTTGTGACTGACCTGTGACTGACTTATGACTGACTTGTGACTGACCCTTGACTGACCCGCGACTGACCCATGACTGACTTGTGACTGACTCATCACTGATTTGTGACTACTGATTACTTGTTAGTTGTAATGACTACACCACAACTCAGCAAAATGGAAATTATAGTCGTTTTCCTAGTTCTGGATAGCAAACATCATTCAGGCTGCTTTCAGCTCAACTACTCCTCGAATTCAAGTGACATTGATTAAAAAGTTTACTTTGAGTTTACCTTAAGCTCTTTTTATTTTGATTTTACGACGTCAAAAGTACCGATGTCACTTTTCCTAGTTCCAGATCGGTACAATCGATCAAAACTGCTTCACACGAAAAAAAAAAATCACGCGAGAAAATCTTTTTTTTCCAGCCAGAACCAACCGAATCAAGCATATTTTCTGATTAAGTATTATTTCATTTTCCAAAACTTTCATTCAAGAGAATTCCAGCAAATTTTAAAAAGAGAAAAAACGTAAATGATTTTGAAACTTTTGTCTGCAGCGCAACGGCTCGAACCATGCTCGAACCAACTCTATCACGCACGGACCAAAAATCTTTGACCCAGCACAGAAAACGTCACATAAAATCGATTAACGGGCGTGTAGTTGGGTCAAGTGCACGCACAATCCAGAACTAGGCAAAAGCATACGGTCATTCATTGGCGAATTTTCAAATATTAGAGACTTTACAACTTATTTTGATTCAACAAGCATTCGATGGAAGAGTTTATACGACTGTAGTGTATGAACAAAATATTCGAAATCACACGGTACAAGCATGGTTCAAGTGATATACCGAGGAGAAAATTTATCGTCGATTCGCAGTCCCCGCGATTTTCTACAAACCGTTCAAACATGTTGAAGTGGGAGTCGGAAATCTGCCGAAAATTCCTCTTCTAAAGATTTTATCGGAAAAATCTTTGTGTATCAAGGAGCTTACATTTTCCTTTTCAAAATGCACATCGTCTGAAAAACATTTATTTGAGACTTATCCAAAAGAGGTAGGTTTTCATTTGAAGCTATCCGGAACTAGGAAAAATCCGGAAGTAGGAAAACGACTGTATTTATGATATGGAAATTTCTCAAGATGTGGAAATTTCTCATGAATATGAAAACTCCCTGATGGCTTACCCTCACTCGTAGATCTCGGCAGGGATCTGTCACCTCTACCGCATAGTACTTGAACTCCCCGCAAGGAATTTCTTGGAGTCCTGACTCCACATTCAGCGTTAGCGGTATGTGCTCAAGTCCTTGCACATACGCAGCGCTGAAACTCACCAGGCAGAGAAGGGTTACATCTAGACGCAACATGACGGAACTCTGGTTGTTTTCACTGGTATATATCTGTAACAACATTGACAAATATGGACAAAGGGCAAAAGATTAATGTTAAGTTAGTCATTTTTTATGTTTATCATTAAAGTTTTTGTCATGTTTTACAACAACTAGACAAGGGGAGCCTAGTAAAGCTTGTCGCATAGGGGCACAAAATTTTACCACCAACATCCAGCTGAGTTTACAGGACTCAAATGTAGTTATCTTTGCACGCAGAACAGCACTCTTCCCAAACAAGTTGCGTCACAAACCACAAAAGTTTAATGCACTACATGTAAATCAGCTTGAGGTCAAGGATTAGGATTTCAAGGCTAAATGATTCTTTTGAATTTTTCCAGGGTTTTGCAGAATAGAGGTGAATTTGTTTTGATAACTTCCAGAGAACTCGCCCTGCTTTGCGATTATTATCCCAATTTTTTTTCCCAGCATTGAAATGTTTTCAATAGATCAATTTTTATTGTCACCAATAAATTACCGTGACACTTTCAATTGATATGCTTGTTTACTTTTAGTGGACCTAGAGCATGCACTTGATTTTAAAGGGGGGGGGGGGGAATGAAGCAATAAAAAGGAAAAAGTTGAACTGAGTGGGGGCTGGGGCAAAATTGTTTTAAATAATAAAAACTGCATAAATTAAAAAGCAAAGCATGAACTCAGGTCTGAGAGTGAGAAACATCTCCAGCCTGTCCAGCAAGAAAAATGATGAGAAATTAAAACAAAATTTCAATTATACTCATTATCTGCTAATCTAAATTCACAGAACCATTACTCATTAGAAGTTTTTATAATTATATGCCTCATGCCTGCATGAAGTTTAATCCTAGTACTAGTAGCACTTTTTAGCAGTAGCACTGCAGAATTATTGGACTCCATCCAAGAGTCCAAGGAATAGAAAACGCAGTGGCTATTGTTACGGCAGCCGTAACACATTTCCCATTTTCTATCGTTACGGTAGACTGCAACTTTTATAAAAACATGACAAGAAAATATAAAATTAGAAGGAAAAAAAAGTGAATTTGAACGTTATGAAATTCGGACTTTATTTCCCTTTAAAAAAAAATCCTCCAAAGCCTCAGGTTAGAAAAGGAAAAAAATTCGTGTGCAAAACTGAGATTCGAACCCGCAACCTTGCGGTGCAAAATCCTACCCTCTATCGACTGAGCTGTCGCACTGCTCGCTAAAACTTGTGGAAACAAATAATTATATACCTGCATGCGTATCAAAAAAGTATCGTAGAGGGCGCTAAACAACGACTGCCGTAACGATAGCCACTTCGATAGAAAAAGCACAAAGTTTATCTGCAAATTCTATCGTTGATAGGAAAGCTGTTTATTAAGTGACAAAAAATAACAATGACAACATTGCTCACACTAGTACCATGGAGCTATAGCTCCATGCTAGTACTATAGTACACTCGTATTACGTACTGTACTGATGATGTAGGCCAGTACGCAGTAGGTGGAAAATCCAAGGTATTAAAACACCGTGCAAAACAATAACATTTCCATGTGTGGTCCATATCTGGACTGAAGATGTGTTTTCTGTCCTCTTCAACAGAGGTATTGTGCACCAAGGTAATATTAAATACATATAGTAATACATCGACAAATGTATGCAATATATCCCCCAAAATCTGAAATACTCACAAGAAGTCTCCCACGTGGCTAGTTAACGCAAGTGCAAGTCACTTCCCGCAAATACATGTGTAGGCCTACACACAAAAACGTAGAAGATCAGGCACTGGGTATCTTTTTGTACAGTGACATGAAACACGATGGTGTCATTAAATTTGGCTATGGGGAAGGGCGCCCCTAGTGTTAAATAGGTAAACGCGTGTGAGGCCTCGAGGTAGTACTACCACAGTACCTATTAAATATATTGGGCGTAAAATGCGAATAAGTAAAATGATCGAATAAATGAATAGGAGGGGGGAAAAGTACACCTGTCATTGAAAATAGTAACATGTTGAGATTTAGCAATTCTTATTAATAACAGAGAAGGACATATACATGCGAGTTATGGGAAGGGGACGGCAGGCCGGGAGGGGGGGGGGGGGGACCGGACAATAAGGACTCTAGCGGCGATTGCTTCAAAAACGTCTACAACTTTCCTGAAGTTGTTCAAATATGGAAACCAGCCTTAACGTTTTGCCTTAGAAAAAAAATCCCCATTTGTAAAATAATCTATTATGAATAAAATCATTTCTAAGTAGAACCCATTGCTCATGAATTGAATGCTTGTATTGATCCCCTTCAATTTTTTGACAGTACAATAATAATAATTAACATGATTTTTAAAACGCTTTACTTGTCACTGGGACATTACAACCGCTGTACACTAAAACAAAATACACCGAAAAATAACGTCATTAATAATTTATGGCAGTTCCCCAATTCGTCAATCTCCTTCTGACTAGCGGCCCTTGAACAAACATATTGACAAATTGGAGAACTACGTACCAACATATACATACTGGCTGGATGATAGCTCAGTTGGTAGAGCACCGGAACGTAATAATTTACATAGTCAGTTTCCCTGTGTGTGGTCAGTATTCACATGATGAAAAGTGGAAAGATAATGGGGGAAATTGTTGTTCACTAAACCACCCCCACCTGTGTTTCCTGTTTAATAAGTAAGATTTGAAGCTTTGCATGGTGGAGATACTAAATAATGAAAGGTTTGCGGAAACACCATGTGGGAATAATTTCTCAACTAAGAGAAGGTTCTGAAAAGATCAGAACCAGAGGTATAAACTCGACGTTCCGGTCAGTATGCTCTGACCGTCTTCAGGAGAGTGCCCAAACTCTAAGAAAGTAAACATTTAAGCAGCATAAGCGAAATCGATGAAGTGAAGTTGCATCCTGTGTGGATGCCATTAATTAGCTGGGATCCCAGAGCAAGCTTGGTGTGCCCAATGAAGTTGAACAGTACGGTTGCAGTCTCAGTAGAGGAAGGACCTAGGGTATAGGAGACCCACGGTTTAAGATATAGCTGAGGACCTATGGTATGGGAGACCCATCAGTCTGGAGTAGTGGGAGCCAGATGTCGTTGAGGTGAAACCCGATGTCTTGCGGAACTGTGCGCTTGCGGATCTCGATGGCTTCGATCTCGGGCGTCTTGGATGCCAGAACTGGATCGTTGCGATGAGTTTTTGGCACGACACCGGCCGCATCCCAATCAACTTTGTGGTCGTTGCTGTGGGAATGTTTGACAATGGCCGATTTGTCAAAATCCCCTCGCCGTCCATGTGCTCTGTGTTCCTTGAGCCTAGTGGGAAGGTTCCGACCGGTTTCCCCGATGTATAGACTTTGCCGCATTCACATGGAATGCGGTAGACTCCCGGCTTGGAAGAGGAGTCCTGCTTGTCATTGTGAGTGTGGAGGGTGCCTTGGGGCTTGTTGCCAGGTTAGTGGTAGTCCTTGACGCCGGCTTGTCGGAGGATGCGTTAAAGATGATGAGCAGGACCTTAGAGGAGACCCGTTGGTCAGGTTTGCTGATCCTGTTTGCTCATTAGCATGTACTGTCATTTTTTGTAGGCACTTTTAAAAACATAAGTGATACTACTAATCAGAGAATAAATTGCTTTAAAATGTAACAAATCTGCATGATTTTACCAAAGATAAAATAGTTCAGCGGCTTTGCACAACTAAGTTTCACGTTGAGTGCATGCAAATCTGCTTTTTACCTATCAAACGATGGGGGCGCCCTTCCCATCACATTACCCTGGGCAAGTTTCACTTTTTTTCAGCTGAGTGTCCGGTCTTCCTAATATGAAAGAGATACACGTATTGCATCAGTCGATGCATTCATCAGAGATTTGCTCAAAGCCGATTCTATCGTGTGTGGTAATTTCCCGGAATCACAGTCATGGCCTTGTCCGCTCTGTGTTTTGATACACGGATTTTTTACTGCACGAGAGGAGGCTGGTGATCTACAGACATATCTACGGCGGCTCATCAAAGCCTGCAGCATCTTTGTGATATTGAAGAGTAAATGGAGGTCTCGAGGTGTTCGAGTCAGAGAACAAGGTTGAAAAGAGATGAAAAAAGAAATGCAATATTTCAGGAGACGAAAGATAAAAAAAATATTTTCCAGTTATACGTTTATAAAAATATATGTTTATATTAATATTGATCAGGTGCTGAAGGCATTGTGTTGCAATCCCAACCAATAATAGTCTTGCTTCAAGACGTTTGAGATCGAGAGTGGATTGTCACCACGATTGTCACGGGGCGCGCCCTCACAGAATTGAGCCTGAGGCGCAAATTATACCGACGTTTTGATCCTCGTACTAGTACTGTGTAAGGTTTGGCGTGTCTCACTTCCCTCGGAAGAGTTTTGTTTTAAAATAAAATAGTAACAATGTGTTTAACTGCTTCGTTTTCTTGGCGTCTGCTAGAGTGGGTCCACAACACTGCATTCGACTTGACCAATCAAACCATTAGTACTGACTTGGGAAAGAAATGACGTCACGATTTAGTAAAGTTGACTCCGATTGGCTGGCGCGTGGCTTGCATAATTATATCTGCATGTTTAGACAAACGTTATACAGGAGACTTGGCTCCGTGGATAACTGGTGATACTCAGACTACTGAATATCATGTAGTGTCAAAATGGTGTCCACCCCTCCCGGCCCCAGCTCTTCAAAATTGAAAAGGTCTTTAGGATATCACAGAGGATTGTTTGAGGACTCGCCTCCCCCCACGCCCCACCCCCCAAAAAGGATACACATTTTATACTCAGCAACCTGTAAACATAAATCAGTTATTGAAACACGCCAGGTATCAAATCATTTCAGTTTCAGTCACTAATAAATCGCAAGGGGCGGTTCGCGAAAATTAATAATGCACGTGTCATGTCATCAATCCTCGTCGCCGAGGCCTGATGGGGGAGTCGAGTGCGCGCGACAGCGTGGGTTATTCCGCCAGTATATCCACGCCGTCGACTGGGCAACACGTTGCCGACGGGAAGGAAAGCAACTCGCACAGCTAGCTTGGCGTACAGGCTGATTTTCGGGGAGACCGGGTAAGTTTTAACAACATTACTTCCAACAATACACAGACCCATAGCCAGCCGGTGGTGAGGGGTCGGATTTTTTTTAATAAGATGTGGAGTTTTGGGGTAAAAGTTAACATTTTGTGCCATAACTCCTAGAATTCTGAACGTGCGAAGAAAACATGGATTTACAATTCACTATGTGAAGTAGTTGAAAGAACTTGAAAGTTACCTATACAATTTATTAAAACAAAGAAAAAAAAAGGATTGCCAAAAATTGACCCATGGCGAATTGGGGTCGGCTCATTCGATCCACACGATCCCCTCCCACGGCTCTGCTACCGGCCTGTGCAATAACCTTTGAAAAATACCAGTTATGATTTCGAAACTGTTTTGTTTTCAATAATATTTTGGTTTTAACCGTCCGAGGTAAAATAATATTAGATTTGGTTGGTCCACTCATAGTCACTGAGGTATCATGAATAGGTTTCCGATTGTTTTCCCCTCGCGATACAAAATATTGCTCAGTGAATGCGTCGAGATAGACAATTAGTATCACAATGGTTGACATTTCTTGAGAATTTGTTGTACATTTTTGTAAAGAAAATTTTACTAAAACAAGTATGTACAACATGAATATAATCTTAATTTCCGAGCACTTTCAGACAATAAAATTTGACAAATTTCATTCTATAGAAAGGTCATTTTAATTGGAGGTGGGTTCAGGCTATGAAAGAGGGAACTGCGTGATGTAGGCCTAATGAAGAATTTGCAATGTCGTGAAACAAAATGCGCGAGTGCGATGTCCCTTCAGGGCCGCTATAGTAATCTTTTGCGAAAATTAATGAAGCGCAGTCCACGCATATTGCCATTTAATCCTATATCACAATATTTTCGTCAAATTTAAATGATTTGCGGAAACCCCGGGCCTGCTTTAGTGCCAATCGGATCATCAACTGCAAAAGCCGTCATCAAAAATTAATCTCCAAATTTGCGGGAAATGATTATTGGCGTGTCATTCGTTGCCATGGTTACTCCGTGCGAATTCAATTGGCGCCAATGGTTTTGCAATGTTATCCTGTTGTATGCATAATGAATGTATCACATTAGCGTAGCGTCACATTAATCCAGCACAAAATGGAAATCAAATTACTGGGATGAGCTCGGTTTTTGATGTGATGGCATTTTATTGGCTGTTATAGTATTTTGATGAGACGACGGCGTGGAGACTGATTGATTTTTGCACCACGTAGCCATAGTAATGAACGATATGGATGTCATAAAGGCTAGGAACACATTACTGGGTGGTCCAAAAAAGGGTTGCCACTTTTCTCAGAAGCAGATTTCTAAAACCTGGGGAGATATATTGACATTCTTTTAATATATTCCTCAAATATACAAGATCTACTTGGTGGACGGTATTATGGTCAAAAAGGCGTTGAAAATGATTAAGAAATGACGGCCATGATAGTCAAATACCAGTTTATCCACAAATGCACGCAAGTCCACGAAACATAGTAAAAACAAGAACTGTCATAATGCATAACGATGACTATAACACAATCCTCTTATACACGCGTGTGGACAAACTGGTTTTGTTTTTATTATTTTGTGTGTAAACGACCGCCATTTCTTATTTCTAGGCTTGATTTTGAATATAGGAATAAAAATTCCAACAATTTTAACATGTCTCCCCAATTTTCAGAAATCAGCGTCTGAAAAGTGTAATTGGACCACCCTGTATAGATCAAACGCATTTTTGAAGCACTTTGCTAGGAAATTTTAGAATGACATTTCATAGCGTTCCAATAAAACCAAAGCTGAAGCCTATGGGCCTATGTACGTACGTGAACACTGTCGAATTTGCGTCCGGGGATGTGAATTCAAAGGGTTCATGCGATGAATTTTTCTTAGGAACACATTTTGTGCAACTACTCCTCTTCAATGCATGCATGAAAACTATTGGATATCCCTTTTTGGTTAATTTATTGAAAATTGCACTTCTTTAAACATTAAAAACAAACATGCTTTTCTTGGCAACCGAGGGCACTGTTGCTGGGATGTCATATCAGGAAGACACTGTTGAGCTTTTCTGTTCAAATTGTGAACAGAAAACACAAATTTGCCCATTGAAACATTTGTGAGAAAAGTTTGCTCATAGCAAACTTACTGCCATTCTGTCACAACGAATCACCAAAAAAAGGAGAAAAATTAGGACAGCAAATTATCAAAACGTCTGGCAACTTTTTATGCTGAAATTGCTGTAACATTAAGGTTTCTGCCTGAAATGACACTGTTGCTCATGAATGTGTAAATTTGAATTAGCATAAAACCTGAGACACCAAAATACCCTTGAAAATGGCAAAACTTGATTAGCAGGTTAAATGGGACACAGATGTGCATTTTCAAGGATTGTTACCGGGTAAAAATTACATCGCATGAGCCGTTTAAGCCGTATAGCCACAGATAGGCTACTAATGAGCGATATTTATGTCACATTTTATGGAGATGGATGTTATCAAGGAACACGATTAGTTCAGACGCTTTTTTAAGCACCTTGCAATGAAATGTTAGAATGACATTTCATGAAATTCCAATAAAACCAAAGCTGAGGCCTACGTCGACGTTGAGGAATTTGCCGTGTCAGGTTACGTTCAACAAGTTATACCGCAACATTACTCTAAAATGCAATTTCTAGGCTAAATTTTAAAATGTTGATTTACCTCCAATCCGCCTATCTTGCAACAACAAGACACACGTTTTGATAATTATTTTAACTCAAGGTTGACGCTATATATAGTGTCGAGCTTAATAATGAGTCTTTCTTTTGATGTCGTGCACGAACAAATTTGACGTTGTACTCGTATAGGCCCCTAGTTATCGCGAAAATTTAATGGAATTTTCATCGACCGCGTGCATGCATAGCAAACGGTTGTCCATCGCGTTTCTGTGAGATGGTGCAAAAATGGCGTTTCGAATTGCAATGTTAGGCTCAACACCTCATCCAGGTTTTACATTTAAAATACTGAAAGGAAAATTTTGCACCCCGGCCCCAAAACCCGTCCCCCAGATTATTGTGAACCCTGATGTCCCAAACACAATGTATTTCATCTCAAACGAGCTCCGTTGTTAAAGGTCAAGCGCCTCCTTACACCCCTGCCATACGCACCTCAAGAACCTCAAGGACCATTGTGAGGTCAGTCAAATTGCCGATGAGGCTCGAACCTCATCAGCATCTTCCCGGTATAATTGAAATGTATATAGACTCCATGAAAATGTCGTAATTTGCAGGACACGGTTAATCGGTGTCACTTCCGATGGTAAACATTCACCGGAATTTTGTTGAATGCATTGGGTGCTTAAAGCCTTTGCCAACGACGCCACAAAAAACTCTCAAGGCTCGGAAAATTTCGTCAAATTACAACATTTTCATTGTGTGATTGGCTACCCACTGGCTGAGAACGATCCACGCCCTTATTTCAATTTTGAAGAATTATCTGAGACTTAGGTCTCTAGACCATTATCATGTTGCGGCCATCTTGATTTTTCCCTTTTAAATCAACGTAACCAAAGCGAGGCTGGAAGGAAAAATAGTCTGGTTCCTTTTTGCACAAAAACATTATCATTCAGTACTGTTATTGGCTACAGGGAACATGACTGAAATGGTGGCAGCATGATAAAGGTCTATTAAAGTGTACTAAAATCTATCCCGACGTTGAAAGCCCGATACCAAGTTAAAAGCCTCAACAGATAGGTTGAGCTGAGATTTGTTTTAACTTCGAAAGCTACACTGCTTTTCTAGCTCCCGAAACGTTGGGCGCAAATTTCTCAATTTTTTTTCTTCTATAGATTGGCGGGATGGGCGCTTTCGTGGACAAGTGCACAGTCTGGTGCCACACGGGGGTGACCAGCCCGTTCGATGCGGGTGAATCGGAGCGACAATGGAAACGACAACACGAGCAATATGAGAAGAATGCAGTGTATAAGGTACATGCTAACCAAAGTTTAGTGTTCCAATAAAATGCACTGAGGATCAGACATTCACGTGTGCAGAGCCATGGTCGAACGTCTGACATAACATGCAAATTGTATGCGACCCCGCGCGCCAGCCGATCGGAGTCGACTTTAAAAATTGTGACGTCATTTCGATCAGAAATGTGGACCAAGCTGTTGATTGGTCAGTTTGGATGCCATGTTTTTGTAATATAACAACGGGTAACCGAAGACCCGATACAGAAGGCGCCCGCTGAATGGTCAGAATCTGGAGGTCAAGACGCAGTCTTGTTTTGCATAATTTATCTCCGAATCTGCTCGCATAACATAGATACTGTGCGATGGTGTTCTACCATAATTACTACACAAGTATAATGGGGTCGGTGGAAACTGAATCTGAAATGTGCAAGTAGGTCGCACATTATAAAAATGTACCCTATCTCTTTAAAAATGTTTTCCCAGTTAGTGCACTTCGCCAGTAGAGGGCGCCTCATGGAGGAGTTCCATAGACTGAACGAGGAGGACTTTAAGGAATTCTTGCAAAGACGGGTAGGTCAAAGTTCAAATTGCAAAGTTCAAATTGCAAAGGTCAAATGCCTCTCATGATACTTATTTTTAGAACTTTATCGTCTGCAAACTTATTTTAAATTTCAAAATCCAATTGTTATGTAATCTTTTGTCTGAATAAATTGTTTGAATTTTGGACAATGAATAAATGAAAATGTATACTATTTATATTTTTAGGTGAGACCATTTTTATACAATGGGGGTGAAGGGAAGACCATCTCGAAGGTGGAATACGCAACGATCAGACAGAAGCTGAAGGCAGAAACGGAGGTTAGTGGCTGATGATTCAAATAAACCAATTAGCTATTTGCATGGTATTGTCATAGACCTTTATCATGCTGCCACCATTTCAGTCATGTTCCCTGTATCCAATAACAGTACTGAATAATAAAGTTTATGTGCAAAAACTGGAACGAGGCTATTTTTCCTTCCAGCCTCGCTTTGGCTGCGCTGATTTGAATGGGAAAAAAATCAAGATGGCTGCAACACGATAATGGTCTGTTGAATTAACGAAAGCGAGGTTTTACTTGCAATAACTCAGGTGTTAAGCCCACTATGTTTGTCAAAAGGTCAATAGGCACAACATTTTGTGATTACCGTAAGGATTACAAGCGGCGTCAGAAATTTTAGCAATCAAAAAATAATATATGTCCTTCCGGAGCCACCGTACAATTGAGTTGCACAAACTCGATGATATAGTAATTTTCTCCCCTTTTTTGAGAATTAAACGACTGCAATCTCCGTGCTGATTTATAATATCATTACTTCCAGGTTTATTTCTAAATATGCTTATGAATTGAATAACCATCCATAATGGGGTCTAAGGAGTCGTTCGATATCCCAAATACACTCAACCAAAAAAAAGTCTCCCCCTTCCAATACTTTTTTGTCTAACTCAAAAACTACTGAGCACCTCTCGCTCAAATAACGACTAATCAGTACATACATTCCGTAGCAATCCAGCCATACTCTCTATTTGGCCCCAAAACAGTAATAATGTGTACGAATTTATGCAATTTATGACAAATGATACCGAAAACAGTTGCACTTTTGTATACGAGCAAGTTGTGGTTTACACTCACCAAGTGTCAAAAAAAAAATCGGTAGAGTGTAGTATACATAACCTAATTATGCGCATACATGACTGTGTAGGCCTACATAATTATTGTGTGTGGAAAATGAAGTTTTATGACTACGCAGGTTGTGATTATTCATTGTTCGACGATTAGAATTTACGCTCCAGCGATGATGATGGGTGAAATGTGTTGACTTTGTCAGCTGACCCTTGGCGACTCGCGCGTCATGAGGTGTGCAAACCAATTTGCGACACCAGATAACAGAGAGATGACGCACGAAAGGCGGGAAAAAGCAATCTCCAAGTTGATGTAGTTTTTCGAGGTTATATTTCATGTCAAGTTGAAATTGATTGATTAGATTCACTACATGGTTGATAAGTTTCCTGTTCTTAATTCATTAATAGAAAAAGGCGATGAACTGAAAACGAGTCATTCTTGGTGTCTCGTACGTCGTTGAACGGATGTAGTAGAAACGAGCAATTTTTTTTTTCAACGATGAGTTGGCCCGAATCATCGTTGGCAATTGATGGTGTTTAATGACAGCACACCAGACGTAACGATTTCATATGATGTTTGATTAGATATTAAAAAATAAATCAATCAATATTAGCCTTTTGATATTTTTCGACGTTTGCTAATGGTGTAGTCCTACAATACCTTTAACCGCGTTTCACTAAAGATCGTAAAATGTGTCAATGAAGTCAGGTAGCCACCCGTCATGCATTATTCTGCGTGCGATACACTTTTGTTTCACACTAAAACGGTTTACGAACGAATTCGGTGCATGAGTTTTCGTGGCTCAGTTAGGTAGATGACAAGAAATGAGATGGTCGAATTGGAATCATCATACCTTTGGCATGATGTTTTCAGGCATGTCGAGCTCATAAGCCAGCCCCGTGACTGTGAGCGCTGATAAATAATTTAGTGTTTGTCATCACGCGATGGAAACTCCATACACGCGTGTTTCTGACAGGATTTACTGCGTCTTTCTTATCAACGAGTTTTAGGGCTTCGGGATAAAACACTTACAGGAGGAGCCATTAACACGGAAGGATAGGCGAACCACCACAATTCCCTGTAGAATTACCTATAGAAGCATGTCAGGCTCGAACCAACGTGACATCTCAATACGGCCGGTCATTAGCCGTGTTCCACTTCCCATATTTCCCCTGCGCCCCAGTTCAATGGACACCTAGCACACAATTTAACAAGAAGTGGCATGAAGAGCAATCTCCTTAGCACTACTTCTCAAGAGCTGTGCTTTTAACACGGATAGGCATAATGTTATGCAGTGTTTGGAGCGATTGCTGTCATTTACGTTCCTTTAAGGGTGCAGAACTGCAAATTGACTCCCATAGACTTCAGTGATAATTACGCGTCCTTCCAAAAATTATTTAAAATACAACTCTCCAATCATGTTTGACACACCCATCAAATGAAAGCTTATTTCATAATCTTTCATTTTCAGTTCATTTTTTTTTTGGTTCCTTTATCTGATAACTTTTGGGAGAAAATTCCACCTAAAGATGATCACCCCGAAAAGTAGTCCTGTGGCCCATCGTCATTTTGAAAAATGTTGCCTGCGCTCCATTGCAAGAGCAATCCCGGCGCGAATTCATGAGAATTTGTACAGAAAGTGTGAAAAGTTCACGTAATTTGCGTACTCTATTCCCAAGTTACGTCTAGTTTAATAAAAAGATCACAAACTTCAGCTGTCCACCACTGATCGTTTACCGTTCTATAATACAAACTGATGAATATACCAATGAAATACAAGAATACTCCTCTGAACGAGCGAAAACTTGCACAGAAATACAGACAGAAATCGCCATCAGTATTTCAGAGAAAAGGTTGACTTGTTTAAACCACAAAATCTGACAGTACAAATGATGTTTCAGTCATGACTCAAATGATTAAAATCTCATTTGTATTTTGAATGCCTGTATCTGTAATTCTCACTCAGCTCAATAGCTTCCATGCAATGACATTCCATGGACAGCTATAAAAAAGAAGAAGGTTATTTTAGTAAAACATGCATAACTTCTGATAGCATGGATCAATTTCAGTAATTCCTTTTTTTTTTAAATTGAGTGCAAGGACATGCACCCAGTTTAATAATATGCTTAGTTGGTGGTCAATTTTTTTAAGGGTAAAATAATAAATCCTGGTCATTTTCTTTTTGACTCACCCTGTATAGGAACAAAGCGCAGAGTGTTTTCTTTCTTTTTTGGGGGGGGGGGGGGCGTTGATTATTGTTAGTCTTTAGACAGCACATCAATATCGAAATATAATCATTAATAACGAGTGTTTTTCCCTTCATAAAATAATGACTCCCAGGCCAAGAAACTAGTCAAGAGGATGTCGAGCAAGGAGCTGGTGCTTCGATTCGACCGGTCCCAGTTAGCGGCCATCAACCGCTTCCGTCCGCGGGAGGCATGCTGGGACCTGACCCGCCGAGGCGAGGTCGGGGAGACGGTGCTCCACCTGTGCCTGTTGAATAACACGGAGACGCATCTTCAGATCGCAAGGATCTTGTTGGAGATGTACCCGAAGATGGCGCATGACATATTTGAGGGAAATGACTACTATGGTAATTTTGTTACGGTCATATTAGATCGCATCATAAAGATGAAAAATACCCGCTCTATTTTCGAGTTTCACCTCGACAAATATATTGTTTTTCATTTACTATAAAAATTTACTATCCTTCCTTTTTTCTTTTTTTTACAAAATCGACTTCTTGGCCGCCAGACATAACGCAGGATGTGTCATTTGTACACACATGAAAACCCCCTTTTTAGGGATCCAGACGCCAACAATTTTATTGAAAAAAAAAGAGCACTGGACACAAATCTTTAATTTGACCATAACTCAGACTTGACTTGAAACTGGATGACTTCTTGAGATGGATCTGCGATAATTTATGAGGAACTGACAACATCTTGCTCCTTATAAACCCATTAACAGGTGAAAGTTGTCTCCACTTCGCCATCATCAACAACAGCCTAGAGTGGGTCCAGCTCTTGGTGGGCCGCTACAAGACCCGCCTTGACCAGCGCGCCACGGGCCGCTTCTTCCGTCCCAACGATCTTAAGGAAGGCACTCGATCGGCTTTCCTCCCCTCCAACTACGAGGGGAAGGCCTACTACGGGGAGTACCCCTTGGCCTTCGCGGCTAGCGTGGGGAACGTGGAGATCTATGACTACCTGGTGGCTGAGGGGCTGAAGAATGAGAAGGGACGGGGGACGGTCAACCCGGATGCCAAGGACTCGTTCGGGAACACCGTGGTGCACATGGTCATCATCCATAACCAGAAGGTAGACAAATAGAAGAGAGTGAATTGTCGGTATTTTCTTGTGATAGATCAAGGAGGATAAAAAGGGAACTTAGAAGCAGCGGTGTAACAAAAGTGTCGAACTTGAGGAGGTGGGTACTAGGATATGTTCCTTTTCCAGGGGGTGGGAAGGCACCTATACTGTGTTTGGATATTTTTGGAACAACGAAAAGCTTGGGCTTCTCCAAATTTTGTTCCTGAAATTATACAAAATAAAAACAACCATGCACTCTGATGCATGTTTTCCAGATTTTCTGCAATTTAGGGGTTTAAAAACGATATAGAAGTACAAGTATAGAAATTCCGTTTTGACGAAGTGACGAATATCTTTAGTAGCCTAATTAATATCTCGGAATTAAACATGGTTTTATGAAAACAAAACATTGTTTTGGCTGTTTAACCATTGGGCTTTCGCAGCAGTTATATATATTTCTCAATTTAGGGGGAGAAATTAACGCGAAAATGCGATTTCAAAAAACGACCAATTTCAAAGCGATTTTTTTCAAAACTCGGTTTTGCAGCAGTGTGCACGGATTCGTCACTTCGTCAAAGCGGAAAATGTCAATCGTTGAAAAAAAAAAGGCATTTGGTAATGGTGTGTGACTGTGTGTGTATTGGGGACAAGATGAAGTTAAGGCTATTCTCCTCCAATGAAGTTCTTGTGCTAGTTTGGTCATCATGATTTTTTTGGATTCCAGCACATGATGAGTCACGTGATCAACCACATCGCCCTGCCCGCCCGCCATGACATCTTCAATCATGACGGTCTCACTCCCTTGGAGTTGTCCTACCGCCTGGGCCGGGGGGAGTTATTCGCTCATCTGCTGGACTTGTCCAGCGAGACGCAGTGGACGCGCGGCACGGTGGCTAGCGTGGCTTATCCACTGACTGGACTGGACTCCATCGGACCTGGAGGAGAGTTGAGTAAGTGGCGAATTGAGCAGAGACTAGATATGTTGAGTGAAGATTTATCCATCGTTCGGCCTGAGTGTTATGTAGTCTCTGTTCAATTCGGTTCAGTGATGCTACATGACGCTTGATGTTCGTTGTATGACTCCTGTCAGTAATACACTCTTCTTGTCACATTGCACTAATCACAGCGCCATCCGCTCGAAAATCCCAGCGGTCATGTCATGATCTTTCACGGTATCTGAGCGCTTCATAAATTCATCGGCATCTCGCGGAAAAAAAACCCAGTAGGCCTATAGATTAATTTAATGAAGAGGAAATTCGTTACCCTAATGGAACAGAAAAAACGGCCGGTACATTTTGGTTGATGAAAGCAGACAGCGTTTTTAATGAGTGTCGGGGATTCTCTCATTTCCGCCACAGCCTACTATAACGGATCGTGGAACGAGCTGTACTTTACTGTAGCGCGACGGGTATTATCGATACCTGCATGATTTATGTATAAAAGATGAAACTGGGCAGGCAACCTTTAGTCAAGATCGTAAATTTTGGAAATGTTTATAAAGATCATCGGCTTTTAATGTATAACAGCCCCAAGTATACATCGGGCTTGCACTTATGGGGCACCGGCATACGGTACAGCAGGTCGGCGTTTAGATTTACAATAATAAACCTGTTACATAAAACACACAGAAAAAAAATTACCCACAAAAATATTTACTGATAATTCTAATTTGATGATGCATACTCTTTCCGTCACGTGATTGTTTTAAACAGACAGAACGTATAAAGCAGGGTTCGACCTGAACTTTTTTTTTCACTTGCCAGCCGGCCTACTGAAACAGACTCTTATAGCACACGGGCATTTTGACTATAAGCCCGCATGTTTTCCTCTTATAGAATGTCTCATAAACAACAATGTGCATATACATGTAAAACGTGTATCCTGCGGCAATCTTGTCAGTGTTTTAATAAACAGAAAGTAACCCTAAACAGTTCATATAATTAGACACAAATTGATACAGGTTTGCTTTCATATTTTTACTTTTATTTCTTCCTGTCCTTTCATCTTAGCCGTATCCCAATAATTTTTGACTCGCCGCTGCATAGCATTAGGCTAGCAGGCTACAGCTAAAGTTGAACCCTGTACAAAGACACATCGGATGAAAATTATGTAAATGTTCCCGTTCTTTGAAGGCTATAACAGATCTATCGTAATATTCTGCTCGCCATGCGCATCAATTAAGATGTATAGGAGACGGGAAAAATCTCATTTCTATTTTGGGTAAAGAAATTTCAAAGTGATACTTCGATCTGCCTGGCATGGCAATTACAGTAGGAATGTACGTTTCTCATAAATTTGCTGTGAGCTGCCCAAAAAACGATTTATGATCGAAGCAAGCGCTTGAAATGTTGCTGGCCTCTAAATTAAAAAAAAAATCAAAACACTTAGCTCGCTCATGCATGATTTCAAACGTGTGTCGTGGGCAAATTTCACCCCATCCCGTAGATCGTTGACACGTGTTCTCCTTTCCCCCGTGATATTATCGTTGGATATAAATAAATCAATGACATATGAATGTTAAAAAAATTAATTTTTATAAGAGGCTTATTTGCCAGTCTAACAATAAGACTGTACGGACATATCCTTTCCTTGGTGGTACTATGTACATCAATAGATCTTTTTTCCATAAAGCCATTTTCGATCGTGTTCCCTGAATGTATTTGGAATGGGATGGTGTCCGACTATTTTAAAATGGAGGGCGTTCCAAGCCTCACTTTCTATTTTTTTTTAATGTGGCTTCAAATATTAAAGTTACTCTCTAAATTCCAAAGAGTGAAATTAGGGACTAGACGTTTTAGAGTGAAAATCACTCTCATTTTCGATTGAAATAGTCTGAACAAAAGAACCACCTCAGACGAAACTCGAGTGAAAACTCGATCTTTACGATTGAAGGAATTTCACTCTAAAACGTCTAGTCCCTAGTTTCCGACTGTGGGAGTGAATCTTCACTCGAATGGAGTGAATTTTCACTCTTTGGAATTTAGAGAGTATGTTTAATCAACACGAATTCTAAATTGTTCATCAGAGCAGACTGGTTTGTAAATGAACAGTTTACTTCATTGCTTTCGTTTTAACTTGCAAGTTCCAAAAAAATGAAGAGTTTACCTCGCTTTCAATTTAATAATGACCGACTCGTGAACAAAGTAGGCTTTATTTGTGTTCATTGTAGTAAAAAGAAACAAGACGAGTTGATGATGATTCCTTGCACAGTGACAATGTTTGGTTAAATGAAATGACAATTTATACAAAGTGTCACGGATAAACACCTGCCCCCGTGGGGGCGCTCTATGCAAGGATTCTATTATTTTTTACACCCTGACTCAGATGAGAGGTCTGCACTGCGCATGATCGTTCAAGGAAGCAAGCTGCAACATCTCAAGATGCTGGAAGGACAAATAATCCAGAAACTACTGGAGGAGAAATGGAACAGATATGCCAAGGCAAGATTTTTATTTGGAAGTTTTGTTTCTCCGTTACTGAGTCAGGCAGATTGCACAATATGATGGAATCGTTCATTTGATGATAAAAGCATGAAATTTGGCACACAGTCAGAGTATGTCATGGGAAAGATATTTGGCTACAGGGCCATCACAGATTTGGCCTTTGAAAAAAAATATATATCATAGAATTAAACAAGCAATGGCCGCCATTTTGAAACTTTTGAACATTTCTTGTTATTCTATGATATTTTCTTCAAAGGACAAATCTGCGATCGCCCTATAGCCAAATATCTTTCCCATGACATAATCTGACTGTGTGCCAAATTTCATGCCTTTACCATCAAACTGAACAATCTTATCATCAATCTGCTGTATTAACTGACAAAAGACGTGTAACTCTAGAAGCCCGTTCGGGACACAACAAAATAACAAACTGGAAGCAATTAATGAAAAATTCCATATCTAACGAATTATGATGCAGCGGCTGATGATAACTTAAGGTTTTATTTTAATGGTCAGCATTTTTTTTGCTATAAAAGGAATCACTCTTCATGTATACGTATAATATCAGTCGAGGTGAAAACAATTAGTCGTGCATTTGTGATGACCCCTCCGATTGATTCTATAATGACCAAGCATGCATTATAATTATATTCGCTTTTTGGCGGCGACTCATATCTGACATGTATCAAGTTACGGTCATTTCATTTGTCAAATGGTCTCATCAAGTAGATTATATATTGCTTTACATAAGGATTACCGACAGATAACGAGTTATCTTCAAGGTTGGATGGTAATGGAATATTTCAATCAGGAATCGGGATCACATAATATGATGAACTAAACATTTTCCAGTTCTTTTTTATTCTGGTTAAGGATAAGTTGATAATATTTTTTATTTCTATTTAAAGTCAATTGAGAGTGAGGTTCCTTTTTTCACAAAATGTGAGAGTTACTGGTATTTCAGTGTCTTGTGTTAAAATAATTGTCCATAAGCACTTCATGCTACCTCAGAAACTTTAACTCCATATCGACATGCTGAGTGAGAAACAACAACACATAGGCCTTATGCGTAGCTCCATCTTAGAGGGCAATGCCTTTATTTTGATGGGATATGCACGAGTGAACCTTTTTGCGCATTCAATTATTGTTACTGAATTAAAATAACAAATGATGCCCTCTATATGTGCCATATTATCAGCGTGTTTCATTCCTTGCCTCGTCTTATGCTTTAGAAAATCCTGTTGCTTCGCTTTGCATGGACGGTATTCCACCTGATGCTCATATCGGCTGCGGTGTTTTTCCGACCAAGTGAAGATCTGATGACGGTCACTGACGCAACAAGTTATGTAAGTGATTATATAAAAAAAATGGATGACAAATAGACCTACACTTCTCTCGATCGTAAAAATGACTTAGGCTACGCAATGTTATAATTTGTCGAATTTACTGTTCAGTTAAAGGGATACTGCATCGGGAATGAGCCCCATTGGCCTACAGAACGCGCTTTGAACGAAACGCTGTTGTTCGGAAAGAACATTTAAAGGATATAAACATCCACATAACTATCCTTTAAAAACTGGGCGTTTTTGTTTTATTCTTGATGCGTGCGAGAACGACTTTCGGGGTCTACTTTTGCGACCCCAAAAAGTCAGGCTATACTTTGGTGCTGTGTGTAATTTTATGTGACATACACAACGTGTATCGCACATTGTCTGAAACGACAGGAAAAACGTAGGCATGCTCTGTCGTGTCCGATGTAAACAATCGTGTGTTTTTTCTTTTCTCGGGAACGGTAAGACATTAGGTTGGTTTGCTTTCAACCAGATGCTTGAAATAGGATAAGTAAACAATCCAAAACACGAAAATTTCGGGGATTTCAGGACACAGTGCCCCTTTAAAATTCATTTCTTATAGGCGATGGAAACATACGACCATTTTCACGCGGGTTTCCCATGAATTTCCGAAGGTGATACACAGGCGCGGTTCTATAGCCAATATTTTTTGGGGGGCTAGCAAGGTGAATCCAGAATTTTTTCCAGGGTAGCGTGCTGAAATGTAGACCGGTTATTTTCTCCGGACACTTAGGCCTCTGAAATTTAATACTTCCTTCACAAGATTCTGTGAAGCTCATCTGCCCTTCTCAGCGCCCTGTTTGCAGGGCGGGGGGTACGAGCGAATGGGGAGCGCTGATAAAATCCTACAATCGGGCACACTATATTAACTAAAAGTGTACAAAAATTAATGCACCGTCTCATTTAGGGGGAGACTGTTCCCATGTACGTCAAATTCTTACATTTTGCTAGTGCATTTTTTTTATGCAATTTTTTTTTTTTGGGGGGGGGGCTAGACAAAAGCCCCCCCCCCCAGCCCCCCCCCCCAGCCCCCCCCCCCCCCCCCCCCCCCCCCCCCCCCGTAGAACCGCGCCTGGTGATACACTGATCATCATAAGTTAGTTTGATATTCTCTGAACTATAAAAAATATAAACGTCTTAATTCTGTAGTTCTTACATCTTGAGTTTGCGTTGCGATCAGTATGCCAACTGTAAGCCTGCGACTTGGGATGAGACTCTGAGAATCTTTTAATTTCAAGATGCAAAGTCCTTGATTTTTTTTCTCAGGTTCGGTTTTCGGCGGAGGTGCTGGTATTGGTAAGCTGCGCTGTCAAGTTTTTCATCGGCTTCTACGAACTGAGAGCGCAACATGGAATCATCATTAGAAGTTTTGTGAGCTTCATTCGCATTTTAACTCGAAATAAATTTATCAAAATAATAATAACATTCGCTGGGACATTTTAAGTGGGCGAAATCCCCAATTTAACCGAAAACCTTTAATTGAAATTAGTAGTAAAAGGGCAGTTTTTCAATTAGTTAATTTTTTTCTGTTCAACAATAATTATAGCACCATTAATTTGGAAGGTGTTTTTTGTAATACCGTTTTAAGTTTCTTTTGAGTGCAATTGGTAGAGAGAGAGAGTTTTGAGATGAATCGATGAATATTCGACGTTTCGATCGGTGCAATTATGATCATCTTCTCCTCAGATCGAACTTCCAGAGAAGTGTTTATCCCTGGTGTCTGTATGCCTCTTGTACGCATGCGTACCACTACGTCTGCTCAAACAGCGTGGGGCTGAGGATATCCTACTCACCATAGCTATCGTGTTGTCATGGTGCTATCTGCTGCTCTTCTATAGGTGAGAAATTGGTCAAATGTACCTGGAGTTTGTACCTTTTGCTTTTGTTGATGAAGTTGGAAAGCAATTTAAACTTTAAATTGAGACAACCAAACTCCCTGCCTCGGGGGAAGTTGATAGGCGACCTCAGGGTTTTCCAGGAATTTTCATCTGTTGCTAACATTTAAAGGTATTTGACGCATGTTCCGTGGTTACTTTGCATGTGTTTCAAAAGCAGTGAAAATTTAAAAAAAATGTCTTCGTATAAAACACGATTTTGCTGGACAGCTGACTTATCTCTGATAAGTTATTTCACGTTTCATTTTATGTACAGTCAGGCCTACAGGCAGATTCGTACTCGGGGCAAATGTTGGGCACAAACATGAATTTGATTTTTCGTGGCAGATATTCAAGCTGCAAATTCGTGAATATAATTAGAATATAAAGTTGAACTTAATTACGTCAACCCCTGCAAATTTCGCATCACCTGAAAACCAAACCGGCCTTCAAGCCGCATACTCCGCATACAACGAGCTCATATTTTGTGACGTCACTGCAAGAGCGAATTCGTAAAAAAATAAGACAAAAGTTCACCTTTCAACTCCGATGAATTTCGCTGCGAATGTTTGGTGACGTCATAAACAGGCTTACGTCTCATTATTCGCTTTCGCTATGTCATGTGATGTCAATGTTATATGATCGTGGATTTATTTTTGTCCGTTTCCGATAGAGCGCACAAGAAGCTTGGTCCACTTGTCGTTATTTTTGGTAAGATGTGTACAGGCGACCTGCTGCGATTCGTTATCATCTATTGCATCTTCATCTACATGTTCGCGGGAGGTGCGATATACCAACATCCTTTACCTATTTTCATGTTTTAGTCAGAACTTGATTTTATTCACCTTAATCGAAATAAATGAAGATTTATTTAAAAAATAAGATGTGAATTTGGAATTGAGTTTGCTAGCGTTTGTTCGATTACAATGTATATCGGGTAGATTTATTCCAAGTTATACCAATGTCACTATAGCGCAGACAAGATAGATGCTCATACCCTAAAGATGAAATTAAATTTTAAAACAATGATGCACGGATGAACATAATAACATTTGTGTTTCTTATTAAAGTAATTACGCATCAGGAAATTTTGATAAGTCAAACCTCAAGGCAATGCATTCTTTGTTTGACTTAACAGTTGTTTTGAGTTTTCAGAGTTTGACTTATGGAGATTTCACTATGACGCCTCAGCTAATTAACCAATGAGACCGCGACTTCTTATTTTGTCTTGAATAGTTTTCTACTACGCGTACTATGGTGTCTCTGAGCAGGACAGTTACATAGATCTCAAGAGCACCATAATCACAATGTTCCACATGACCTTCTCAAAATTCCGGGTGAGTTGCAAGTTTTAGGTAAATAATTTTCCATATTTCTCCTCATTTTGATGGACAAGACGTTTGTGCATTGAATGTCAATGAAATTCATATATAGAATTTGAAGTTGAATTGAATCGGTTCCTAGCCGATTTTCGCTATCCGTTTAGCAGTAAGTATACCTCCTGAAACTTGATCAAGAGCTAAACACATTGTTTCGTTGTAATTTGCATAATATTTGCATTTGACCTTTTACGGACTCAGGATCTTCGCCTATCAGGAGCACCGTGGCAGGTGGGCGTGGTCTTTGTTGTCTTTTAATAATTTGCATAACATTTTGACCTTTGACCTCGACAGACGCAAGATCTGCCCCTATCCCGAGCGCCGTGGCAGGTGGGCTTGGTCTTCGTCGTCTTCGCCTTGGTGTTGCCGGTCCTGCTACTCAACATGCTCATCGCCAAAATGGCGCGAACCTTCGAGAAGATCAAGGACCGTTCGCGAATGGAGTGGAAACGACAGGTGGCCAATTACGAATCCGATATCTTTTTTTATTAAAGTCACCTTCATGATAATGATAACAAGCAAATTCCCATGACATTGTGGCGAACGTACATCACTCTTGTACAGAACTTTGAATCTCAACAACAGAAAACACAGAAATGAAAACTTGGGATTTGCTTAACATTGTAAACTTGCTTATAACACCTAGTGAACCCCTATAAAGGTGCTACATAATGAGTCTCATATTTCTCATAAACTTCATTTACCCGGCTTTAAAAAGAGGCATAATTACCAGCGCCTTGAGCACCTAATTGTTGGTAAGATACGTGCGCTATAACTAAGACTCCGGTATTATTAACATTGGTCAATTTAAAGCCTTGATCCTTTCCGTATATCCGGACACATTTTGACAGCATTCTCGAGTTTCTGAAACTTCAGAAAAGCATTAAATTAACAACAAACATCATATCCTGATATTGTTAGTTTATAACGATTAAAAGAAGGCCAAAGGAATGGTTTTTAAAAGGACTTTGAGAAAGCTATACCCCGGGAGACTGTAGTGGCGCTTTGCCAACTGACAGTTTGTCGTCTGTCCATTTTTTTTTTTTTTTTTTTAGAAATTGCAGATTCAGATCCCACGCCAGTCATTTTAGTTGCTTTTCCTTAAGTTTCAGAAATAAAATAATCACGAAGTTATACTTTTGACAGTGGGCAATGATTATTTTGAACATGGAGAGGACCTTAACACGAGCGAGTCTTGAGAGGTACCAGAAGGCTTACTCGACCGAGGTGCGTACGGGCCAAGCCCCGGCCGTCAAAGAGCTCCTTACGCATCAGCCACATCGGACCACGCTGTCATGGACGGAGCAGGTTCGACAGAGATCGAGGAGGCAGTTCGGCAGCTTCAGTTGGCAAAGGAGTCTCCGGTAAGAAATAAGATCATTTGCCCTTATAAGATTCCATTTCCGACCTAAAGCTCGGTTCATACTTGGCGCGAAAGCGAAAGCGAACGCGAATTGGTGACGTCATGGCAAGTATTCGCGCTGCGAATTCGTAAAAGTTGAACACATTTCAACTCGGGCGAATTTCGCAGCGAACAATTCTTGACGTCAACTTCGCTTCGCATTCGCATTCGCACCGAGTATGAACCGGGCTTAACCCCACGAAACGAATCTTGACGATTGACTAGTCGTGCTCTTCAATATAACATTGTTTTCGCAACGAAAGTTGTATATTTTATTTCCACCAAAAATATTACTTTCTCTATTTGGGCGCCTGCAACCCTGAAAATGGTTCTTTCGTTTTTGGTTACATTAGGAATAATACTGACTTGTCATGTGAGTGGACTGGTTGCCGTGACCTACGATTTCGATTCGTATGGAGGGCGGGAACCAGTCTACCATTTTCGAAATTTAAACGTTAACCGACTTTTTTTCGTTCGACATCTCATTCAAAAGGAATTACTTTTATATTAAAAATAACGGGGTTTTTAAATCTATTTTTCGAGGTAAAATTATAACATAGTACCTTTTCACTTATTTAAGACTCGCTTGGAAAAAAATCCAAAGTGTCAATATAACGAGAACCAGTAACCAAGAGTACATCTTCTCCCAAATTCTTCTCCATTTGACCCAGGGAGGACTACCTATCTGTCGACAACGCTGAGAGGGGTGAAGCAGAGGGCGTGGTGACCCTGGCAACCCCCGAGGAATTTGGGGATGAAAGAGGACGGGACACGAGACTGTGTCGAGCCTTGCTGGTCACTAAGATACTACCCAGGGGAAAGGCGAAGGTCACCAACGTCTGCGCTAGATGGAAGGTGAGTAGGGTGTGTGTTGACACCAGGGACGTAAAAACCCCAAGGGTGGGGGTCAAAAGGAGTATTATGCGCCCACCTTTAGAACGGGGATGGGGAGGGATCAACCCTCTTTCCTCGCACTTTTGTACATTGGGGTGTTCCCCCCCCCCCCAAAAAAAAGTTGTGCAAGCAGATATCCTTTAATTTCTCCAAAACTGCTTAACATGAGTATTGTATCTTGATGGAGCAAATTAATTATATTCTTGTGTATATTAAATGCCATGGAAATCCGTTCATGTTAACCAGACTTTTAACAGATTATAAAAGGCTATGGGTTTTCACCCATTCCAATGGGATAGGATTTAGGCCTACACAGTTAACAAATACATCAGAGTGAAAAGGCCCATGACAATCTGATGCACTGTGAATACCATTGGAATGGGTGAAAAAGACCCATAGCCTTTTACAATCTGTTAAATCTCTGACGGATTTCCATGGCATTTTCACAGGTTATACACAATAGAATAATAATTAATATGCTCCATCATGATGAACTACTCATGTTAAGTAGATTTTGATAAATTAAAGGGTATCTGCTTTTGCACAACTTTTTTTGACACCCTTTATTGTGATAGGCGATCACGACGCAACAACAGCACCACGAAAAAGATGTTTTACAATTGGGGAGGAAAAAAACGAAGACGAACATGATAGTGAAAGATACCCTTCAAATTGAAGATTTTTTCTGAACGCCTTTATTTTTTCTCTTTCTTTAGGAGGCGGGACAGGCAGCACTTGGCAAGCGAGAAGCTATCAGTTGACCAATCAGATATCGGGCATGAGGGATGATAGAGAACAACCATGGCAAGTTAATCGATCGTCAAAACACACTGAACGTTTTGTTTAAAACGGCCATCGGAGGACTTTAACTTGTTGTATTGAGGATGAATTACAATGGATGTGATATTAAGAAATTGGCTTTTACAAACATTATTTTGATTACAGTTTTTCATACTTCGTAATATGTACAACACAGCTTGTGCTGTTACAAGTAGCGGTTTATAATTAGCAAATAAAAGAAATGTATACCACAAAAAACAATAGTGTTAAGATAATAACATTGTAAATATCCATTCATAATATGGAAGGTCTAATGAATTCATCGTTGACAATACTGTCAGACAGTTAATAATTCGAATTTTGTGAAGAAATAATTCAATAACTGAACGTCGGTGGATTTCTTTGTGCAATGTCTCATTCAAAAGTGACAAATTTTACATTGCCAGAAAATATAGCAATTGAAAAAAAGATCTATTTTTCGAATTGAAACTCGAAATTAGCACAAGGAACACAAACAAATTATGACCATTTAAATGTTTGTATCGATTGAGGATCAGCATTTTGTTTTTTGTTGGCCTTCGGGATATTGAGACATACAAAATGTCTTTCTGCTATTGTGCTGGGCGCAAGTTAACGTTGTGCTTAGGACTCTTATAATTGATATTTTATTTATTTATTTATTGGAATTGAAGGTCGTGACATTATAATATAGATAAAACACAGATTAAATTGAATAATAATTATTTTGCCGAGATGAGTATAGTTTTGGGATTGCCCCTTATAGCATGTATTAAACCAAAACATAATAAAGTCGGTACCTGTAAATTGAGAAATTAGTGTTTTAATTTCCGTGGTTTTGAAAAAGTAAGGATAAGATACAGTTATGTTGCCAGCTCCGGAAAAATGGGGGGGGGGGGCGGGGCGGCGGGGTGGCAAGCAGTAACGGGCACACCACAAGAAAAAAAAAACCAACATATTTTTATACACATGGTTTTGGTCGGGGGGGGGGGGGGCGGCGGGTTAGCGACGAGCATGATAAGATAAAATATAAAACGATGTGTGTACAGTGGGTAACGTAGGTAACTGTCAATGAGGCAAAAAGAATACATTGTGGAGCAAGTGTAAGCTCCCTTTACCCTAAGACTCCTACCATGGACCAACCAAAACTCAATGCGGAAAATTGGTTTGAAGACTGGCGGGGCCTAATTTTTTTTTTATTTGGAGGTGGGAAAAATGCCGGTAGCAATTCAGTGGCGCACCCAGGATTGGCTGGGGGGGGGGGGGGGGGGGGGCTCAGGGCTCACAATTTTTTGTTTCAAATGGGAGGGGGGGGGGACTATTTTGGCCAGGTCAAATCGTAGGACTACAAAAAATTACACAAAAAATGGGGGGGTTCAAACCCTCGAGCGCCCCCCCCCCCCCCACCCCTTGGGTGCAGCGCCACTCTAGCGGTTGTTAAGTAAGTGTAATGTTATTAGAGCTATAAATAAAATAGAGCGTTCAGGAGAATATCAACGTCTTCTCCCTCCACTATCTCTCCCACCCCTCCTGGTCTTCTCCGAGGCTGGATACGCCAAAAAAAATTTGCCAATTTATACAAAGAAAATGCAGGGGCGCGGCACGCCTATACATTTTATTTTGCATTATCAGTTGAAAGAAAACCTATCCTGGCGGCTATAATATAGAGGGCGCTCTTACATGGCATGACCTTGCATGATTTATTTCTACTTGGGTGAAAAAAAGTTAACAAAAAACGACATTTATTATGATTTCAAAACTCGAGGTGTTTCATATAAGCATAGCATGGATGAATGAAAACTTGCGAGGAAGGCTTATCGTATAGTTTGCCAAGTGATGAGAAAATTCGGCAAGGATCGCCCCGAATGATTTCTGGTAAGGTGCCCAATTTCCGGACAATAGATGCTGGATTCTGAAATAGCCGGTGTAGCATGAATTTAGGTTTTATGAAATACGGACTCATTGGTGGTATTGCGCATGCTTATGCATAGATAATTAGTAGAGGGACTGGTCACGTGAAAGGGTTTAACCAATAAAAGGGAAAAAGAGTCCGATTTTCATACGAGTCTGATTTTCATATGACACCGGCCGTGAACCGAACCGAAGGGGCGGATCCAGGAAGTTTTGTACGGGGCCGGGGGGGGGGGGGGGGGGGGGGGGGGGGGCTGGTTTATCAGCAAATCAGTGCTGAAATGTGCACAGGTTTTTCTCTGGACACTTGGCCTTTGTATGTACCGTAAAATCAAGTGGGGAGGGGGTTGGGCCTTGGGGGGTTGGGTAGCTGGAGTTACCCAGCCCTGAGTTTTATCATTGGGTTGTCATTAGCTCTACTGAGTGGAGCGTTGAATTACGGGTACCCCTCCATACAAACGCTCCACCGATTTGCCATACTTTGGTAGCACCATACACGGTCGTCATGACGGTATGCATTTTGTGCATGCCCTCGCGAGGACAAGCCCAAAAAAACTGATAAAGAAAATACAAATGAGGAAGACAGTAACCCTGGATAGATCCACACATTCATGACATTCCATATGACCCCTCAAATTGTTTCAAACAACCGGTAATTTTGAAAAAAGAACAAAATAGTCTGAACTTACCGCTCACAATTAAATGTGTCTGCCGAGTTGCACAGTCTATTTCACTGACATGACTGATGCATAATTCATTGCGCGCGTGTGTGACGTCACTATTGAAGAAAAACAAGTCGCGCTTAATCAATGACTGTTTCATGTACTGATATGTGCCCCGCACCAAAAACCCACAGTCAGACGGAAAAGGGAAAATTGCTCGGAAAGGGAAAATTGATTGTGAAAAAAGTTGTCACGTGACCGCGCATGTTGTTTTCGCACTTACAATCTGGACATGAGGATTGTCCGGATCGTAAGTGCGATACCAAATTTTCGACAACGGGCTTGGTCACGTGACTACTTTTCCGCGATCAATTTTCTCTTTTCGAGGTTGGTGCCGTTGCATGTGATATTTTTTAATATTTGTCCTTTATTATCACCATGGACAGCTCACTGTCAATGGCAATGTCCCATTTATCAGTTTTTATAACTCTGTATCCGAAATTGTGTTCTTTTCACTGAAAAAAAAAGATATTTTTCGGAACAGGTCTGACCTCCCCATGCTTTTTAAGTTACGGATTTTCAGTGTTGGTCACGTGTGCCCCCCAAGCCATTGCGCAATCACGATTTTCAAGCAATATGTCGGTATCCACGAAACGGCTTATGGTGAAGGGGGAGAATTTGACCAGATAAGGAAAACCAGCACAGCAAAGAGTGAGCAGATCTTAACTGTAATTATTTATCTTATGACCATGTACTTTGTTTGCAGCATATAATCAACCAGTCAGGTCCAAGGTTTTAACTACTACATTAAATCAAGATCTGAGATATCCTGTTTCATGCATTGCCTTCAAGATTCACTAGTAGTAGTAGTCTTTATTTTGACATTCTTTCAAGCTTTTTATTTCTTGTATCCATAAAGGGATGTTGAAGATGGCAGAGTCAGAAGTATCAGAACCAAAGATTGCAGATGAAGGACTTGATGAAGCGAAAGAACAAAACAGAGATCCCGCAGAACTCACAGATCATGAGAACATTAAAGGCAAAGAAGCATTAAGTGATCAGTGTGATACAATAGAGAAGACTAAAGAATCAAAAAGATCAGCGAGTGATTTAATGAGTAATGTCAAGACGGAAGAGGAAAAGACGCATATATGTCAGCCGTGTGAAGCCGGGATGCAGAAAGTGAACTTGGATGGGGACTGTACAGACAGGGGGCAGCTGAAAGACACTGAGAATGTACGGACGGCGGGGTCTGGCTGCAGTAGTCCTGCGAGTAGTACGACAGGCGTTGATCATGACCTCAGGCTGCCTGTGGAATCACCAGGGGCGTGGTCTCCAAGTGGTTCGCAGATACACTACGTGGCGGACTCCCCGCTCACCCCAACCCGGTTCCGATCCAAGTCAGAGGCCGACACCAGTACGAACCCTATCCACGCGCAGGCCATAGTGGGCACCAGCGCAGTGCGGCCAAAGGAGCGTCGAGCTAGCTCGACGTCGTCCGTCGGCGGTGGGACCACATCGTCGCCCAGCAGTAGTAGCATGGCCGAGTCGCCACGCGGGGAACCAGCTGGATCGGCGTCCGGATCGCTCTCGCTGCACGGTACGGTGACACGCGAAGGGGAAATGCTTTCATTTGTTGCCGATGACCTAATGGAGAAAATCCGTCAGAGCGGTGACCCATTGAAAGCTAAGGATAGGGGTAAGCCGCACCATGGCCCGTGCAAAAATTATCCCTACCAAAAAACAAAACTTTAAAAAACTCATAAATCTTTCAATTTTGTTGGTGGCGTCTTTTCCTTATTATCTCAGAACAAATAAAAATAATACTTAACAGCTTGCTGATGGACATGGACTTAACTTTTTCGTTCTGAGCTGACTTTAGCTGAGCTTGCAAATCTGATGTTATGTGCTAGATTAATCATAAGATCATTATTAATCAGTTTTATTTTGTAATTTTTACTAAAACAGAAATAAGCTTTCTCACGCTCGGAAATAGCCAAAACCTTTTTCACTAAAATGTGTGGGGCTTTCTGCGCAAGAGGTAGTGAAAGTTTATGTCGTTGTTTCACCCGAGTGGTCACAACTGCATCAAGTATGGCTCTTGATACTGCTTGCAAACACTCTAAAATGAAAATACACTATGAATTAAAGGATAAAAGTGTCTGCAATTTTTTTTTATATTTTGGTCATAAGAGAGGAGCCGATTTAAACTGTGAGATGCTTTTCTCATCAAACCCCCCCCCCCCCAAATAATAAACAGCATCAGAATGTCTAAGTGTATAGTTTCCAGGCAATTCCTATGCCTTCCTATTTCTTGCTTTGCGCCAGTGAAGGGCAAATCTCGATTATGAATTTTTGTTGGGAGTCCTGTAGAGGCAGCATGTGTCCATCACTTTTTTTGTGATTTTTATACTTTGAATGGATTGATTTTTTAATTTGTCTTTTGGTGGGCTTGTAGAAGTAGTTTTGCATGGCATGTGTGGCTACCCCTAGCCTGGTGCATTGCTCAGTTCTGTTTGTTCATTTGTTTGTTGATTTTCTTTTTGAATCATTTTATTTTTGAGAATAAGAGTTGTAATTGAGTCATTGAAAGTCTATCACAAGTCAATCACAAGCCATCCCAAGTCAATCACAAGTCAATCACAAGTCAATCACAAGTTAATCACAAGTTAATCACAAGTCATCCCAAGTCCATCCCAAGTCATCCCCAGTCAATCACAAGTCAATCACAAGTCAATCACAAGTCATCCCAAGTCAATCACAAGTCAATCACAAGTCCATCACAAGTCAATCACAAGTCCATCACAAGTCAATCACAAGTCCATCACAAGACCATCACAAGACCATCACAAGTCCATCACAAGTCCATCACAAGTCCATCACAAGTCAATCACAAGTCAATCACAAGTCAATCACAAGTTATCCAGTCTCAAGTCACAGGCTATTTAAATGAACTGAGACAAACACATTGTCACATTGTTGATGTTTCTTGTACACATGATTTGTGTCTTACTGACTTGTCATAGACTCAATTACAGATCTGTTCAAATGGGAACTAGCGGTAGCATTTACATTGTAGTTGAGAATATCAATTCATTCCTTTTGTTAATTGTTTTCATGATTTTGTTTATAGTTTGACGTTCTGTTTGAAGGTATGTCATTATGAATACTAACAATATCATATTTTGAGTATGTGGTTTTATGAAACAGTCTCATTTGCAATGTGTTGTTTCGTGCTTTTATTTCAAGGTACTAAGTACAAAACTTAGGCGTCTATTTTTCCTTGCCCACTTTTATTTATGACAGGAATGATTGATAATTCTAAGGAATGATTGATAATTCACATGAGAATTCCTGTGTAAAACCACAAATCTTGGTTTCAAATTACAAAATGGGTTGAAACCTGGACACTTCTGAATGGAGTGATGCTAGTGACTTCTTATATTAAACATGGACCTTGGAGACAGTTATAGATTGATTTGTTGGCCTAAATTTTAAAAGCAATTGCTGAGGTGGATAAAACATACAAGCTGAAAAATTGTTAGAAAAAAAGAAAAAAAAAACAAAGTTACTTTCACCTCGAAAAGTAGATTGTTTTTTTCAATTACTAATTTCAATTTCAATACAAAAGTTAATCACTTTTGAATGAAACATTAAGCGAAAAATCCACCGACGTTCAAGTATTGAATTATTATTGCTTCACAAAAATTGAATTATTGGCTACCAACAATACTGCTTTCGCAGGGCGGGATTTTGTGCACAAAAGGAAAGCCCTTTTTCAGAGGGTTTGCAGAAGCCCGAAATTGGAATAAAGCTTTATTGGTTAAAACAAAACATACAAATTGAAAAGTTGTTAGAGAAAAAAAATATAATTTTTGAAAGGAGGGTAAGTCCAAGAAAAGGTCCCCTTTTGTCCCATACGTAGCGCCATGTTTTATTTAATTACATAATCATCACAGAGACTAATTACATACAAATTGTGGTGGGCATTCTCCTTGTAGATGCCCAACAGTCGAATAAGAAACACTGAAATCCGCGAATATCTTAAAAGGTTAACCACTTTGGGCGGGGATTATTTTGACATTGACCAGACTCATGTGCAGGATTGTTTTTCACGAACCTCGATGCCAGATGGGTTCAGGCCGTCATCTGCAGGTAGCACACCCTGATATTTCCGGCCTTGCTCACTGCGAGCGGGTCGCAGACAGATATTTCCGGACTCGCTCGTTGCGTGTTTATCCGTCATCAGTTCCGAATACCACAAAACCTTTGCGTGTATACACATCATCCGACGTGAACTGGTTAAACTTTAGTTACGTATGGGACATACGTGTAGCGTGCGCAAATTCTTGGACTTGCCCAAGAGCATGGGGTATGGTATGCATCTTTAAGAGTCAGACATAATCACAATCAACGTTATTGTCAATGTTAACTCAGACATTTTGTTCTTGTCATGTTTTGTTCTTGTCACCTTATAGGTAGTAGTACTGGTTCCTCCACCTGTCACACGCCTTCATCATCCCACAGCCGCACTCCTTCCCTAAGCCCCTCTGGGATCAGTGCCAGTGCCATCCCCCCGGTAGACCCCACGGCGCTGGCTGACATTGAGAGGCATTGTAAGCGGGTTGCGGATAACGTGGAGCTCATGATGGGCCACTTGTCCAGTACACTACAGAATGTAAGTCAGGGGTGGGTTTGGGGATTTTGTTTATAAGTCGGATGATATTTTGCCAGTAACAACAAAATGCAGAAGGATGGTATAATGACAGAATTCTTTTCTGATTGGTAAATATGCATGACATATGACATCACTGCTTTGTGTTTTGCCTTTATATCCGGCAAACTATCCACTGTCTCTCTGAAAATATTTGAGTTGAGTTGAGAGTTCTTTAAAGAGGCGTTCCCTGTGCTATTTTTCGAGTTTCACCTCAAAAAAGAGATATGTTGTTTTGATTGCCATTTTTCTAGCAATATGAAAGTTATTCACTTTTGAATGAGACATTGGATGTTAACATCACGGATGTTTAGTTATTGAGGTTTTTTCTTCACAAAATTTGAAATACTTGCTGCTAGACAATAATTTGCTTCTGGCAGGGCCAGTTCGTTTAACGCCCCAAATTAGAAAAAGGACAATGAAGTTTTTTCGTTAAAACAAAACATACAAATTTAAAAAGTTGTTAGGACAAAAAGGAAACCATTTTTTTAAGAGCAGGGGCCACGGGGTATGCAACTTTAACTAAAAAAAGTTAAAATGCTATTTTTACCCAGATAATTGATGCCCGGTGCGTGTGACTCTAGTTTTTAAGGTTGTTGCCACTTAATTGGTCAAAAGCACACTTATATTCACTCTTTAGCCACCAAAATATTCGAATTTCTGAAGCCAATTACGAAGTCAAATTTGAATAAAGGCTAGCGACAGCAAGTGGAATTGGTGGGTTTTTTTTTACATTCAATGACTCATAAAACCATGTGAGGGTTAATATAGCTCCCTGCATCTATTTGGCCTCCAAGAAACCATGGAATGACATGGTGTGACTGCAAACTCATTGTCTCTTACAGATGTCGGCCATTACTGTTGGGCATACACAGACGTACAGGGATGCAGTGGACAAGGCCGGTGTGACTGTAGATCAAAGTGTGAAGGTAAAACAAAAAAACCTGAACAGTAAAACTGAGTGATTCCTCGTAACAATTTCCCAGAATTATAGCATTGCTTAATCCTCCTATGGAAACATGCATTGTCAGCCTTGTTATTACTTTGGTAAATATCGGTCAAGACCCCCATTGGTTTGTACACAGTATGCCAGGAGGTGAGGAAGAAAATTTTGACCGATTGTGACCTCTTAAATAGTAGTAGGGTTAAAGCTGGTATATACATGTTTTTGGGGGTGGCATCCTGAAAAATTTGATTTTCAAATTGTATTGATAATTTTCTAGTGTTACATTAGTTATGAGCTTTCCAATGAGACATCGAACGAAAAATTTGACCCACGATAAGTATTAAATAATTAATTTATCTCAACATTTGAATTAGGAGTGTCCTGAATAATAATCTCAACAGACTAACAGCACACATGACAAGATATGTACGTGCACGTACAGTATATGCATTCTTGTTTTGTAACTGTTTGGACTACACCTGAGTTGTCCCATGGTACTATGGGGACCGAAGACGCTGTGGGGACAGCAGAAAGTCCCCATCACTCAGTCCTAATTTGCCTAACCAAAAAAAACTGCCCCATAACGCGGCGACGACCCGCCCAGACTAATTGTACATAATATGCACGTACATGTACATGTGTGTATACATGGTACACAGTGTCATACCGTATTGCGACCACGCAACCATGGAAGGACCACATAAAACAAGACTTGGAAAAACACAAAAGATGCAAAAGTAGCAGAGATTCTGATAGAACTTAGGAGTGTAGTGCATCCAGGCCGGCCTGGCTGCATATAGACCCACCGTGATGGCGGAGCAGTTTCACGAACAGCCACGATCATCACGTAGCTAGGATCGGACCATGCGAATACAAAACGCATGATTCCAGAATTATTATGCATACATGTATGAGCTGAAAACTTTCCAAAATTGTATTTAAAGGCCTGCTACAGGACATTATACATGTATTCCTTTAAATTTCGTTTGGAAAAGAAAATTGATCAAAGACACCGGCAAATTTGAAGACTGCTTACAAGTTACATAGAGCTGGCCAGCTCAGTTGGTAGAGCACGAGTACAGTGTTCCGTGGGCTACAGGTTCAAATCCCATTTCAGGGCTTCAGTCAATTTCTTTTCTCAGCCTTATACTTCAAGCGGAAAGTTCCAAGTAGCTTGTGTCTTAAGATCTATTCAGGGATTTTGTAGTTGAAAATTGCTGACTGAGTCGTCTTTTTTTTGTGTCCACAGTGTATGTATGCCCTAATAGCAAGGTGTGAAGAACTCAACAAAACCATGGAGCCTGTTCATCAGCTTGCCAATCAAATGTATCCTTTTGTATGACATATTTGGCTGGACGGGATATGGCGTGACAGAGGACTGACAAGTTACTGTATGTCTAATGAACTCCGTGCCCAAGTACCCCCTCAACGGTTGCAAAGGGAGAGTTGGGGAGACCACAGAGAGGGACATTCAAACACATTGCCGACGAGACCTGATGCTCACGTGAAGCCTCTATGACTTTGCACACACTAAGAATAATGCGTAGTATTCGTCGTAAATGTGCGAAGAATTACGCACACACGTTGTGTGCCCTAGTGGCGCTTTCAAAAGTGGTCCAAAACACCATATTCTGTTTGTGCACCGAGTCCAGAATAAAACAGAAAAAAAAAACAATCTAGGCATTTTTCAAGGAAATTAAGTTGCTATGCATTCTCAACGATGTGAAAAACATCTACCACGTCATTTATTCTTATTCTGTAACTGTGGGGACTTCACTTGGTTGTCCCATGGTATTATGGGGACTGAAGATGCTATGGGGACAGCAGAAAGTCCCCATAACTCGGTCCTAATTTCCCTAAGAATACAAACTTTCCCATAACGTGGTGACTGCCTGCGCACAGGAGTTTACAGTTATACACACTTCTCTACGTTGTGAGGCCGCGCTGTTTTCATGTCTGATGCTTTTGTTGCATTATTCCTTAATTCACTTCCAACAGCAAATCAATCAAGAGACTACTAGAAGAAATGGAGGCTGTCTGCAAGTAACGTCACAAAATTGCTGCTATAAACTCCAACAATTGTCCAATTGCAAATGATGTTTTCTAGTGTCTGAACTGAGTGCTTGTCTTTTCATCATGTCCGAACAATTTAAAATTTGGCTAAATGTCTTAAATGAAGAAAATAAACAGTTGCACTGTACATGTTCAGGGGCTACTTGCTGTCTATTATATGAACAAGGACAACAACTCTTCAATCAAAAATTGATGCTTTTAATTTGCACTGAACCTTGTACTTGTTCCAACATGTTTTGAGCATCTTCCTATTCGCTCCATTGCAAAAGACATTTTGTATTTACATGTTTGGCATCCGCGTAAACATTCACCAAAGATTATCAAAGTTGTTCACAAAGTAGCAGGTTCATTGTGTGTCTTTTTGCCCAACTGTAAGCAAAACTGTTAGCAATTATGAAACTGCAAAGTATTCTGGAGTAGGGCTGTGTATCGGAACCAGGTACCGCGTACCCGACTGTTGATGTCAGGAACCAGTTCCAGATTATGGGATCGGGTACCCGTAACCAACTTTACTAATAAAGCCGTGTCCGCACTGGACTTTTTTTTTGGAAGGTTTTACCGAGACGATGGTAAAATGAGAAATGGTCAAATGTGACCACTGTCCGCACTGGAACTTTCGACACGGGAAAATTTACCCAAAATTTACTAACTTCTCAGACATTTAAAAAGAAAGATTTTGAATGTCGTTTGTGGGAATTTTCAAAATGAAAACCACATTACATGAACATAGGAAACAAAACATATTATTTCACATTGATGACGCTTGCAAAAGTTGCAGTTTACACTGTAAAGCTATAAAGCTCACATAAAGCTCACTGTACACACTAGTGTCTTGGTGTATTGATGCACCGATGTGGTTGTATTTATTGTGCGGACCTTTATGAAAATCTTGACAGCAACTTCCGAGATTTGAATTGTGAGGGTTTTTTTTTTTACGGCTACCCAGGTACCCTTTTTTTTTGCAATAGGGTACTAGGTTCCTGTACTACCTGTAAATGCACACCCCTATTCTGGAGCTGAATGTTGCCAGCAGATAATACTTGTGTAATTTTACAACTCAAAACTTTGTCTACTGATTATGGAATGTGTTTTGAGGCTTTATATCAGTGGGAAACAGGGGTTATGAACCCTCCACTTGAGGCCTGTCTCCCCCCCCCCTTCCCCCGAGCAGAATTTGAGGAAGGCCATCGTGTTCTCCTTTCAGAAAATGAGGCGGCCCCATAAAGGGGTACAGGCTGACTGCTTGAGGCCTGTATCCCCTGCTCAGAATTCCGGGAAGGCAAAAATTAGGTTTTGTTTTTTATTAAAAATCCCATCGAGTTCCCCCTCCCCTTTCAGTAGACAAGGCCCCATAACTGTAACACTTAACAGGAGGGGGTGGGGGGGGGGGGGGGCTATATTCCCCTTCCTTGAGGCCTGTTTCTCCCCCCCCCCCCCCCCCCCCCCCTCTGTGGTGTGGTGTAACTAACTGCAAACGTATCCCAATTCTTGCCTTTACAACAAAGATGAATGTTGTGTATTGTGGTAAGGTAACATGTTCACAATGTATTATTAACAGTCCAGCTGATACCAATTTCATTAATATTGCACAATTGATATCGCACAAAAAACAGTTGTGCTTCATTTGGGGGGGGGGGGGGGGATGGGGGTTAACGGGTATTCTTGCATTATTATAACTTGATGGAATGTGTGAGGTGGATGAAGTTTAAAAAAATAAAATGTGAATATTGATAGGCATGGAAAGGGCCATCAGTACGTTAAAACCATCGTGCAATATAATAAAACTTGCACATATGATCAGTGTTACTTATAGAATCAAATTTTACTCGTGTGTAGTTCCCGTGTTGAATTGTGAATTAAAAATGTTACATGGTGCTATGCAAACTTGGATGTTGTAGGATCTTAATTATTGTCACATCTTGAACTTGGCTTAGCAATTTAAAAGGGCCTCATGTAATTTTTTTAAAATGGGGAAAATCAACCAGTTTCTCCATATGTAGCACGATATATGACAGAGGGCACCCCCCCTTTCGTGATGCACCCAGCATAGCACCCCAATCTCCCTATTAGTATTACTTATTAGTATTATTGCTATCTAGCACCCCCTCCCCCTAAGATATCGCAAAAGAATCCCGAGATTCTGGCAACCCATGAATGACCAACACAAAAGAGGCAAGGGGGGGGGGGGGGGGGGGTCTCCCTACATGCATTATCAGGAATTCTTGCATTCTCAGGAATTATCTTGAGATATCTAGGCCTTTAGTATGGGGGTGGGGGGGGTACTGGGTAGCGATAATCATCAGTCAAGGGTCAGGGAGGGTAACCCCTCTGTCACATAATAATGCTGGGTGGAGAGCTCTAGCTCCACTGTAATATACCCGCGCTTCCCTCTTCCCGGCCCCTTACTAAAAATGTATTTATAGGCCTAGGCTATAGGCCACACATTTGTATGAGGAGTTTTCCGCAAATTGTAGCTAGGCCTAGGCCCAAGTTTAGAATAAATTAGAAAGCAGCAAGAGTCAAGAAAATGGAAGGAAAAATCTAGCCTAATTTAAATCATAAACTTGAGAACCGTGGTGTGATGAGGGGTAGATGGGCACTAATTATTTTGTATTTTTTATTAGACAAAAAATGCGACATTGACAACAGACATGAATTCAATCTCTTTTTTGAAGTTGTGGTGGCTCTGAAAAGAGCCGGTTGTTTTTTTGTAGCCGAGGATTCAGCGTTTATTTGGCAGCCTTGGCGGTCTTCTTGGGCAGCAGAACGGCCTGGATGTTGGGCAGTACACCACCCTGGGCGATGGTGACACCGCTGAGAAGCTTGTTCAACTCTTCGTCGTTGCGGATGGCCAACTGCAAGTGACGGGGGTTGATTCTTGTCTTCTTGTTGTCGCGGGCAGCGTTGCCGGCCAACTCGAGGATCTCAGCGGCCAAGTACTCCATGACGGCGGCCAGGTAGACTGGGGCACCGGCTCCCACACGCGCGGCATAGTTGCCCTTGCGCAGGAAACGATGAACACGGCCCACTGGGAACTGCAGACCAGCTCTGGATGATCGACTCTTACCCTTGGCGCGCGCCTTTCCTCCTTTTCCACGTCCAGACATGTTGATAATGATGTTTTATTCGGGTATTTTACCAAGAAAATTAATTTGAATGAGATGCCATGTACGTTTTTATACGTTCTCGAAGGATTCCATTCAACCAATCATAACAAGGATTTTAGGTAAACCAATCACATCACTGCACGGGAATAATGTAATCCACGTCGTCTGTAAATTGTGATTCATACAACGTCCGCGTACAGTCGAGAAACGTGAAAATATTAGTGCCGTGTGCAACACGTAGCCAATCAACACACGTAATCGGTGCGCGGAAAAATTTACCGACACAATCCAGGATCCAAATTAGCATACGTAAGGGAAATGTCCAGAAAATTTGACAACCGTCATTCGATTTTCTTGCAGTTTGCCAGAATAAAGATATCTCATCATGCCTCCCAAGCCAAGCGGAAAAGGACAGAAGAAGGCCGGCAAAGCCAAGGGTGCTCCAAGCACCAACAAGAAGAGGAAGCGCAAGAGAAAGGAGAGCTATGGCATCTACATCTACAAGGTGATGAAGCAGGTGCACCCCGACACCGGCATCTCAAGCAAAGCCATGAGCATCATGAACAGCTTCGTCAATGACATCTTCGAGCGTATTGCCGCCGAGGCTTCCCGCCTGGCCCACTACAACAAGAAGTCCACCATCACTAGCCGTGAGGTGCAGACCGCTGTCCGTCTCCTCCTGCCCGGTGAGCTGGCCAAGCACGCCGTCAGCGAAGGCACCAAGGCCGTCACCAAGTACACCACCTCCAAATAAACGGTGTACTGAACGACAATCAAACCAACCGGCTCTTTTCAGAGCCACCACATTTTCAAAAAAGAGATTGGAAATCCATGTCTGTTTAATCTTTAAAATTTAATTGTCTTTCAAATCAAAAGTTACAAGAATACTTCCATACTATTGAGCTGTAAACACATTGCTTTAATGCAAAGCAAAACTATAAAGGGGGGGGGGGGGGGTCTGGGAATGAGTAGGAAATAAGAAACAAGAAAATTAGGTCTGTTAGACTATTTTCTTATAAAATAAGGTGCCCGGCCCAACATCAATGTAAAGCAAAATTACAAAGTCATTAGGGGTGGGGGAGATCTGGGAATGATTAGGAAATACGAAGCAAAGAAAATAGGTCTTAAGACTATTTTCTGTTAAAATAATGTGTAGGCATAGGGCCCTACGCCCAACATCAATGTAAAGCAAAACTATTAAGTCATTTCTATTTAAACTAGGTCAAAAAAGGAGTTCTAGGGTACTTTTTGTAGTCGGGTAGTACCATGGGTCCTAGCCCGACTGCGTCTGGCCGTACAGTACTATCGCAAGCTCTGTACTACAGAGCTTGCGATAGTACTGTACGGCCAGACGCAGTCGGGCTACATGGGTCCTTGCTCTATGGTTGTACTTGGCCTAAATTTCCATATAAAATCCACGATTTTCGATTCAAGAGGTACAGCCTACAGATGTCTTGAAATCACATAGCTGGAGAATCTAATTATTTTTGGAATTAAGCCAGGAATATTTCGGGGAAAAATCTTATTTCGGTGTCAGAGAGGAGGTTTACACTGTGAAAAAGGCTAAGTTTGGTGGGTGACGCCGTGATAATCAAATACCTGCACGTCGTCAGTAGCGTTCTCAAGTATAAATCAATTTTAAAAAAATAAACTAAAAAAAGTTAATCGTTCATGCATAGTTAGTATCCCACCCACTTTTTCTTCAATGTTATAGGAAACAAAACAAATAGATATTTTTAAATTGGCCTTATTTCGCTCGTAACCACCCCCCCCCCCCCCCAACGCCCCCGGCCCCTTGCCCTGGGCCTCTGTACTGTGCGGGCGGGGGGTACGGTACGAGCGAACATCACCATTTCGCTCGCACCTCCCGCCCTGTTAATTTGCAGGGCGGGGGTGGGTGTTGGATTAATCGATTGGGGGGGGGGGGGGGGGGGGGGGGGGGGGGGGGGGGGGGGGGGGTGGTTACGGCGCGGTACGGGTACGAGCGAACATCACCATCAGCCTAGTTTCGCCGTTGAGGGCGTAACACGGTGAGGGCATAGTATCCAAGTCCAGCTCATTCAATCATCAATGCAAGTTGCGTAACACACGAGGTAGGCAATTTTAGGCAAATTAATGCCGCTTTTGACATATTCCCGGTCACTCTTTCTTGGGAATTACATTTTGTGTGTGTTTGTGAAAACTGTCATGTCTGCCTTTCGTTTCTATGTGTAATTTATAAATATGATAATAAATGTCGAACTCTTTATACTACTAGAGGTAGACCCGTGAACGGGGGTCAGACAAGTCGACCGTTGAGACAACTCGACTCGGGACAAGTCGACCGTTGAGACAACTCGACCGTTGAGACAACTCGACCGTATGTGCGATAAATGGAAAGACAAGTCGACCGTTGAGACAAGTCGCCTCACATGTTTTGGGCCTAGTTTCGGGGATAGTACCAGGGATTTTGACGGCGGCTGATCGCCATTTGGGAGTGATGACTCATGATTTTTTTTGTTGCATATAAAACTTAAAAGAGCCGATATAGCGCAGCGTGATTGTCCGTGCACATCGTTCGTTTTTTTCAAGGCCACGTGCGCGCATCCCCGGTCAACGTGGCCGTACCGTGCACGGTGGCATCGTTTTTGCCGGGCCTGTGCGTCCATTTGTGCGTACATTTGCCGCGCTGGTCGACGTGCCCGCGTGCCGGGCCCGGCCCGGTCCTCGCAGGCGGGCGGGGCGCACCAGCCCGACGTGACGCCCTTTGTACATCGAGTATGCCCGCGCCGCACCCGTGATCGGTCTTGCCACAGATTTGTGCAACTTTTTCTGCTCCACGTGTATTCATTTCCATTAAGTCGAGCAGTCTCAACGGTCGAGTTGTCCCGAGTCGAGTTGTCTCAATGGTCGACCTGTCTCAACGGTCGAGTTGTCTCAATGGTCGACTTGTCCCGAGTCGAGTTGTCTCAACGGTCGACTTGTCTGACATTCCCGTGAACGTGGCGTTGTATACAATGCCACGCGCTTCCGTCGGGTAAATACAAGCGACAGCATTCTATCTTTTGATCCGCTACATATAATCATGTATAATTTTGCCCATAGGTGAATCACTTACTTGTTGGGCCTCCTGTGAATTTCCGCGAGTGTTGGATCTGGCATTGCCAAGAAATTTGAAGCATTTGATGTAAAGTACGGCACAACTTTGTCACAACGAATGTTTTCAAAATGATCAGAAATTCAAAGACAGGCATGACACTCTGGTACCCCGAGTTCCGCATGCGCAAAACAGAAGAAGTATCACCAGTGGGTACCCGACTAACCGTCTACATGGCAGGATGACCGTAATATACCATGTAAAATTCTGCTAAATCCACTTTGAAAGTCTGCCAAATCACCTAGCCCCACTAGTCAGCTAGTGTGGCCGTCGGTATGCTGCGCTGACACTTTGGTTCAGCGCAGCATACCGACGGCCACACTAGTGGGGCTACCAAATCACCCAGTTTATATTGCTGTTCCTATGTGCAAGGGTTTGTTTTAAGGATCTTTTAAAAAATGAAGGTTTTTCAAACCAAATGTGCCATATTTCTTTCCAATCTTTTTCATTTTCCTTCATCTTCATAATTCTGCCGAAAAAAATTTTCTGCTGATTTTCTGTACAACTCATTTTTGTATGCAAATATTCTGTCAAATGTAGCCGAAATTCGGCTAGAACGGTCACTCCATGTTAGTAACCGCGGATCACAATACTAATACTAGAGTGTTTTTACTATAGACTGAAGCGTGGCTATGTATATAGCCACGTTCACGGGTCTAGGATGGAGGTAGCTCTCATCATGCTCATGACTATGCTGAGTGGAGCGTTGAACTACGGACTACGGTACCTACGGAGGGTACCGTAGTTCAACGCTCCACTCAGTAGAGCTAGTTTGGAGGAATACTATAGAACACTGACATGTGTTCTTATTCCTCTATGGTTTAAAGTAGGCCTATATGCAAAACGAAGTGAACCAGCAGGACCACCGGTGTCATGCCAAAAACTGTCCGGTTCCAAATACTATAGTCATGGAGCTATAAACACAGTGTCCGCTTAGCGTGCATCCTGTGGCACGTTTGCGGTCAGCTTTCACATAGAGCAAGGACAAGACGTCACAAATGACATAGTTTTCATCTAGTCCGAAAATTTGGTAGGCCTACTCTCAATACAGTTGTTTAAAAGGTTCTCGGTATTTCACCAATTTTTAAAGGAGACTTTTCTTTAATATTTTGCAGTGGCTTGCACAAGAGAGGGAAGTCAAGTGATTACAAAATGAGGCCAAAGACTAGACTTGTACATAATAATAATAATAATAATAATTAACACTTATATAGCGCCCGGATCCATAATATGCTCTTAGGCGCTGTACACATTAAAAAGATTTAAAAAAATTACAGCATAAATATGTTTAAAAATGTGAACATGTAGATCAATACATACAATTACATTACAAGTCCAGTGAGGAAAAATTAGCTAGTAAAAAAAAAACATACTTTTTCTTTTAGCATTTAGCCATCAAAAAAACGGGTTTTTTGTCCATCCATGGCCCAACTGTTTGACAAGACTGATTTCTTCATTCATTGTCATTAGTCAGGTGCTAGACCCGTGAACTCGGCTATATACATAGCCACGCTTCGATCTATAGTAAAAACAATCTATTGTGATCCACGGTTAATGTGATCAAGTGACCGTTCTAGCCACCAACTGGGTGATTGGCAGACTTTCGAAGTGGATTTAGCAGACTTTCGAAGTGTCTTGTATTTAGTTGTAATTTGCACTTGCTAAAAGATGTGAACTTCCTTTCAACGATGTTAGTCTGCGGCAAGGAAGGGCTTTTCATAAAAACAATGCGGCAAAGCCCTGTGTTCTGTTGTCAAACAGACACCTCTAGTTTTCTTTTTCTGCTTCATCGCTCTGGATGATTTTGTTTAAGGGAAACATCATCCGAAATCACATCGGCTATAATAAGGGCCTAGTGCGGAACCAGACGAAGATTCGTCACAATAAAAAATTCTGTCAAAAAAAACCCAGTCACTGTGCATGTACAGTACCGAAAACAACCGGGGACCGGTTGACATGGTCTAATATCCACTGCCAAACTAAAAAGTTGTCTGAGCCAGTTACTGAGTCAGGCCATCATTGCCATACGGCATCGCCACAATGTATGGAGGAAGTATAGACCTTATGCGTAGCAGCCATCTTAGAGGGCAATGCCTTTGTCTTGCTGCAAATATATGCGTGAGTGAACATTTTGTGCATTCATTGTTACTGAAGTAAAATTACAAAAGATGCCCTTTAAGATGGCTCCAACAGATAAGGTCTGTTCAAGAGTTCTTCCATGGTTAGGCCAAGTTCATGATCAAAATGTGTCTGGCAAAGTGAACATCTTATCTTAATCATTTAATCTAATCGGGTCATTCTGGCCAATGATGCAGGGCCAAAGTTCAAAGTTTCATTCGTCGGGGGACTGGTAATTGCATGGTGCATCATGCATGGTCTGCTGGATCAATTCCTGCACCATAATTTAATACCAGACTGCCACTGAGTGCTTGTCCACACTGCCGCCTGATTGAAAATGTACATACACTGTACATGTATTTAACTTAAGGCATTGAAAAATAGACTGTAACTCCATGGTTTTACAGTTACATATATCTTTTGTTTGGCAGACTATTTAACCTGAAGCGATTCCAGCCAAAGAAAGTAGCCAACTCCAGTATATTATTGCTCACTTCATCACTGGTATATCCTCAAGTAACTGACGATGCCGATCCGAGTTGCAGTCATCGGTGGAGGGGCAGCTGGCCTGTGTGCTGCAAGATACCTCCGCGCTAAGCCAGACGTGTTTCAGGCAGTGGTGTATGAGCAGGCAGATCAGATCGGTGGAACTTGGGTGTACACGGAAAACGTGGGGAAGGACAAGTATGGCCTGCCTGTACATTCCAGCATGTACCAACGACTGAGGTGGGTTTTCATTAGTGCATTTTTAAATAATTATAGTATTCAGTTATTTTAAAGATTTTGAATATTTTAAATGTGTGAATCAAATTTTACTTGTTCAAGCCTGATCGGGCCGCAGATTGGGAATTGAGTGCACCTGTCAAAAATTATTATAAGAACTTTAAAAAACAATGCAAAAGAACTAATATATTTAAGCTAATTTTCCTCACAGAATCTCCCAAAAGTGGCTTTAGACAAAATTTGGAACTTGACAAAAACATCCAACTTATATGCCTTCAAGGTTAAACATCAAAAAACAAAACTACCCAATTATTATGAAATACCTAACTTGACTGTAAGTGAATAATAGTCTCAAACATCCTGTGAAATCATGGCATCTGGTGTGCTGTCATTTTCAAGAAAAGTGGAATTTTTGTATCAATTTTCAACACCTGTTTGCTGACCATCGTTGGAAAAAAATGGCCCAATTTACAAAATTTAGTTAATCCACATTTTGTTTGCAGTCGGTTACATATCTGTGAATGAGCAGGCAGCCTCGACTCCATGGGCGCGTGCGCGTTCCTTCACTAACCCCTGGCCGTGATGTACACGTAAACGATGCTGACTGGCTATTCAGAGCGTACTGCACAGGCATTTCAAAGATTGCACGCCGGGCGAGCCCGTTATGCGCTCGCGGGCTTTGCACGTCACGTCACGTACGAATATTCAAAACTGCGCGATGCCTGTACGATATGGATTATGGCAGCCTTGTTTTTTCGCTTAAAAAAACCCTGTTTCTGCAGTTGTAAAGGGACGAAAGGGGTACATGTAGGTACCTTTAATACAAATCTTTGCTAAATAACGCAACGTCCAAACCTTATGTTTGAAAGCATTGATTCATCAAAAACATAACTTTCAACATTTTAAAGATGGCGTCGGTGCGTAAAGCGGATAAACTGCAGCCTAATTATAATGTACCATATTTTGACACATTTAAATTACACAATTCCAGGGGTTGAGACCGCGCAAGGCATGATGGGAAACAACATGGCGCAGCAAGATCTCGTACCCATGGGAATGAGGTTGATGAGCGGGTGCTTGCCAGCTAGTCTGGTTCCCTGGCCTGACAATTCCTGATGCCTATAAATTGCTCAATTTCGTCGGAAGTAGGGTCAGGGCTAGGGAACCAAAAACAGCATTTTTTCCCATTTTTCCAGCAACTGTGAACACAAAACTTTAAACAAGTCAGTGGAACAATATTTTCTATAAAATACTAACACCAGTTCCATCCATTTCTAAAAATTACAACAAATGCAAATGTTGCATTTTACCTTTTAATACAAACAAGGACTGTTTCATCATAACATTTGAATAAAAAAAAAAATGCTAATTGGGTCTTGTGGATGATGGAATAATGGGTATCTTTGGAACAGCCTGTCCCAGTGTTTCCCCAAGATTTTCATTCAGTGTTGAGGACATTTCTGCATGGGTGGGAAAGTTCATATGGTTATTTCTTCTCCATGTGGCAAATAGCTTAAAAAGTAATGTACTCAGCTTGGGGAATTCTCCATTTTTACAGATAGGGGTGGTTGGGGGGGGGGAGTGGGGTGCGCAGCCCTTAAGTATAATAGAACAGACGACGTTCAAAGGGAAGGAAGGCTGTGTCAGTGTTTTTTTGGAGGAGGGCTGGAAAAAGGGTGTCTCATTTTTCATGCGACCCAGAGTTGAGCATTACAAAAATAGTTGTGTGAAATGCATTTCCTGGATACGGTGGCCCACAACTGTCACGGCAAAAGCAAAAGCGCCGCGGCAAGCGCAAAAGCGCCGCGGCAAGCGCAAAAGCACCGCGGCAAGCGCAACAGCGCCGCGGCAAGCGCAACAGCGCCACGGCAAGCGCAAAAGCGCCACGGCAAAAGAAAAAGCGCCACGGCAAAACAAAAAGCGCCGCGGCAAAAGAAAAAGCGCCGCGGCAAAACAAAAAGCGCCGCGGCAAAAGAAAAAGCGCCACGGCAAAACAAAAAGCGCCGCGGCAAGCGCAAAAGCGCCACGGCAAGCGCAAAAGCGCCACGGCAAGCGCAAAAGCGCCAGGGCGAAAGCAAAAGCGCCACGGGTTTATTGGGAAGGGGCATAATCATACATGCCGCTACTACATCAAAAAATAAAATGGGAAGGAGAATGGCCGCCACCAGGAATTCTTATTAAGCACAGAATTTAATTCTTTGAGAAGTGATTTTATGGCTGAGAAAATAGCAAGGCCAAGGAAAACCGGTCAGGAAATAAATCGTCGATATTAATTTGTTGTAGGATAATTATTATTCCAAGAGAGTTGCTGCCGTGAATCAGAGTTTATAAAGGAGTGGGACTCACTATCAGCACCATCAGGGCCGTTCCTCATTTCTTTACATTTCGTGGGATGCAAACAATTACGAGGACGGGAGGCTCTGTGAGCTGATGCATTTTTGAAGACATTTTTCCCTTCCGACTAGCATGCAGAGAAGAGTTCCGTTAATTTGAGACTTAGTTCACCCATGGGCGTCGCGAGGGGGGCAAGGGGGCGCTTCCCCCCCCCCCCCCCCCCCCCCCCCGGGAAGGGGAAAAAAGAGAAAAAAAGAAAAGAAAAAGAGGCGCGAAGTCATAGTGGTGTAAATTGAATGATTTTGGGGGGGGGGGGGGCAAAATGTCCCTACCCCCGTCTAAAACTGAGAAATCGAGAATTTGTTCAGAAATACAAGATTTTTTTGGGAAAAATATGTTTTGCCCCCTCTAGAAAAAATCCTGGCGACGCCCATGAGTTCACCGGTGTGTTTACCAGTGTAGGCACACAATTGATCTGCCCAGAGTTTGGATATAGAATAAGAAAGAAAGAAATTAATTCAGAACCTAGAACTCATTGGCTCACCCACCCCCGGCTCAAGAAACCAACAAGCCGAACAAGACCTCATGATGCTTAGCGATACCGATGATGAGTTGCCCTGTGGACAGTCTTCCACATCATCGCAGAATCAGCCTGCAGGGCAGAAAGAGGGCTTGTTTCCGGCATCAAATAGTTCCGTATTCACTCGAAACAAAGCAAACGGCTCTTTTCAGAGCCACCAAATTTTCATAGAAGAGCTTAGAACTGTGCATCTCAACGATAACACTTCTCCTTTGTTTAGTGTCTCTCCCTTACCACCCCCCCTTTTTTAAGTTAATTTATTTCTTTCTTATTCTATATCCAAAGTCTTCGCCTGTGTTACGTTCCTTACATGAAATCCACGACCTAACCTCCTCTGTCGAAAGCGTTGCAACTGTCTAATAGAACGATCCATTTCTCGATTTGTGAGTTATCTTCAACTCAGTCGTGTTTATTGGGAAGGGGCGTAATCATACATGCCGCCACTACATCTAAAATTAAATGGAAAGGAGTGTGGCCGCCACCATGAATTGAGAAGTGATTTTATGACTGAGGAAATAGCAAGGAAAACCGGTCAGTGCAAGCAACGTTCAGCGAAGAGTTTTGAAATTCCCGCTCTCTGGGAATTTCTAACCTAATGGGCCCGCGGGCGAGTTACGTGTTGACAAGCCTTACCCACCCACTGCCGCAGCCCTGCAGGAGAGCCTTAATCGACTTCCTAGATGTGTATGATATACTGAAAAAGAAAAAAAAATTAACTCATACACTCTGGGCAGCTCACTTGCGTGCCTACACTGGTATACACCTGTGAAAAAAGGCTCAAATTAACGGAACTCTTCTCTGCATGCTAGTCGGAAGGGAAAAAAATGTCTTCAAAAATGCATCAGCTCACAGAGCCTCCCGTCCTCGTAATTGTTTGCATCCCAAGAAATGTAAAGAAATGAGGAACGGCCCTGATGGTGCTGATATAGCGAGTCCCACTTTCCCTCTCCTTTATAAACTCTGATTCACGGCAGGAACTCTCTTGGAATAATCTTGGAATCATCCTACAACAAATTAATATCGACGATTTATCAGTCCCTGAACGTTGCTTCACTGACCGGTTTTCCTTGCTATTTTCTCAGCCATAAAATCACTTCTCAAAGAATTAAATTCTGTGCTTAGGCCAAAAAAAAAATATTCGGTCTCTGGTCAGACCAAAGTTCCGGAATTGACGCGGCCACGCGGCTTTTTTTTTTTGTTTTCCTTTTTTTTTCTTTTTCTTCAGCTTGGATTGTGCAGACAAGGTGGGTACTATTTTGCTTTTTGGTGTCCTCATGTACATTGGTGGCCTCCATAATTTGCCTTGGTGCTTTCGATCATTTGCCTTGGTGCAATTTCCCATTCCTTGGTGCTCTTTGGTAAAAAAAATTGAGGGGATGCGGAAATAGAGGGCGCTGTTGGAGCTACCGCGGAACATTTTGGAAAAAAAAAAGATCGACGCGCATGCTTAAAATCGACGCGCGCGCTGACCAGAGACCGACTTATTTTTTTTTTTTGGCCTTAATAAGAATTCCTGGTGGCGGCCATTCTCCTTCCCATTTTATTTTTTGATGTAGTAGCGGCATGTATGATTATGCCCCTTCCCAATAAACCCGTGGCGCTTTTGCTTTCGCCGTGGCGCTTTTGCGCTTGCCGTGGCGCTTTTGCGCTTGCCGTGGCGCTTTTGCGCTTGCCGCGGCGCTTTTTGTTTTGCCGTGGCGCTTTTTCTTTTGTCGTGGCGCTTTTGCGCTTGCCGTGGCGCTGTTGCGCTTGCCGTGGCGCTGTTGCGCTTGCCGCGGCGCTGTTGCGCTTGCCGCGGCGCTTTTGCGCTTGCCGTGGCGCTTTTGCTTTTGCCGTGACAGTTGTGGGCCACCGTACCTGGACCCTCCAATTCCAACAATTTAATGATTGCAGAACAAACCTCCCTAAGGAGCTCATGATGTACCCGGGTCTACCCATCACAGAGGGCGGAAGGACCTCGTTCATCAAGCACACTGAAGTCCTGCAGTACATGAATCGATACGCGTGGACGTACGACTTGCATAAATGTATTCAGGTAAGGCTTTGGAACATTTTGAGGCATTTTGAGTTGTTACAACAATCGTTATGCATTACCATTATTACGACACTCACTAGAAAACACGTAGATATTAATTGCAGACCCACCTCTGTCTGAGATTTGAATGGGCCGGCTGACTTTAGAAACTTTGGTGGTTGAGTGGTTCTGACATCATCCCTAGTAAGCAGGAGGTAGTGGGTTCGAGTCCTGCCCGAGAAAGTCATGAAGTTTTTTCAATGGTTTTGAGACAGCATTAAGTAATAATAATAATAATAATAGTGAATATTTATAAAGCGCACGTATCCACCAGGACTGGTACTCAAGGCACTACATCATTATTACCCCTGCTCATTGGGCACATGAAACATTCCAAATACATCTCAGCTCCCTGTGGAGTATACAGCTCGATACAGCCTGTTAGGCGCAAGGAAGCTAATTCAATCACAATAACCATCTCTGCCCTCACAGGTACCCATTTACTCCTGGGTGGAGAGAAGCAATGAGTGACAAAGTGCCTTGCCCAAGGGCACACGCACAATGACCCCGCCAGGACTCGAACCTACAACCTGCAGCTTTACCCGCAGACCACGAATCAGTGCCCTTATAACCACGAGGCCACAGTGCTTCACACACAGTGCTCACAAAGTTGACCCAACTTTCCTGCCAAAACAGGTGGATGAGTGGTTCAGACATCAACGTTAGGATGTAGGAGGTGGTGGGTTCGAGTCACACCTTAGTATATCATTTGTTGACATAAGTTATGGGCTCCGTGCACAAGTACACCCTCAATGGTAAGAAAGGGAGAGTTTGGGAGACCATTAGAAAATTGATATACCAGTACCAGACAGAACAGTAGTTATAAAACTAAGGGCAGAAGCCAATATTAACAGTTTGTTCTGTCATCAGTAAGCCTTTTCACTGTTTTTGCACTCAGCTTCTGACGAGGGTTCAGTCTGTGAAGCCGATCGTGAACTGCAACAAAACAAGCTGGGAAGTGACCGTGAAGAGTGTGAAGGACCCGGACGCCACACCGCAGGTCAATGAGTTTGATGCTGTGATGGTCTGCAATGGGTAAGTGCTTAGAGTTCTGGATTCCGTACATGAACAGTGAATGGTGCTTAGTGATCATTCGGTGACTGCTCTATGTTCCGACACCCCTATGTTCCGACAACCTAGATTGTGTTACTCCCGGTTAGGGTTAGGGTTAGGGTTAGGAATAGGAATATGTGCAGTCGGAACATAGGGGTGTCGGAACATAGAGGTGTAACCGATCATTCACAAGAGCTCTTGAGTGGGACACAAAGTCTGCATGCAAGTATGGGGGAAGTTCATGTAACCTGAAAAAATGACACACCTGGGGAACTCACAAAAACTACTACAACTAAACTAAACTTGGGATCTTTGAAGGGAAAAGTCGGGAGGAGATTGAATTAATAGGGACAAGGGACACAAATTCTAGATTTCGAACAAAAAAAAAAAGACAAAAAGAATTTATTTACAAGAACATTCAAAATGACCAGATAATTATAAAACCAAGACCACGAAAATCAAGACTAAGAGCAAAGACTTAACCCTAAAACCAAAACTAAAAGAAATTTAAACCAAGTTAAAAACCAACACAGTGTGTATAATGAGTAGACCTTCCAAGACACTTTGGAGGAAAATCAATGACTCTTGCAGAAATGAAACACACAGCGCAGGGCACACCCAAGAAAAAGGGGAAAGAGAGGAACTCAAAAATATATTGCTTTCTTCTCTGCTGCTGGTCTGCTACTGAGGGGTCTGTGGTCTTACAGGGTGGCAGGGCACATGGTCTTGGGGGAATGGGACCAATGGCATGAGTCTAATTTACATACAATGTGGACTGTTACTGGGGAAAGCTAATCAGGGGGAAACACTACTATGAAAGGGTTGGGGGAAGCTAATAAAAAGGCTGGATTTACTAAGGGGGGCTACTCCTATACTAAAGCAATACAAAAAATACTTTGGAAAAATTCAAGTTAAATTTGGCCCTGCCACACGCACATGAAAACCTGTATAAGCACCAGCAGCCGCTTTCACTGAACTTTACGCAATGGCGTAGCCCCTCTTGCACCACAATGTATTGCGTAAGTTGCGCAACATTTCAGTTATGACACATTTTGTGAAAGTTTCATAGTGCGTAAGTCAGCGTCTTGCCCAACAAATTATGGCATAACTCATCAGTTAGGTCTGTAAGTTGTGGTGTAGCGACTGAAAATGACCTATCAGCAAATCTTTATCATTGTGGAGCCTGCTATTTCTGATCAAGGTTGATACAAGACACTCACAGCTTTGTGTTTGAAGTAAATGAATTGCTGTTTTACTCATGATGTTTATTTTTAGAGATGCTGCACAATTCTGAAGAAAGTCAGACAAAACTACTCTCCAGTAAGATTCCTGAATCCTTCAAAATTCTCCAGTGTGCTGTAAAATGTAATTCGATATTAAATGGGCGTGAAGCCCCATAGTCATGTTGAGTATTTGTGACGGGGCTTACCTTTTTTGGGATCCTTCAAACTCCTCCTGGCGTATCTGAAACTTCTGGGAGTGGTGGTTCTTTCAACACTTGTATGTGACTCCACTGTTTGTGACTCCACTGTGTCTAATGTTTTATAAAGTGACAGAACTGTTTGTGGCAGGTCTGCCTATCAACATTTATGGGTAAACACCGTCCGATCCATTGATGAAAAGAAGTACTTTATAAGTGAATCAATCAAAAGGGACAATAGATTTGCGGAGAATCAAAGACATTAGAATTCAACAACTGTTTGTCTTCTAAACACACGGTGATAATAAATGAGATGATACTCTGTTTCAAGTCGTTGATTTAAGTATAGACGGAGTTTAGGAAGTCAAAGAATACATCAGTTACCATTCACTAGAATTATACAATACCCATAAACTAAAAGATCACTATGAAAATCACTGTGAGACCATCTGATCGGTTGCCCGTCAACGTCCGGCGGTAGAGACGCTCGGTCTGTGATTCTGCTGAGTCCTGTGGTCCAACTTGACGATGACTCGGTTGGTTCCCTGTCCAGTGACGATGGACAATATGGACATGGACAGTAAGTGTGGCAAAACAAATTTTTTGGCATAATTTTGATCAAACTTTCTGTTTCTGTTTCTGTTTCTGTGGGAACGTGCTTCTCTCAACAGTCAGTATGCGGTGCCCAGTTACCCGGACATCCCTGGCTTGGAAACATTTTCAGGAAAAGTCATCCACAGTCACGAATACCGCCACCCGGAGGATTTCAAGGGCCAGACGGTGGTCTTGTTCGGTGCCGGACCGTCTGGCCGTGACATCTGCATCGATCTTCATACCTTCGTTAACAAAATCTACCTCAGTCATCACATCCCGAGCCTCTCCGCGGTGCTTCCTGATAACTTACAAGAAGTCCCAGATATACAGTCTATAGACAAGGGCCGCGTGGTGTTCACAGATGGGCAAAGCGTCGAGGCCGATGTGCTGATGTTGTGCACAGGATACCTCTACGACTTACCGTTCTTGACGCCGGAGTGCGAAGTTGTCGTAGACCGGAAGAGGATATCGCCGCTTTATAAACACATCCTGCACACCAAGCACACCTCGCTGTCTTTCATTGGAGTTGTCTGGACTATCAGCCCCTTCCAGTTACTAGCATGCCAGGTACGGTTTGCCATGGCTGCCTTGGACGGCACCATGATCCTACCCAGCAGGGCAGACATGGACGCCGACACGCAACGTGATTACGAGTATCGTCGCGATGAGTTAAAGTACCCACATCACTACGCTCACAAGATGGACCACTTGCAGTGGGAGTACAACAAGGAACTGCTACGGCTTGCTAATGTTGTGGATGACGACGGGGCCACTTTACCTCTCTTCAAGGAGCTTTATGCCCTGACTCGACGCTTGCGAGCGAAGGATCTTGTCAATTATAAGAAGCGCATCGTTGAGACATCTGACGACTTGACTAGCTGGCAGGTTTTGTAACCTTCGATTTCAACCTGAATCCATGAAAATATGCAATAGCCCAATCGCCCAGACTTTTACAAATTATAAACAAATCGGAAAGCCCATTTCAAAGGCAATAGCATAATACAATATACCAGCTATTGTTCAGATCTGTCACAAGGCAGTTGCGTTATACAATGCTTTCATCATTAAAGTGGACCTCCCTGGCTGTACAGCGATATTGATGTCATCTATAGACAAATTGGGCGGCAGCCATTTTCTGAAGTGGCACCAGGCTCGTGCGAGTCACGCTCAGGTACTATGCACTCCGGGCTCCTTCGCCCTATAGGAATACCAAAATGCACGATTGCCTCATCTTTGAGAACCACTACATATAGCACTGCCAGATTCCGCTACATATAGCACTATGTGTCCCAATTTGTGTTAGAACAAAGAAAGTTGGTTTGACAGTAGATTCATTGGATTTTGGAGGGTACAGGAACTTTTTTAAAAAGAGTACATTTATGCAAGGACAGAATAATTTTGAATGAAGTAATAGATATTTGATTTCAGATTTCAATTTTAATTTTTGTATGCATGATATTACTTACTTATTCCCTCTGTTCTCAAGTAACGAGAAAAAGAGTGGTTAAAACAACGAAAACAAATGTTGAAAATGAGTGTGCTGGGTGATGATAATGAGTGTAATACAAAAGTATCTATTAAATGTATGTTTTATGGAATTTTATGATCAAACAAATGTAAAAAAAACTTAAGCTATGATAAAAAAAATGTAAAGAATTAAGCTAAATAATATCAATAAAAAACATATATATTTATTCACATATATTTCCTCCAAAGTTGTTGTTTCCAATGTACTTTCACTATTTAGTCTGGCAAAATCTTTGAAAGATAGAATTAAAAAAAAAATGTCAGTGGAGTCAATTTCTTGTCCTAGTAAATTCTCAGGTTTTGGGGATTCAGGAACAAATGAGCTCATAATGCATGTCGATTAATTGATTAATATTTTAAAACAATATATCCTTCAGGTTATTTGCGAGAGTCACTTGTACACTGTGGCACACTCTTTTAGGCTGCCATGTTTATTTGAACTATTTGCCTCGCTTTGATTTTCAATATGGCCTACCCTGAGAAAGGTATATTGTGGCTGACAGGCTTGGCAGTTTGAGAAAATCTGGGAGTTGTAAGTTTTTCAACATGTGTTATGTGATCCAACGGCATCTAATGTTTTATAAAGTGACAGAACTGTGTTTTGGAAAATCAGATTCTGCATTGAGGTCTTATAAAACAGAGATTGGTTAACTTGACATTTCAAATAAAAACTGTATATACAACTAATGATGGTGAATCTCAACTTGTGACTCTAGGTGGCCACCCCCCCCCCCAAAAAAAATCCCAAACAAAACAGAAGACCTCAAAACTTGTGTACATTTCTACAACCAGTGAGATGCATGTATTACAAATTTGGAATGGAATTTTCGGAGAGTTCATGTGACATGTGCTACATCGGCATTATAAGTGTGGCAAAACGAATTTGTTACATATTTGATAAAACTGTCTGTTTCTTTGGGAACGTGCTTCTCTCAACAGTCACTATGCCGTGCCCAGTTACCCGAACATCCCTGGCTTGGAAACGTTTTCAGGAAAAGTCATCCACAGTCACGAATACCGCCACCCGGAGGATTTCAAGGGCCAGACGGTGGTCTTGTTCGGTGCTGGATCCTCTGGCTGTGACATCTGCGTGGATCTCCACACCTTCGTGGACAAAATCTATTTCAGTCATCATATCCCGAACATCGACGCCTTGCTTCCTGATAACCTGCGACAAGTCCCGGATATAAAGTCTATAGACAAGGGCCGCGTGGTGTTCACAGATGGGCAAAGCGTCGAGGCCGATGTGCTGATGTTGTGCACAGGATACCTCTACGACTTACCGTTCTTGACGCCGGAGTGCGAAGTTGTCGTAGACCGGAAGAGGATATCGCCGCTTTATAAACACATCCTGCACACCAAGCACACCTCGCTGTCTTTCATTGGAGTTGTCTGGACTATCAGCCCCTTCCAGTTACTAGCATGCCAGGTACGGTTTGCCATGGCTGCTTTAGACGGCACCATGATCCTACCCAGCAGGACGGACATGGACGCCGACACGCAACGTGATTACGAGTATCGTTGTGATGAGTTAAAGTACCCACACCACTACGCTCACAAGATGGACCACTTGCAGTGGGAGTACAACAAGGAACTGCTACGGCTTGCTAATGTTGTGGATGATGACGGGGCCACTTTACCTCTCTTCAAGGAGCTTTATGCCCTGACTTGGCGCTTGCGAGCGAAGGATCTTGTCAATTATAAGAAGCGCATCGTTGAGACATCTGACGACTTGACTAGCTGGCAGGTTTTGTAACCTTCCATTTAAATGTTGTTGGAAACCTGAACCATTTCAATGTACGAGAGACCAGTCACGAAGACTTTTACGAAGCACAAACTAATCTGACATTTTAAAGGCCCATTTCAAAGGTGGAGGCATAGTGCCAGCTAGGTCTGTCATGAGGCAGTTGCTTTGTACAATGCTTTCGCCATTGAAGGGGGCCTACATGATAATAGTGTGCTTCAATAGGTCTATAATGTACTTGGTACCTGAGTTTGTGTAAAAACAAATTTAGGTTTGAGTGTACAACAGTGGAATTTTGGAGAAAACAGGAACTTTTTGAAATTGAAACATTTTTTAAGAGTAACTTAAAAGAGTAACTTTATGTTCCTCTTATGCAAGGAAACAATAATATTGAATGAAGTAAGTAATACATATTTGACTTCAGATTTCAATTTCGATTTTTGTATTCATAATACAAATTACTTATTCCCTCTGTTCTCAAGTGACTACAGAAACGGAGGTCAAAACAACACAATTGTAAAAATATGTCATTTCACGACTTTTAAGTTTTATAAATATTTATAATGAGTATGCTGCTTGATTATAGTGACTAACCCTCCTTAACTTCAACTTAAAACTATCACAAACTGTCACAAAATCTAACCCCCACTGCTCTTGACAGTTTTTGTACAAGCTGCTCTCCAACAGCCACAAATCCCTATGGATCCAACTGTCAGAGCCTATTGAAGTGGTTTGGCAGATAGTATGACCACTGATACAGGTACAGCTTGTGTAGCAGCCATTTTAAAATTGTCAATTGTGCCATGATGAGGGCAGTTGGCAGATTTGGTGAAATCTGTCACCTAATGTTTTGTTTTTGATATGTAGGGCAATGCTCTGCAAATTGTCACTGAGCACAGGAGGGTTAGCTAATGAGTGTAATACAAATGTATCTATTGCATATATATTTTAATGGAATTTTATGATGAAACAAATGTAAAAAATAAAGCTTAATATTTCCCCTAAAACTTATTTTTCGCCAAAGTTGTTTTAGCCTTCACTGTTTAGTCTGACAAAATCTTAGAAATATTGTATTAAAATACATGTATCTTTTAAAGGAGTCAATTTGTTTTTATAGCAAGAATAAACTACCCGTAAATGAAAACATTAATTGAAGTGGGGCTGAGCATCGGAACCGGGTATCCGATTACGGATTGGATACATGTAACCAACTTTACAAATTACTTAGTAACTTCTCAGACAATGAAAAAGAAAGGTATTGAATGTCATTTGTGGGGAATTTTCAAAATAAAAACCAGGCTACATGGGAAACAAAACAGAAGTTGCAGTTTTCTATAAATAAAGCTAAGACCTTTGTTATGCTGCCACCATTTCAGTCTTGTTCCATGTATCCAATAACAGTACTGAATGATAATTCTGTATGCAAAACGGAACCAGACTATTTTTCCTTCCAGCCTCGCTTTGGTAAAATCCAAATGGCCGCAACGTGATTAATAGTCTGTAAAGCTCACCATACACACATGAATCACTGCATTGACTCAACAATGTGGTAAAGTGGTAGTATCGCACCCCTAAATTGAAGTTAGTTGAATGTTTTAAAACAATATTTCCTGCAGCTGAGGTTTTTTTTAATATTAGCAGCTGCCTTTACTTCCATTTCAGCCTTAAGAGATATACATGTAGTAAACACAACAGGAGTGCGCCATTTGGTTTTACGTAGACTCGTTTGTACTTACTGAAATTGACCCAATTCAAATGGTGTTCTCCTGTTGTGTCTGCTATTGTTTTATGCATTAGATAACACAAGAATAATGTTTATAATATACGTGGACATTTTAAACTTTCAGTTTAGTTGAATTTTAAGAGCACTCTTGCCATTAAGAGTCCAGAAAATGTCTATTTTATTAAAAACTATGTAGTTTAATAATTTCATTAAATTGTAAGCTTTCTAAAGACATTATTTTTAAAATTTCTACATATTAATTAAAGAAATTGAAAGAATTAAAGGGAATATACATCATTTGCTTTTGCTGTAATTTTCAGAAATGGATGGAATTGGGGGGTTGGAAATATAAAGCAAATATAGATGCACTGACTTTTTGAAGGTTTTGGGTTCGAAAATGCTATAAAAACCAAGAAAAACGATCATTTTCCTGTAGTCTGGTTCCCTGACTCCATATAAGAAGAAACAGAGCAGTTTACATACATTGGGGAATTGTAAGGTCAGGGAACCAGTCTAGCTGGCTCGTACCCGTTCATAGGTTTGTAATCGATTGCAAACAAGTGCAATGGTCAATTGGGGCCGGTATTTGAAAAAAAGCCAGTTGTTTCCAACGCTGATCGGCCGATCAGCGTTGGAAATTGATACAAAAATACCACTTTTCTTGAAAATGACAGTATACGAGGTGCCATAATTTTACAGGATGCTTTAGACTGTCATTTACCAACATCCTATTAAGGTATTTCGCAAAAACTTGGTAGTTTTGTTTTTCGATGTTTGCAAATGTTGTATATTCCCTTTAAGTTTTCAGCTATGACATTAAAGTTTAAAATTTAGATCTTTATGCAGATCAATTATTATTGTGGATAACATTTATTAAAAATACCCATGCAGTCCGAATGTGAAAAATTTATTTGGAAACATTGATGTTGACTTTAATTTCTTTCACTTGAAGTGATTTGTTCGTACATGTACATTTATGCGTTGTCATCTTGAGATCATCAACCTGTCCAATCAGCTGTCCTGTTTCTTATCTTGCTCATTCGCCTTTTACGTTTTGAGTTGTAGTGCACTTGCATATTTACACAGGTGCCAGTATATTCTTAAGGCGGTTTCTGCACAGTGTATGGGAAGATGGGATAACACTACATTGTTAAACACAAAATGCCTGAGACAGTTTACCAATTCCTATTGGTCAAGAGAGCCTGTCACGTGGGTGGTTTTCAACCACTGATAATTGTAACACCAGCTGGACACATCGCAGGAGATTTTCAGCACTACGCGCGTTCTTCGAAACTTCTTCGTACTTCGAAATACGCCCATAACGAATGTATGTGTACGGAAAAAAATATCGCGGCCGGCCAAGGGTGTTTTACAAAACATGAAGACCGTTGAACAAAATCGTTGGAAATGTGTGAATTAGTGACTTGGGATAGGTCGCCGATATTACATGGCAGGAACCGAAGCTCTAAATTTGCAGCAATTTGAATGATGTGACCCAAAATATACTTTCAATAATGCATGTGAAAACAGGTACATGTATTAAAAGAATTGACTCATTTAAATAGAACATCAGGCTACTTCTTTTGTTTATACCCCATTGGTTGTTAATATCTATACGAATGATGCTTACTTTTCTTTTACATTGCAATCCAAATGCGAGGCAAGAATGCACGAAAGGCTCGCGAAGATCACGCCAAGTGCGCATGCTCGTGATATCGTCATCTACTACCCGCCTATTTCACGGCCTGCCCTGCACAGGAAGACATTAAAATTACTCAACCTTTTACTAACAAAACATATATATTTCTGCGGGTTCCAATGTGTCAAACGAGTCCACTGAAGGCTGAAGGGATTTAAAAAAACCAGTATAAAATCTTCCAATTCTGGTTGCCAGATTCCACTACATATAGCACTGTGTCCCAATTTGGGTTAGAACAAAGAAAGTTGGTTTGACAGTAGATTCATTGGATTTTGGAGGGTACAGGAACTTTTTAAAAAAGAGTACATTTATGCAAGGACAGAATAATTTTGAATGAAGTAATAGATATTTGATTTCAGATTTCAATTTTAATTTTTGTATTCATGATATTACTTACTTATTCCCTCTGTTCTCAAGTAACGAGAAAAAAGAGTGGTTAAAACAACGAAAACAAATGTTGAAAATGAGTGTGCTGGGTGATGATAATGAGTGTAATACAAATGTATCTATTAAATGTATGTTTTATGGAATTTTATGATCAAACAAATGTAAAAAAAAACTTAAGCTATGATAAAACAAATGTAAAGAATTAAGCTAAATAATATCAATAAAAAACATATATATTTATTCACATATATTTCCTCCAAAGTTGTTGTTTTCAATGTACTTTCACTATTTAGTCTGGCAAAATCTTTGAAAGATAGAATTAAAAAAAAAATGTCAGTGGAGTCAATTTCTTGTCCTAGTAAATTCTCAGGTTTTGGGGATTCAGGAACAAATGAGCTCATAATGCATGTCGATTAATTGATTAATATTTTAAAACAATATATCCTTCAGGTTATTTGCGAGAGTCACTTGTACACTGTGGCACACTCTTTTAGGCTGCCATGTTTATTTGAACTATTTGCCTCGCTTTGATTTTCAATATGGCCTACCCTGAGAAAGGTATATTGTGGCTGACAGGCTTGGCAGTTTGAGAAAATCTGGGAGTTGTAAGTTTTTCAACATGTGTTATGTGATCCAACGGCATCTAATGTTTTATAAAGTGACAGAACTGTGTTTTGGAAAATCAGATTCTGCATTGAGGTCTTATAAAACAGAGATTGGTTAACTTGACATTTCAAATAAAAACTGTATATACAACTAATGATGGTGAATCTCAACTTGTGACTCTAGGTGGCCACCCCCCCCCCCAAAAAAAAAATCCCAAACAAAACAGAAGACCTCAAAACTTGTGTACATTTCTACAACCAGTGAGATGCATGTATTACAAATTTGGAATGGAATTTTCGGAGAGTTCATGTGACATGTGCTACATCGGCATTATAAGTGTGGCAAAACGAATTTGTTACATATTTGATAAAACTGTCTGTTTCTTTGGGAACGTGCTTCTCTCAACAGTCACTATGCCGTGCCCAGTTACCCGAACATCCCTGGCTTGGAAACGTTTTCAGGAAAAGTCATCCACAGTCACGAATACCGCCACCCGGAGGATTTCAAGGGCCAGACGGTGGTCTTGTTCGGTGCTGGATCCTCTGGCTGTGACATCTGCGTGGATCTCCACACCTTCGTGGACAAAATCTATTTCAGTCATCATATCCCGAACATCGACGCCTTGCTTCCTGATAACCTGCGACAAGTCCCGGATATAAAGTCTATAGACAAGGGCCGCGTGGTGTTCACAGATGGGCAAAGCGTCGAGGCCGATGTGCTGATGTTGTGCACAGGATACCTCTACGACTTACCGTTCTTGACGCCGGAGTGCGAAGTTGTCGTAGACCGGAAGAGGATATCGCCGCTTTATAAACACATCCTGCACACCAAGCACACCTCGCTGTCTTTCATTGGAGTTGTCTGGACTATCAGCCCCTTCCAGTTACTAGCATGCCAGGTACGGTTTGCCATGGCTGCCTTGGACGGCACCATGATCCTACCCAGCAGGACGGACATGGACGCCGACACGCAACGTGATTACGAGTATCGTCGCGTCGAGTTGAAGTACCCACATCACTACGCTCACAAGATGGACCACTTGCAGTGGGAGTACAACAAGGAACTGCTACGGCTTGCTAATGTTGTGGATGATGACGGGGCCACTTTACCTCTCTTCAAGGAGCTTTATGCCCTGACTCGACGCTTGCGAGCGAAGGATCTTGTCAATTATAAGAAGCGCATCGTTGAGACATCTGACGACTTGACTAGCTGGCAGGTTTTGTAACCTTCCATTTCAACCTGAATCCATGAAAATATGCAATAGCCCAATCGCCAAGACTTTTACAAAGTATAAACCAATCGGAAAGCCCATTTCAAAGGCAATAGCATATAGTACAATGTACCAGCTATTGCTCAGATCTGTCATGATGCAGTTGCTTTATACAATGCTTTCATCATTAAAGTGGACCTCCCTGGCTGTACAGCGATATTGATGTCATCTATAGACAAATTAGGTGGCAGCCATTTTCTGAAGTGGCACCAGGCTCGTGCGAGTCGTGCTCAGGTACTATGCACTCCGGGCTCCTTCGCCCTATAGGAATACCAAAATGCACGATTGCCTCATCTTTGAGAACCACTACATATAGCACTGCCAGATTCCGCTACATATAGCACTATGTGTCCCAATTTGTGTTAGAACAAAGAAAGTTGGTTTGACAGTAGATTCATTGGATTTTG